CGTTACGGCTAACTGTTGCGGGCATGACAATTGTGTTCAATTTGTTAGTATTCTTTTGGGATTTAAGGCGTTAGAAATTACAATGAAAATTTGATCATCAGTTTGGGACCAAATAATTTATACCTCAAAATACCATTAGCTCCTTTACCTAAATCGGAATAAAATAAATAATAAAATAATTGACAGTGGCCCGGGTTAACTTTGACACCAAGACGTGAAACAAATCAGTCTGTTCCGTGTCTATGAACGCTGGGAAGGGTTCGAAACGTCGAAAATTTAATATATCTAAGTATTAAAAATATAATTAAATTATTTCCATCGTGTTTAAATAGATATTGTCTTAGTAGTTTTTTTTATCCACCTATTGCGAAAGGTCACAAATACAAAAAGCTAATATTACATACCTATATATTTTATTAAATAAACAATGTTTGTTTTTTTTGGTAACTTAGTGGTAGCTTAGTGATATTTATAGGTAGGTAGACTTGATATTTCTACATAGACATAACTAAACATAGTGAAATGGTACTTCCAGTTTTATTCATTTGTCAATTGCAAATAATCGACTTGTCCATATGCCAACGTTTATTCAGACGATTACTGCGGAAAATATGAACGTTTAAAGCGTAATGTCAGTGGTCGCAATAGGCTCATCTTTTCTAAAGAAATTTTCGAGCGCACGATGTCCAAAGAGGTTTTTCATCCGGAGTCCTTTCGCGCGGCAACTTAATTTCGCTTTGAGCTCGTCACGTCAGTCCATGTTTACACAGGTCCTCTAAAGAATCAAACATGAACAGTCCCAAATCTATTCTACGCATATATTCGCAGCGGGTGAAACTGACACTACATGATTTCGCACCGTTAATTATTTATTCGTGTGTAAATAAGCCTACCATTGACATCTACACCTCACATGTGACAGGTTGCAGATTTGTTGCCAATAATTAAAAAGTAGGTGCAGGTTACCTCACTCACCAGACGAAAGCCGAAAGTATAATAATTACACTTCACGTCTTCTGCGGGCCGCGGTACTTCCCCGGAAGAGATTGCCCATTCCTGTAACAGCCGTGGCTGCCGCTTGGGCCTACCACAATATTAAGGGATAATCACAAATATTAAGGGGTGTACTTCAAGTGTACTGAGGGCCGTATTCTCCATTAGCTTGGTGATACATTTGAGCGTTTGCTACGCCTTTTATATGAGTGACGTGTAAGTAGGTACCTTTCTCGTTTTATTCTTATTTTCTTTCTGCTGATAGAAGAGGAGTTTTTGAGTCTTGCGGCTCATTAGCCCCAATGGTTCAGTCATCTTTTTTTATGTCAGAAAGAGGCAAACGAGCTGGTGGTTCACCTGACGTTAAGTGATAACCGCCGCTCATGGACATTTGCAACACCCGCAGGGTTGCAAATGCGTTGCCACCTTAAGTAAAGTGGGCCCCCGCTACCCCACTCACCAGACGAAACGCAGAAGTGTAACACTTCTACTTTACGCCGGTCTACTGTGTAGTTGTGGTACTTACCCGGCCGGACTTGCCCATTCGTGCAACAGTCAACGCTGTTTCGTGGCCCTACTACAGTTAATGATGTTTGTCATTAAAATGATTCTGTCCACACTCTTGTCCAAAATGCTTGTTTCATAGATGCGATACGGTGAATGGAAAACTACCTCGGCCGCTGGGATTTAATTAACGTTAATTAAATCATAAATTGTCACACGCGGCGCGGTTAATGAAAAAGTTGAGCGCAGTTTGCATACCTCTTAACATATTATATGTCTAATTAATGTTTCGAATACATGCGAGGTCGTCAATCCGCAGTGGGGGCAGTGTCTGTCTCGCTTTGTCTTTCATATGTTTTATTACCATTATCTACTTTGAGTAGGTCGGATACGCCAGTACTATTTATTGCAGAGGTGTGCAATTTTTAAACGGCTTTAGGTAAGGTCTCAACTAAAATTTCTACTTGCTAAAATGAACTGTAAATTCTAACGTTCATTTTATTGTAAGTTCTTTGGAATATGTCGATAAAATAAATATCATTCAATCGACACCTTATGTTAGTAAAAATAGTGTGTGTGTGTGTGTGTGTGTGTGTGTGAGTAGGAATATTACCTAAGTCACAAACATTGATATATTTTATGTTTTAATCCATACCGATCACACTTCCAACACTGATATATTATTTAGTTGTCTAATTGTTTCATAAAATGCACAAACTCTGTTTATCACTCAATCGAAGCTTTAATATCCTTCACTGATATTTGCTCTAATTTAATTCAATTGAATTATCATTTTATTTAGAAATCTCATTGCCACGACTTGTCGTAGGAAATAGCGATCGCTTAATATCTCTATCTAAATGATATTTCTTCGGTCGGCCTGCCGCGAAGCCCCCCTATTCGTTCATTTACAATTATCAATACAGGCTCCCGCTTTAACATATCGGACCCATTCCTTTCTAATCGAGCGTATCTTATTCGAGTTTCGTCGAAACTGGTTTCTGAGCACCTTTGCCCTCGGCAAGCCTTTAACGGTGGTGCCCAAAAAAGAGTTCGTATCTGTGAATGTGAATATCGAACATCGAAAGTATTTTCTCTTGAGCATCGTATTGTTAGTAATTTATGAAATTAAATTGTTTATAGTGCTAATCTCTGCACTTAACATTAAACACTAAAACAGCAATGGCGAAATTGTTTGTATGCTGGAAAGGATATAACTATGGATGCGCCAAGCATTGCTTCAACATGCTAAAAACAATGTAGATAAAAGACGTTAAGATTTTCATCGATTTGGCAATTTAGCTTAGTGGCTAAAGCGTCAGGCCGCGACGTGGGTTCGATTCCCTACATCGGCGACAAACGGCTTTTCGTACTTTTTCTAAAAATTTTAATGTTTAATATGTGAAGTCTGTCCATCTGCAATGAGGTCGCGTGTTTGACTATGCCTCTGTACAGAGGAGGCCTTTACCTGGCAGCGGAACACATATAGGCTGTTTACCTCATTTTATTTTACAATATAAATAGCCGTAAATGCATCAAGGCGCATCCAATCGCGTCAAAACGCCGCATCCGAAGCCCTAGAGTGAAACTAGGGGAGCCTTCGTACGGATTCCCCTTTCTTGGGTAACCTTTTGTCACTTGTTTACGAACACCATGCTTTTTCCCTAGTAAGGTTCTAGAAGAAATGCTGGTCAGAGGTTTGTTTTTTGGATACAGTTGCTTGCACGTATGCTTTTACCTTTATTCCTACGGCAAGCGCTGATATGTAACATTGTCACAATATAATTGATGTTGAGTTTCCTTTGCCTTGCAATACTTTTCAACACGTTCACAATTGGTGTTGTGAGTTTCCATGAGCGGGATGGTTCTCATTCATGATTAGGTGTACCCCTGTCTCATTTGTAGTTCTTTGGTAAGAGATGATAAAAACACATTTGGAGTTATCGTATATACCTAGATACAATTTGCTTTTATAGTTTTACCATTCGTAGGCTTATATTTTATCTGTCTTTTACTAATGACTGTGCCAATAACCCGCACACGAAACATTTAAATGTTTGTGGCATTTAAATTGGCAACTTCGTGGTTTTCGCGAACCGAACACCAGTTATGAAGCGATGTTGCAATAGTGTTTCTAGAAATAGGGTACATTGGATTTTGCAATAAAATACCATAGAATTGGAAGTCCTTTATCATTTGTTACGATGACACGAAAGCTCCGTGGAAAACTATTTAACAGAGTTGTTTGATTTCCGGAAGAAGATTGAATCTCTATTGTTTCTATGAAGTTATTGAAAATATAGATAGACCTAAAATGATGAAACTGCTCTGACTTAGAAATTGAAACCTTGAGCTCCCATTTTAACCTTATAAATTAATAGCGTATGGTACTTTAATTAATTTTATCGAAAACAGCCTTCGTGGACTTTTTTAAGCGACCTTATTAATCTAGGACCCTATAACCGAACCCGATTGGTGTCCGGTCCGAAAATAATGCACGTGGTATCAGCACACAATTTTGAGGTCAGTCATGTTAGTCCTCGCCTATGGGACACGAAACTAACACATCGCGTGCACAAGATAAATCCTATCAGAGCTGTTCCAACAACTCCCAGCATACGTAGTTTACGGAAATCGGAGCTGTGGTCGGCCTGGAGGACTGTGGTGGAATTCGTTGACCCTTCACCGAAAACCACCTAACAAAGCGCGCATGTGAACATGCCAGACAACTCGTAGGGATTTAAAAAGCGTAGAGACCGTTTCATTTACAAATTTTCAATGAATTACAAATTAGCATTCGTTTCTAACGCTACTAATATTAAAATAACATGCTATCGTTAGTTGTTAGCGACCTACCTTCACCGGATGGAGTGGCACCACAAGAAGAATTACGACTTATATTGTTCCCAAGGACGTCAGGCAGGCGGCCGGTCGTAAAAAACATAGCTCAAACCGCGTACAACATGAATCACATGTTGTATCGACCCTATCTGGGTAGGGATAACATGCAGGAGGATGATGATGATGATGATGATGATGATTTATATTATTCAATCAATGTGTGGTAGAGCAGGGGCTTTTGACGTTACACAAATGGGTAGACACGGCCGGGGAATTTCTTTCCACTAGAATGACTTATTTGGAAACATTATGTTTCGTTTTGAATTCATTTCGTCTGGTAAGGGAGTAATCATTCCAAGATTGGCACTTGATTACTTAGCATTAATTGAATTGCCTGCTCGCTGTACGTATTTAAATAAAAAATCTTGTAACTAATTCGAGTCGGGATAAACGTTTCTCAAATGACTCGGATAAAGCGCGGTTGATTTGAGAAATTGCGAGCATCGAAACTACTGAGCATTGAGAAAGAAAAAAAATACTCATTCTAACGTCACAGTGCTCGCCTGAGGTAACAACACCGAAATACCATAACATCATTAAAATGCGCCAACTCTCCGAAAACAAATTCCCTCCTCCGCGCCGTTGCATTATGGACCTTTTTCATGAGCAACTCTGAGCTCACATTCCTCTGCAAGGCTGCCGGTCGTATGGACGCCAAGAATGTAGGGCGCCCCACCCTGCAAAACAACCCTTCCCGCAGTGTGGTGCCAGCTTTCGGCGCGAGCGGACGTGTCTGACCCTCGCTGATTTTGTCTCCGTTCTGTTTCGTCACGACGACGTCTACGTTTCGGGCGCGTCCTTTCGAAGTGTGGTGATTAGGGAGATAGTGCGATGCGATGGCTAGGCGAAGGGTAAGAAGGGTCCGCAACAATGGGATCTCTCGAGTTGAGGGTTTCGCGTCGCCGGCGACAGAGCGCGCCCGCGTAGGGAGGGGGCCACGAAAAAGGGGATGCTGTTGTTTTTTAGACACGCGGCGGGGATAATTTTCCGTTACATTTACACGAAATGCAGTGTTGAGTTTTTTATTTGTCTGTTTGCAATTCTGGAATAGGAATTATTTGCTTTTTTTTGCTCTAAAAGTATTGAGCATGTTAAAAATGGATTTTTAAACATTCATTTGACGCATTATACACTCTACGCATTTTAAACAAAGTAGCTACAATAATTGTACTTGACGGAAAATTGTTTGCAGAATCAGTGACGTAGAAACATTTAATAGAACATGATACTGAATATCATGTTCTTCTTTAAATCGCTTAAACAATAAATTTGTTCTATTAAATGTTTTTTTATTTATTAATTGCAATTTTCCGTCAAGTACAATTATTGTTATTTTTGAGAAACAAACATAGCGTAAAATATCACTCATCTCATTAGTAAGTACAGTAGAATAAAGAAAATATTTTTAATCGACTCCAAAAAAATAAGCCACCACTGAGCCAAGTTCTGCATTAGTATAAAAATGTTTACCGAGAAGAAACCGCATTCACTGTTTTTTTTTCTAAGTTCACAAATAGTTAAATACCAAAATATTTAATATGACATTTATTAAGTATGCAATCAACAACGTTAACCATATATTGATTATTTTGGAAAGAATTATTTCCTCTCACTACTATATTCTATGTCGGGAGACATGAAAACTATCGAGTGATTATTTGTGATTGACTAACAAGAGTTGAATAACTTTATTGGTGTCGAAAAGTTGCGCGAAAATATTGTAAGTGGTAGGGCCACGCAGCAGCTACTGCTGTTGCTTTAATCGGCAGACTTGTCCGGGGAAATACCACGGCCTCATAATAGACCCGCGTGAGTTAAGTATTAAGCTCATATCGTCTGCTGTGTGAGGTGACGGCGCTCAATTCTTTGAAAATCGCTGGCGCATCTGCCACCACCAAGACTTGTAAATATCCATGGAAGGCGGTCATCACTTAACATCAGACTAACCGCCTGCGCTCTGGCCATCTTCTCGCATAAAAAAATAATTAATTCGTTGAGTATTAAGGTTAATATAATTATGTGGCGTTCTCACCGATAATTATTTGATCAACAAGTCTCTTCTCTGAATTGATCACATTCTTCTACGTGCCAGTTTCGTCCGTCATTAACAATTATTTATATCTGAGTTTACGTTGTTTTTCTTTTAGCTCAGGATTCTCCTATAATGGTTAATAGAATGGGACAAAATCTTATCAATTTCACATAGTTTAATACAAGACTGTTATCGACAGCATATCAGAAGCGATATTAGGATAATAAATTGATTCAGCCGTTCGTTTGTCAATGTCAATGTTTTACGTTCGGTAACAGGTTCCTCAATAACTTTGCTTCAGAATTTGGTCTTGCCTATAAAAATTGTTCTTTTTTTATTTTTAAAGTGGTCAGACTATGAGCCAGCCATTTTTTTGTTTTTTTTTTATGTGATTATTTTGTTTTTTATTTAAAAAGAAATATAAAACTCGAACACTAACCATTTCGATGACATTTGTTAATTGATGAAACTCACAAGATTTCTAACATCTTTTCATATACCTCTTTAAGGTATATATAACTCTTTAAGGTACTCGCTATCACTAAAATATCTGTTTACATTATAGGTGTACTAGCTATATTTATGAAATGAATAAACGAATAATCGGTATACAAATGATGCTTTCTTGTTTCAATTATTCGTCGTCGAGTATATGTTATTGTAAGATTTTGTTTTATAAAAGGACACGAATTAATTATACGAATTATAATCAAAAACAAAGAATTATAATCAAATCCCGTCATTGGAATCCTTAAAAATAGGCAAATTCAGTTAATTATAAAGATATAAAGGCAATATTAAATAACATATAATTTTCCCCCCTTAATTTAGTATTAATGTAACTTTACAAACTATATTAAACTTTAGACTCGCTCAACAATGATAGTATCACTTCCTTCACTACAAAGGAATAGAATCCATAAGATATGACGAAACAAATTCTTACATCAATGCTATGTCTGTACCGTCGTAAGCCCATTACGTAAATCTTAAATATACTCTTACATTCTGTACTATTCTGAAGTGCACATAGTAATCCAGTTTCAAAAGGACCACACTTGCCTCGAGTCAGATTGCAACGCCCTTAGGGTTGCAAATCCGTTGCCGTCTTTAAATAAAATAGGCCCCGGCTACCTAGACGAAACGCAGAAATGTAACAATTCTACTTTACGCCGGTTTTCTGTGAGGCAGTGGACTTACCCGGACCTGCCCATTCGTGCAACAGTGGAAACTGTTGCGTGGCTCTACCACAGTTATTTTAGGTGCTCTGTTGAAAATACTAGGTTCGCCCCTCTTCCAAATTGTCTTTCAGTTCTACAATCTGTAGAAACTCTTAGATTTAACTGGGGCTACGCCAGAGTGGGCTTTTTATCAATGAAATAGTATTTCTCGTTACTAAAATATCGTATGTAATATTATATATATATATTACATCCTTATCTATCATCTTATTCTATTCGTTCATCGTTATAAGATGTCTCGAGGGTTGACGATCAAAGTGAATTATACAGTATTTTTTATTCTAAGTATTGTAATCTTTAAAGATATTATTCGTTTAATATTTTCTTTCAAAAGATATCTCTATTGTTGGCACATATATACTTTGTAATATTATTAAGACGATAATAGACTCTAGTGGAGTAGGTATTCATTTTTTCATTTGTAGCGAAAGGATTGAGCGAAATGCAATCTTATCTCCATACGTTAGAGTCGTGCTCGCTTCGCTTAACCAGTTTCTATTGCTTCGGATATTTTTCAAAAGGATTCGTCGCTATATTAGAGTGCTATTAAACCGAGAACCCGATCAGCGATGCCGATTGTAGCAGCTTTCGTGAGGAGGGTTTTATATATGTGACTATTATCTTGACGGTCAAAACGGTTTTGAACTAATACGTTTCGAAACACAAATCGATTTTAACGTTATACTGCCAATGTAAAGAGTGGTATTAGTGCGTTCGTATTATACCTCCCAATCGAAGAGTCACTGATCGTACTGACCATTTTTATCAGTGTGCGTGGCTATTGTGCAGCCTCATAGAAATGGTTACTACCTTAAATTGTTCACAACACAAGGTTTGTCCGAACCGCGCAAAAGACCGGCGTGAAGTGCAAGTATTACAGTTAGCTTTAAATTTGGTTAGGTAACCGGTACCACACTAACCAAATGAAAGCAATGTTTTAAAGGTTGGCAACGTATCGGCAACGCCAAGTGGTCTGATATCCATGGGCGGCGCTATTCACTTAATATCCGGTGTACTGCTTGCTAGCTAAATAACAGTCTCCTCTCAAAGCTTTGTGTCGCGTTTTAAATTTATTTTATATCTAACTTGCCAACTTGTATAGTGTAACAAAAGATTTCGAGTCCTTCAAAGTGTCATTTCATTTTTACAAAAGAAAAAGATATAACAGATAAGTCAATTTATCATTACGTTAATTAGAATTAAGTCTAGAGATATTTAAACGTTTGATAAAAATCGAAATTAAAATATTAATTAAAAAGTCTTTTACGTCACTTTCTAAGTTTGGTTTATTACTTTTTTTGGTCGGCGCCTTCAATGCGGCGAACACTTTAAGAAAATTGAGTAAACATTCACAAAGTTTAGACACCGTCTTCCATTATACCGTTTAATTATACTAATGCAATATAGTTTAATTGATGAAAATTATTGTCATTAAGTTACCGTAAAACGGCTACTCTATTACGCCCACAGTGTAGAAAGATTAAAGCTTAGAGTTCATTGCCCTTCAATTTTCCCACAGTTCGTCTTTATCTCCTTTGTAGTCTTTTGTGATAATGGAGGTCGGAGTCGGGGAGTGGATCGGTATATTTAAATTCCAGTTATCAGACATAGAGCCGTGATAGCCCAGTGTCCGGGCGCTCGCCTTTAATTCAATATACTCGAGCAACCTGAGTTCGATCCCCGGTGCCGGCACCAATGAAGTTTTTAACTTTAAGTGCTGACTTATCACGTGCTCCGCGGTGAAGGAAAACAATAACAAAAAATCGTATGTGAAGAAACCTGCATATTTTCGAAATAATAACAAAAAAAATATATATTTCGAAGATATGTGAAGTCCGCCAACCCGCAGTGGGGCCGCGTGGTGGACTATGCACTGATACCCTCTCTATAGAGGAGGCCTTTGCCCAGCAGTGGGACATGTATAGGCTGTTACTATCAGACATTACTCTCCTACGTTTGAAAATAGCCGCTTATGGATATATTGTTTCTTGTTTCAGAAGACTTTTGCGCTAGAAAATAACCACACCCCCTGTCACAATAAATACCGAAACTCGTAATAATGATCACACAAATTGGTCCGTCCAGGGTTCGAACCTAATACAGATGCATTGGCAATTTGCGAAATGATGATATACACTGTGGATATATCTGTACTGATCTGTTAACGAGTCAGCCAAGCGATATCAGATAGATTCTCTTAAAATTTCAGGACAGACGAGTACACTCAAGCCAAAATTTCACTTACAGCATTAAAATAATTTCTGTTCTCGGGAAGACTTAGGTTTACCTCGCGCCCTTCGTTAAAAGGCCAAGCATAGTACTAAAAATACAAAGGAAACAATCGCAAAACACCTTTGGCTGTACGTTGAAACAGCTATTTGTTTGTCGGTCAATTACGCCGACGTATTTCGGTATATATTTGGACGTGATCTTCAGCGAAAATAAATTCACCGAACGCAGATTACTGAAATTTGCCCGCCGGGCCACCGCTAGCGGCTAGCCGAACTCGTTACTCTGTTAATAATAAATGCTCGAAGCTAGCACATTCGTTTTCATTCTTTCCTGAGATCAAAATCCTAATAATATGTGGGATAGGTTCATAGATCAAGGCATTTATACAGTATTTTAAATATCAGAGCTCTTACGAACTAGATTAAAGAAGATATTAAATATTAACTTAATGGGTAACAATCGCCCTGTACTGCCACACACGGAGACGATGCTTTGTACACATGAAAAATCCGAAATCTGGAAATTCGTTGTATCCTGACAGGGATGCGCTTCTGCATCAAAAGACACTAAGCAGCCATCCCCTTCTTCAAACTCATGACCTACAGAAACGCACAAAAAGCTCTGGTGAAAACACTTAGCCCTTGTGAAATGATTTTTTTCTATTTTCAAGTAGGAAATATCCTCAGTGTTGTTTTGTACCTGCAGTCTACACTATTAGTGGGCAAGTTGGTTAAGCAACAACATAAACATTTGCAACTCTGTAAATGTAGAACTCACTTCTAAACTGCGAAACTTTGCTTGCTTCGTGGTTTTGCAAAATAGCACAACTCGGCTTAAGCTTTATGGATAAGTTGCTAACTAGCCTTTAACTTACGTTTCTCGGTAAGTTGTAACATTTTCAGTCCCCAATATGATTTTCTTTTTAAATTCATTTTTAACCAGGTGACATTCGAGTTCTGAAAAGTAAAAACCACTTCAGTAATAAGTCTTTTTTAATAATTTTTGTGAAAGATATTGAGTTATATAATGATAGTTCAAGGTTTCTTATTTAACTGTAAGAAAATACACATCCATTACAAAATTATAGTTTGGTTTTTATTTAAAATTATTTGCTTCATATTGTGCACTAACATATACTCTCCGTGCTATCGCGTTTTTGGTTATCGGTTAGAGGCTGTTATAGCATTAACGATTTTGAAAACGGAAAATTATGTGGCCCTACTTTTATGAATACATTGACTTTCCCAATCAGTAAAGAAAAATATTTTGTACACTTTGTATAATTATAGGCTAAAAGTCAGTTTCATACTTTTCATCTTCATCTGCAGATGTTTCTGTCTAAGTCCCAGGTGTGGTCACGTAGATCAAACCAAAATTGCAAATGGAAAAGGTCAAAGTACTCGCATATCTTTTATGCGCGCCGTGCCGACGTACAATCGTTGTTTCTAGACGCCACGTGTGGTGCGCATAGGCGGTTACCCGACCTTCGGCAACTTGCCATACCACCCCCAATGCGGACGCGGTCGGAGACCCGGCGCGAGGAAGGGTCTGCTGCTAGGTTCGCTGGTCGCCATTCCGTTCCTGCGTTCATCAAGGTCCCGCCTTCGGGACTCTGGTGACGCGCCCAACGCGCCGAGAGGCTGCTTCGCTTTCAAGTCCACCGGGCCGTACCGAGTGAAGGTAACGCGTGTGCGCTAGATTCTGACCGAGTTCGGTCAGCTGGTCCATATCAATTCTCCATTAGGTACGATTCATGCTCGTTATAACTGCCAGATCCCTTCGATTACGTAAGCACTTGTTGGATCTCCTTGCGTCTACTGTTGTCGGGTTAACAGCAGCAAAGAGATGTGTACATCAGTATATATAGCATTTTATTTTATGACACACCCTTGTAGCTGACGATGTATAACCCTACTCAAAGTTATCCTCGTATTGAGTGGTAATGGTAAGCTAGTATCAGACAGAGCTTAATTAAGAAATAATTCTTTTCACAATCAATGTTACGTTGGACAGTTCTTTAGCACAGTTTTGATAGGCGCAATTTCCATAGCTGTGGAGCTGAAAAGGAAGGTTTGTGTAACTATACCGGTTACGTATTAAACTATTTATTAAAAAAGAAAATGAGCTAAAAACTATGACGTATGTACCGATTTCTTTGTTAACCGATTCGCACCGCACGAGGAAAGACTCGTTAACGGTTTTAAATTTCGGAGATTTGTTTGAGACCGGCTAATTGCTCGCTGCAGTGTCCGATATGCATGCGCTATCGATCGGACGACCTCAATAATGAGCGGCCAGGCGGTGCAAGAAGTTTGCACGTTTACAAAAGTTATGTGCATACGTGTGTAGGTAGCAACTTGTCGTGTTGCCCGTTGTCTTAACTATTACGATGGGTGGTGTGAGGAAGACTTGGCGTATTCTTCGAGACCAGTCCTTTCATATTCCAGGATTAAAAGTCAAGTCTATAGACAGACTAGTTCTTTACCCAATTTAGGCTAGTTTCCAACTCGTATGACAATTCAAATCAAAATATGGCACTTCTTCATAAATTTAAACATTCAGTTTACCTATTTAGATGAACCAAGAGAGGTACTAATAAGAAACTCCGTATCATTTATATTATTTTACTGTTTAATGTTGAATAAAACAATGAATACAAGCATAAAAGTAGTGGATCAGTAAGCCATGGGGAATGTAAATGTAGTAGATCAAAGGAAATATTATTTTATTGAAATTTGCTTTGATTTTTGTTTTCCATTACTTGAACTAGAATTGGTATGTACAGTCGTGCATATTCTGTCATCTCTGATCGATGATGCCAGGAGCTCGCCAAAATCTAGCCGAGCATTTTAACAAGAAAAGTTTCAAACTACATGTGAGAATCTGCAATTTGCATCAATCGGTCAATTGTAGTAACCGTTCGGTGCGACAAACTTATTCATATTTACGTAAACGATTTAGTAAGATATTTGAAAACGTAGATGAAAAGTGAACTTATTTGATAGTGGACTGGGAATTTACATTAGATTATTATACTTAGGTTTTTATTTAAATTTCTTTTCTTCACATATTCTGCACATGCTCTTTGTGCTATCGCGTTTTTGGTTATCGGTTAGAGGCTAAAATAGCATTAGTGATTATTTAAATGATAACACATTCTGGAAATGAATTAATCGCTCCAGGCTGTTTCAAGTGGAATTGAATATATTGTATTATGTTTGTTATAATCGTCAAATTGTTTAAAATTTTTACTTTTATTATTTTTTTGTTTCTTTCGCCGGTTCTTTTCTGGTCAGTGGCGAACCGGTACGTAGTAGTGTTTTATGACAATCAATAAATATTTGTAATACTTCTATATTGAATAAAGTTACTTGAATTTGAAAGAATTATGTAAAGTGTTTGAATTAATTAAATGTTAGTGTCTTTATTTCCATAAATTAAATTATAGTCGAGTCTCTAGCGATATTTGGGGCATTTGTTGTTTTCCGTTCAAATATTTACACTCCAGCGCCTCGCGATGTTCGAATCGCAATCACGGCACCGTAGCAAACTCCGAATACCTCCTTTGTAATTGCGTTCATTGTTAAGTTATTAGTTTACTGTTTTGTTTGCTTCGAAACGAGTCCGCCGTTGAAACTGGGACGTGCCAATTCTCTCCCGGTCTAAATTTGCGAATGAAAAATAAACACTGGACCCATCGGTCCGGTCGATTTGAATACCATAATTTGCGATTGATTAAAACAGATACCGAGTCTTTGTTCCGCTTATGTTATCGGCTTCGCTCAAAAAATTCAGTTAGAATGAAACGTTTGGCTTTGTTTCTATACTAAGTTAAGTTTTGTGCCACGATTTTTGACAGAAAACGATATTTGACGATAGCTTGGTACCAAGTGACGCTCGGTGCGTTTGGAAAAGTCTGGTTCCATATCAAAACGTACACCTGTTTATGACTTGGAATGGAAAAAAAATTAACATAATAAATTGTTTGTACAAAAGTAAAATGAGGAATTATAAACTAAACACATTGGTTTGGGCGATTATTCGACGTTGCGATAAAAAAAATTCGTTAAAATTGATGCGGTACTGCTATTTAATGAAGCCGGCAACGTAGTAGTGCCTCTTCCGATGTTACAAGTGCCCATGGGCGGTGGTGATCACTTACCATAAGGTGAACTTTTATTCAAGAATTCACAAATACCATGAAACACTTATATAGTAATGCGAATAAGGCTCGTAACATTTCCAAGTTTCATTGTAGTTCCACCAACGTAGTCTCTATTTCGTTGGTGGAACTTGATTAAAACGAGACGGTGAGAGGGTAATTTTTCGAGTATTGTGCTCGTAAAACCAATTGAACTGCTGTAAACTAATGCCCAGCTCTTACTCGGAAGCGATTATAACAACGCTGCGTGAATTCAAATCGTCATAACTATAGGACTTTTTTAATGAGCCGCTTAACTGAACCAAAGTTGTATATAACTACCACCGATTATATCACAGATTTTGATAATCAGAATGTGTATGATATTTTTTTAGCCATTTGGCGAAACGTCTGGTGTTTTAATTAGTAATCGTAAATCTGGGCTAAGATATAATCGCTTCGTATTCATCATGTAGTAACATAGTGTAATGTGCCAGCAGATTGATTAAACTTTGTGTTGTGATTTTGGGATGTTCTACGTGTGGTAATTGTCAATGAACATAAGACCGTGGCTTTGGAAATAGTGTCATCGAAACTGAATGTATGAGCAATGATCAGACGTTCTGTGTGCGTCCTGACCAAAAGAAGGCCGGCGTGATCCAGAGCACTAATCGACAGGATGGTGGTCCGAGGGAGATTCCTGGTAGTACAGTTGGAAATACATTTTGTGTGTAGAAGTAGTGGGTAGTTTGACATCATTTCGACGTTCGCCACAAGTTGCCAGAAAAAGCTAATTAGTATTTTTATTATTTTATTTTCAATATAATAAATAACATAGTAAAGTAGTGGTGTCAGCGCTTGGTTTGGCTCAACCAAGGAAGGGAGGGAAATCTACTTAGAGGTTTGTATGTATCTATCAATTTGTAACACAACGTAAATTACTGCCTATTGTAACTGAACCCCCCTTTATGCATATATATATAATTAAACTTATATATATTTCTGCCCCGTTATATGAATAAATCATATAACATCATTACGTGACCAAAATAATTTATTGATCTTTCTACAGGATCTTTCTAAAGGTAATCATTAGCCGTATGAAATATTATTGTGATCGTCATATTCGGTAGGACTTCATTTACGTTGTGTTTATTTAGTAACTTGATTCTTTTAGGTGTATCTTGGATAGATAAATATTCACTAGTCGTGGTATAAGCCAGAGATAATGTCAGATTGCTTTCTTAACAACTAATCCCGACTCGCTTGAAACGGGCTCAGAGTATATAGTATACTCCCTCTCACGCTTGTAAAGGGCTCACAATATAATTTTCAACTATTATCCCTTCTCTCTTGAAAAGGGCTCACATCAATTTTACATACCCGATACAAGTCAACAGCTCTCCCACATTTTAAAAAAAATTTAGGGAAGGCACCAAATTGTAACTGAACCCCCCTTTATGCATATATAATTATATAAAAATTATATATTTCTTTAATTTAAGTATATATTATTAACTTTTATTGTGAATAAAACGTTCTTAAACGTTTTATTTTCATCTTAATTGATCTTTATTATGACTAATTAATAATAATATTTATTATTATTAATAGGGCGTTACACTATGTATACAGGCACTTAAGCAGTAATCAACGTTGTGTAGACGCCAGTGTTTCTTAAGTAGTGTGTAAACGGACGTGGCTTTAAATTATTCGGTAAAGCACTTTGGAGCGGTTCCCGAGGGATAGACGGTGTGGCGGTAGATAATAGACTAGCATTTGCTAGCATTAAATATCAGGGAAGTCTAATAATAGCTTTATAATATAGTTTAATAGAGACGCTTACGTACGTCCCACGGCTGCGCAGCGATTCTTAAAGTCTCATTTTGTTATAGCGAAAAACAAATAGACTAAATTCTCCTTAAATTCATTTTTTTTATGTCAGAAAGTGGCAAACGAGCTGGCAGTTCACCTGATGTTAAGTGATAACCTCCAGCCCATGGACATTTGCAACAGCCGTAGGGTTGCAGATGCGTTGCCACCTCTTAATAATGTGGGCCCCGGCTACCTCACTCACCAGACGAAACGCAGAAGTGCAACACTTCTACTTTACGCCGGTCTTCTGTGAGGTTGTGGTACTAACCTAGACGGACCCGCCCAATCGTGCAACAGCGAACACTGCTGCGCGGTCGTACCACAGTTTCATTATTGATAAATAAAACTAACTTACTGAAATTTTCGCTTTTAATTTCTGTCATAATTCCCGACACTACATATTCACTCGCAAAAGATTCCGTATCTTTAGTATTAGGTTTTTTTGACATTTTAACAGGTTCAACTCGACTAGGATTGATATAAATAATTATTTCAAATTTGTTATGATATTGTTATATTATTATACATACCGAGGGTATCTGGCTTGTCGCCATTGAATAAGTACATTCCATTTGTTCTAAATCATAGCACTTAGACTTGGCAGAACGTACGAGTACTATAAGAGGAGTATACAGCGTGTCGTTACCATCGCGACAATAAATGAACACACTAACGCTACTTGCCAATAATCGTAAAAAAATATTAACTTTAAACAAAATTCATAATTTAAAAATTTTTTTTTAAACAAACTAATTAAGTAAAAAACACAGCGTCGCATAACAAGCCTCTCCTTCTAACAATATGTTTTGTCTCTTTTAAATTCATTCAACCCATTCATATGCTTTGTGACCTTTACAAATGAACTTTACGTTACAGTTTTATACGTAAATATTGATGTTTATAGAATGTAAATGTTTATTACAATTTTAAAAAGTTATCCCCTATATGTGTGTTCATTTCTTGTCGCGATTGTAAGGACACGCTGTATATGGCATGTCTTAGTTATATTATGTTTTCTCAGACTTCGTCAATTTATTCCCTTCTATGTTTTTTTTTCCTTTATATTTATGCTGGCTTAAGGACTAAAATTACATAACTAATGCATTTGCTTGTTGTTACATAGTATAAATGTAGTTTAGGCAGCTACGCTCATATCTAAACTGAATACTCGTATAAAAAATCGATCTACACGTCACGCATCGTGACGCTCAGCTCGCAATTGATTTAATCGAAGCTAAACGCGGCATACGGGCCGTATGTTCGTTCGTTGTAACTAACGCTAACAACGATTACGACAACGATTAACGATTCGACGGCATACGTAAATAGACGTGGGTGCGTTGTTTGCCCCTGACCCAACTGTGGGGTTGAGTTATGGGGGCGCGATTGCGTCGATGGCTTTCCGGCTACTCGTACCCGTTTCACGAACGAAACGAACAAGTTGGCAATTTGTCCGTTTCGACACGCAACGGACAAAAATTATAAAACTTAAAGAGCTTAGCTATTATTATGACCCGAATGGGCAAGTCTTATATCGAACCACCAAACACTTTTGTAGTTGATAGTGTGTTGCAAGAATGAGTAGGATTGTCAGGCAAGTGACACGACCTTCCTCAGTGTTCTGTGTGAGTTCATCTGCAATTTCTTAGATTTGCGCTACGGTAATCACTGAACATGAAGTAAAAAAAGAAATAATACAGATTATATTAGTAGGTTTCTTTTACCTTTCACTTTCTCACTAATCTCGATACGGCTTCGATGAAATCGATATTTATTTTATTGCTCAAATCTATACTAATAAATGAACGCTAAACTCGCGATATTCAAATCGCAAACTTTTACGTTCCGCATCGCTTCGAGTGATTGCTTTTCGATGTCACTCCAGTTCAGACTTTTTCTCAGCAATGAATCTTTTATTTACGCGAAGTTAAATGAAAGTTCAATCTCTCAAGATTTATTCGTCTTCATTTTTAAATTTAACAATAGATGGATGATGACTCCGTGGCGCATTTGCCAAGGTATTGGCTTCGGCGTCGGGGGTCTTGGGTTCGATTCCCACACGAGACAACTATTTAACTATCGACACGCAGATAGTTGTTTCGAATCTGCGTGTTTGTCCATGTGGAATTTATGTTTGTGAAGCATCGTACCCAACTACCAACACAGGATAAAGTTATCCTAGAGCGAGGGCAGTGTTAAAACACCTGGTGTTAGACGTCTGATTGTCATAGTTAACCCGGGCTACCGTCAGTTTTTGAATTATTAATTTTGTGTCCGATCTATGCAGAGGGAGCTGCAGCTCGTAAGGGGTTCGAAACGTATTAAAATTAAAAATAAACGCGATTAATCCGTAAAAATTAGTTTCATTTATATTGTCCAATCTCGTAAATACAAGAAATTAAAAGATATATAGATACGATTCTTTTGCCGTTTTTATAGATAACGGTACGGAACTCTTCGTTCGCAAGTCCGACTCGCACTTAGCCGGTTTTTTATGTGACAAGGTGGCAAGTGCGCTGGCGGTTCTCCTGATGTTCAACCACCGCCCATGGACATTTACAACACCCTTTACAGCATGTAGGGTTGCAAGAGTTGCCACCCTTTAATAAAGTGGGACCCAGCTGCGCCGGTGGGACCGGAAACGCAGAAGAATAACACTTCCATTTCACGTCGTTCCATTGTGAGGTCGTTGTACCGTGGACCGTCAGTATCACGCACAGTACACGCAGCTAACACGCAACAGCTGTTCTGTTAAAAAATTTAACGTAAATCACAATGGGCGATTGAAGTTTGTCATTTTCTCTCTCGTGACGTCATATCGCCGTCAACTCTCTCGCCATTAGAACAAATAACTTCGAACCAGTGGACCGATTTGGCCCATCGCGCTATACAATGACCGTCGACGAAACCGATGTCATTCTCCGCCGTGATTGCACAATGAATTTTGCCCGAAGTCATTACATTGCCGCTTTCAATTGGCAATTGTGCGCCGTCGTCACCACAATGGACGGTCGACGTCGATGTGAACTCGTTGCGACGAACGGCCCACCAAGGGACAATAGTCATACAGGACATCACTTCAACAACTTCTGCTGTTGCAAGGATGAGCAGGCTCTAAGTCAAAGTCAAGGTTAAGGTATATCGGTGGTAGGACCACGCTGTTTTCGCTGTTGCACGAATGGGCAGCTCCGTCCGGGTAATTACCATGTCCTCACAGTAGACCGGCGTAAAGTGGTAGTACTTCTGCGTTTCGTCTGGTCAGTGAAGTAGCCGGGGCCCACTTTATTAGGAGGTAACGCATCTGCAGTTGTCATTTACCATCAGGCGAACTGCCATCTCGGTTGACACCTTCTCACATAAAAAAAAGTTCGTTGTGCACGTACGCTACAGCTATACGCTGTACCTAACATCATTGTAGCGCAACCGAGGCTTTCTTACGTCTTCCGCAATTGTTCCCGCGGAGGCTGAGCGGGATATCCGTTATAAATCCACCCACAACAACCCTCGCTCGTTATCAGCAAAGCCGTATAAATTGGCGTCGACGCGAATTCTGGCGTGAACGTGTTTTGTCGATTTCGCTTTTTCTGCGAATTTTTCCGCACAAGTGACTATTTTACTTTGTTATTATCGTCCCAGTTCAAGTGTCAATCTTCCATAATCTACTGTATTTTGTACCTAATTTGTCTTAAGTTTTGTAGTTTTTTCTGTAGATTAGGGTGAATAATAAATTATAGTTATTATTATTATGGGGTGTTTTTATTTATTTTCTCGTTATTTTTATTATTTGACGCGTGAAAGGAAATGAAAATAAAGGTACTTTGCGTCGTTACTGTGTTTTATTACTGTAGTAGTGATAGGTCCACGATAATTATGTTAGGTTTCTTATAAATATCATTAAATAACAAATTTGTTCTCAGACAGATGTTAATTTTTCAGACAAATGTAAACAATAACTAACCAAAATCTGTAAACTTTTGTTGCATTAATCGGAGTTTAATCGTCTGCGTGACGCGTACGGATCTAAGTATCTGTACCATGTGCATTGATGGTCGTGACAAAGCTTGCTACATCCAGTCGTGGGCGTTAAGCGAGGATCGCTACAAACAATTTTGCCGATCGGATTTGTTACTGACCATATTGTTCATACTGTGTCTACTTCTTGCGCTGGTTAATATTTGATCTCGAAAGAATTTTGGGGATATGGAATATGTTGAACCTTACCTCTGAACATAAGTTTGGATTGAACCTCTGAACATTAGTTTGGAGAGCGTATTTTTATTGGTAAGGGTTGGTTTTACGGTGTTCTTATCAACTCGCTTTTGTGTATGCTTTGTAACTTTTGTTTGAAGAATGTTTTGATACTAACTTAGGTGTTAATGATGGTAAACGGACGATAGTGCCCTCCTAAAGAAATTCCACGCAACAATAATTTTTCTACACGAGATATTAGATTTGCTTAAACGCTTTTTACTCTTATCGCAAATATATGTGATAGCTTATACCGTAACGCGTTTCAGAAATAGAAAATATCTTAATAATACTCGTCTAAATTCGATATTAACTATTTTTTTTCTTTTGTTGCAGGTAAAGAATTTTTCGGGGATGTACTTGAAAGGCATACGGTATATTTGTCTCGTCTAGACAGTGCGTTGGCTCAAATCGTAAGTTCAATGGCCAATTGTCGGTAAGACTCTAATAGACGATCACAGGTTTTGTTTAACCAATGTACTTCTTAACACACGGGTCGTAATCATGTGTTTCTTCATTTGTTATACAAAATAAAATGCACACAAAATAACTTGAAACTTCAATTACAGCTTTAATAAGAATTTACCGGTTCATTTAATCGCGAGTTTGGAAGTCTGTATAACAACATATGGGATAGAAACGTATTTAATTATTGCAAAGTGCTAATTTTCCTATCTGGGTGCAACAGGTTAATGTTTTAATCCCAAATAGATAAGCAATAAATAGAAATATCTGAAAAAATCATGGTCTGAAAGATAAATTATCGTTAACCTAAAGAAAGAATAAATCGGGAAAGTGCTCGATTTGTTTACGATTTAACGGGCTTACCTGATACTGATATATCGTCCATTTCATTTTTTTCATTCGTGTGGCAATATGAGAATGAGAATATATAATAGGAGAATGAGTTCAGGTAGTCAAGATTGTATAACACCCAAGAAACTAAGAAAACCTTCCAGAAAGCTCTGTAGGAAGACTTTCACCCATTCCTCGCTGCCTGCCGCTGCTGTGAAGGTGTAATGGTCTCCATAGTACTGTAAGTTAGACCCGGAAATGTATGGGGGGGAGGGGGGGAGGCACACAATGGTGAGAAATCACCGCGGGAGAAACCCAACGGACCATAAGAGGCACCTCGCTCAAGAGCACTGCGATATGCGTAGGTGTTTAATTAGTTGTACTTATATTTGCTTCGAGCAGGTGAGGTCCGGCAAGTGAGGCTTGTTTAGATTTCAACAATTTACACAATCATCAACCTCCTTCTTCACCATCATACCACTTTCGTCCGGTGAGTGAGGTAGCCGAGGCCCATTGATAGGTTGTATTTTAATACTATAGGTTTATATAGGTTTCGCCAATGTCAATGGGCGGCGGTGATCGCTTACCACCAGGTGATCCGTCAGCTCGATTGCCACATTCTCACATAAATGAACGTTATCTCTTTTTTTTTTTTTCAACCGACATCGAAAAGGAGAAGGTTCTTAATTCGACTTTACGTTTGTTACCTCAGAACTTTCGACCGAGTGAACAGATTTTGATGATTCTTCTTTTATTCGATAGCTGGTGCTTCCCATGTAAAAGTGAAGGAAAAGTCCCATGTTAATTTCCCAAGATCCAATACCAATGAATATCCAGAGATACACAGGGAACTGGTGAAAATCAATTATGAAATGAACACAGAGCGAGATATTTGAAATCGGTTTTTGTTTTTCGTTAATAAAAATATGGTCTTGTTTAAACAAACATACGACAGGCCTCGCCCCTCCGTCCAAACTGACGCAATAGTACGCCCGGGCGACTGTCTCTCGCTCCCATGTTTCTTAATCACGTCGGCTCCCATTTGTCAGGTGCCGGTTTCGATATCGTCACGTCGACTCTAATGCTCGTTACACACGAAGATTAACATCGGTGACGCACTCAGGGTTGGATTTAGGTATGATGAAAAAGATAGTGCAAAAAATTTAAAAGGATTGTATTTGTAAAAAAGTTATAGTACAATTTTAATTTTAACAGACATTAATTTATTCCTCTTCCAAGTTTATCAATTCTTAAATCTTAGTATCATCACGAATTAACTTACTTAGAATTAACACGACCATTACTACTGTTACGACCCAATAAAACTTTTTTAATATTGGGTTGGCATTTATTTTGGTCGTTTATGTAAATGCTATGCTTAGATATGAATAGTATATATTACGAAGCATGAAATATAGTACAAATACCATAATTATAGTACAAAATCCTACCCTGGACGCACTCAAAGTTTCCTTTTTCACCGTTTCTTATCTTATCGTGGTTGGACATTGAATATGTAAAGATAAAATTTGCAATTAGCATGTATATTATATAATTCTAGTAACTTGTGTGGATATGTGAATTCGTCCACGTGGAATTAAGGAAGGATTTGGAATGCAAGCCTATTTCAAGTTTACGTATTTATTTTGTTAGTGTTTTTTTTAAAATATGTAGATAGTGTTTTTTTTTACCAACTTCTCATCATCTCTGTATGTTATGTTTAATCAGTTATCTCTCGGTACGGATTTTGTTAAATTTAATTTTTCGTGAAAACATCATCGTCTGATGAATATTTCGATATAGGCTTCGATTTAATAAAAAAAAAAGATTCGCGTATCAATAATTTTTCTACAGGAGCGTAGATTTGCATACTTTTTACGCTTGTCCGTGGTTTTAAAAATTGAAATTTACCGAGTGAAGTGCTTACTTCTTTTAAAGCCGTTTGAGCCGTTTTCGAGATTTAATACTGAGACGGATAGAGAAAAACTCAAAAAACATTGATATGATACTATGGCATCGTATAAACAGCAGAATTCACGATTTCAAATCGATCAGATAAAAATGGACTTTCACAAAACAAAAGAGAAACACAAACAGAAATTTTCACGTTAGGTATACTTAAAATAAGATAGAAAGAGGAGCTTGGAGAGGAAAATACGAGAATGTAAGAGAGAAATTGTGTGATCTAATCGATCGAGCGCGGTACATGAGTTGCGTAGGCGTTGAGGTCTTTCAGACATCACAATCTCTCCCTCCTGTAGTCTCGTTCCCGACGTCGCTACACGTGAACGCGGTACACATCGGCTATCGGCGAAATGTAGGTTGCCACGGTCATCGGGCGCACCTTCACGCCCCGCCAAGCCTCGGCCAACGCGTTAGCTGCCTCAGCGCTCGCGTTCCTTAAATAGCCGTAGTCCTTTCGACCACGTCTCCACGCCAGTGTCACGTCGGTCGCACGTAGCCGTGCACTGTCCGTACCCGTGTCGTAAAGAGTGAATTGCGATTTGTATCCACCGCCCCGTACGCGAGTGTATGTGTTCGGGTGTGGCTTCTTTTCTTCTGTCACGCTCTCTCCCGAGAGGCGAGATTATCTGTGATCGTTGCCCGAGCATAGATTTTGACTCTCCATTTGTTGGGTAATCGGTTGTGAGGTATATCGATAGTATAGTGTTGATCGCTTGCAGAGAATACAAAATAATCCACAGGAATTTTCAGTACTTGCTCACAACCACCTAAGAATAACTCAACTGTATCTTACCTCATTTTAATACTATTCAAACGTTCAAAAGTGAAGTAGATAAAGGAATGTCCTTGATGATGAAGTATTTAAACTATATTATAAATATTGTTATCTCAACAGCACACATTTTTACTGTTTCTATTAAGGGTCTTTAAGGGTGTAAGATACATTTTACTACGTTCTATAATTGCGTCCGCGATAGCTCAGTGTCCGGGCGCTCGCCTTTAATTTAATATACTCGAGCAACCTGAGTTCGATCCCCGGTGCCGGCACCAATGAAGTTTTTAACTTTAAGTGCTGACTTATCATGTGCTCCGCGGTGAAGGAAAACATCGTGAGGAAACCTGCATATTTTCGATATAATAACAAAAAAATATATATATTTCGAAGATTTGTGAAGTCCGCCAATCCGCAGTGGGGCCGTGTGGTGGACTATGCCCTGATACCCTCTGTATAGAGGAGGCCTTTGCCCAGCAGTGGGACATGTATAGGCTGTTACTTTACTTTTTTACTTTTAAATATCGGAAGCAGTACCTACTTTTTCATTACGGACGGGAAAACACGAGCAATTGTCGCGAAATATTTCCTAACTGTACTGTGACGGTTAGGTCCGTCCGGGGAGTCACGATGTAACAGAAGACCCACATGGAGTGTAAGTTCATTAAGAGATGTTAACTCTACGGTACGAATTTCCGTGGGCGGCGGTTATCACTTAACATCAGGCGAACCGCCAGCTCGATTGCTATCTTCTTACATAAAAAAAATGCACGGTTTTAATAGTATTGAGTGGATTTTTTTACGACCCGCTTGCTGCCTGACGTCAACCCTCCATGAGAACAAACCACCTGATTCGGAACAATTATCTGCGTCAAATACTTGTCGTCTGGGAGTCGAATCCACGACCCCCGGCGGAGAAGCCAATAGCCGTGCAACCGCCCTAACCATGGTGCTGTCAATGTTAACATTGAACCATTACTGTTGTAACTATGACAACAATATTGCAATAATTGATGAAGACAAAGTCTATTAGTTCGGTCGTAATGCATATTGTAATTGTTTTGATTATGCCTTTACTCACCATTGTAATTATATCGATTGTTGTGATTGAAATATATTCCACTTTAACCTAAATAGAGGCACATAAACAATAGAAACGGGAACGCTGATTATTATGTTCATGAGTGCTGCGATTGCAAACATATCGATCTTCATGGTGACCAACATTTGCATGTAGCAACAGTTCTTTAAAACATACGGATTCTGGCTCGAAGCTTGGCGCAGTAATGTAAAAAATCATTAATATGTGTCATGGCTAAACCTAATGATTGGTCATTGTCTGCCTCTTCTATGTTATCGCTTCTCGAAATGTGCCAGACGTGATTTTCGTTCGCAGGAAATTCGAATAGTCGGAAAAAATATTTCTTTTTCGTATCAGAAGAAAAATACTAAAAATCTGGTGTGCCAGTACTCTTTGTTCGTGAAAAAAGACATTAAATGTAATTGATAAAGGTTTAACTATATAACTTAGATTTATGGGTATATGTCAAAAAGTTGTTATTAGTTGCCATTGTAACACCATGAAGTTAGTATCGGTTTTAGGTGTCGCGTATTATAAAATTCACTTATCATTTTCCCCGAACGCGCCAAAATAATTATTTTGTGATTGCAACAGTGTACTTGTGTATGCATTCGTCGCCTCACTCCAGTGTGGCAGCAACCTAAGCCCCTCGTTAAGATAGCGGTTAGTTTATGTACGCTTAGTCTATGCTGCGACGCGACAGATTGGCGCTAATAGCCGGCTTCGATTGGGCACGTCCCTGTCCTAATGACCCTCGTTCCTAATGACGATGTAGTACGGTGCAGAGACGGTAAATATGTAAACAATTTTCATCGGACTTTGGGATTCCAAAGCAATGAGGCATCTTTACTACTCCGATTTGTTGCCGGTACTAATGTGATGTCTGTCTATAAAAGTACTAGTTCACTTGAAACTTCTCTTTGGTGTCTAAAGATTTCACAAGTTTCCACTAAGGTTGTATGTTTATTTTTGGGTTATTATTTTTTTACGCTTAAAGTCATACCTTCCTTTGTAAGTTTTGTTTGCGTGTTCTCTGTATTTGGCCGGCTATCAATTATTTACATGAAAAGTAGAATGTTCCACTACGCTATTTGTTCACTGCGGTACGTGTCGTAAGTTTGCCTTTTTCTTTATGCCTTTGCTGACCATAACACTGTCTGTAATGCCAAGCGACCAACACTATTCGTATCGATATACCCGGCTCATAACTCGTCAACTGGCCTGAGCCATTTTATCGACACGCCGAAAACAAATATCACACCACATATCGATATCCAGCTATCCAGCTAGGCTACGTCTCCCGCACGTCCCCAGCTTCCAGCTTTACGTTTCCCGTGCGCCGTCGGAGCGGCAAAGCGGTCAAGATAAATCCGCAAACAATGCGCCACCGGGTCCTACCAGTATTGGCGCCGGTTTTCCTCTCCAAGCTGTGGAGGAGGAGGCGTCGGGCGAGAGCCATACAGAGGCTGCACGGGGTACAGTCAATTGCGCAATTGGATGATGTTTACTAAAGTCCACTGCTGAACATGGCCTCACACAGACTGACACGACGCACGGTCCAGAGCCACCTGCATCAAGAGATTTTCCGCACATTGGCACAAGTCGTCTCTCCATCTAGTGGTGTATCGATGTTATGAATACATCTATACAGATAAATAAAATTGCAGTGTCTGTTTGTAATATTCAAATGACCGCTTTTTACTAAATGCATATGGATGTATATACGGTACATATACCAAAATAACAATTTTTTACAATATTTGTCTGTCTGTTTGTTCCGGCTAATGTCTGAAACGGCTGGACCAATTTTGACGGGACTTTCACTAGCAGATAGCTGATGTAATAAGGAATAACTTAGGCTACTTTTATTTTAGATTTTTTTTTATTTTAAATTCCACGCGGACGAAGTCGTGGGCACAGCTAGTACTAAATATACTCGTATAATGTCTTTTTATTTAAAGTCTCGTGTGCGTTCGTGTTTGTCAGATTCCATCACTCTCCATACAACCGTGCTGGTGTTCTATTAGTGATGAGCTCTCCCTGCCGAGCCGAAGCTAAAACCGAGTTGCAGCATGGCTCCACCACTGTTTACTTCAATTTTAATACTAACTGTTAAGAATAACAAGATCGATAGAATGATTGTAAAAGAGATAGTGTGCGCCGATTCAAAGCAATTACAGTAAAGAAGATATAGAGGTAAAGCACAAGAAGTTTCAGACGACGAGTCCAAATGCTTTTTATCGATCCGGCTAAAAATAAATTGTACTCACTGTTCATGAAAGTTTTCGACGAGCCGTGATCTCTAATTGGACCTCTGGAAGGTCCTTTCGTGTAACGGTTTTGTTGAGTAAATATTTTGGGTGTGTTTTCTTTAGTTTTATGGACCGTTTTCAAGGACCATAAAACTAAAGACCCTCCATCCCTTTATTTATTAAATTAGCTGTCGTATTTATCGGTAATTTGTATTCTTTCTTCCGCAATTTCATCCTCTTCATGTGTAAAACATGATAAACTTGACTAATGAAATTTAATGACATGTTAAATTGTGCAATAAAATGGTTTAATGTATCTATGTTTTTTTTTAATTAACGGTCTATTTTTTCTTCCCCTTATACATTAACCTTTCTTTTTTTTTTGTGCTAGCCGCAACTGCCATTTTCATGCTTTTTGTCTCGGTCGCATTTTTACAAAAGGGGATTACTTCGGTTATGATTGATCGCTACGACTATTTCATTAGTCTTTCACGTAAGAAAAGTGGCTTATATCCGTGAAGGCTTCGCGCACTGACGTATATTAATGACTGAAATATTAACGGATCGTTTTTTATCTCGTTTTTTAAGTTCCACCTGACAAGAAGACGCACATAACCGTCACTGTTAATGCAAAATTACTTAACCGCCAAATAAATGTTTGGCGTTTAAGTAATTTTGCCTTTCCAATGGCGAATTATAATTTAAAGTCTACTAAACTTTTTTGTGTTCACGCTCTTTAACATTAAAAGTAAGTAACATAATATTTTTAGTACTATATCGCTGTGTATGGGTCAGTATAGCACTGAAGTATCATGAAACAAAAAGGTTAGCGCTGAAAATCAGCGCTGTGTTGGGGTTTTGACTTCCGGCACGGCATAATGCTGAGCTGCTGACCTAATTTACCAGTAACGTACAATTAATTCTTTTCGTTTAAAAGTTAATTCATTTTTAGCATGGTTTTATGCTAAAACATAGTTTTAAATTTGAATTTACTCTAATTACTAAATTTTTTGAATTTGTGTGTGTTTTTCTTGGTAAATAAATATATTTAATTTCTTTCTCCTTTCAAATGTCTACGAACTGTACACAAAGTACGCGTGTTTATTTTTGATGGTATTCATTTTACGATGCCAAGTTATAGATATCGAATATAAACCCCCGATGTTGACGCTACCTCACTCACTCGTCGGTCCTCTGCAAGATCGTGGTACTTACCCGGACGGACCTGCACATTCGTGCAACAGGGAACACACACACGTTGCGTGGCACACTGCCACAGTTTTTGTATCATGTTGTGGCGTTGGCGGTCTAAAGATGTTGACGTATAATGTCGCAGTTGCATTGAAGCCCAATGGTGCTTGCTCTTAATCCCCTAACGCTATGCGAAACCGCCAAATGACCGCTAAATGGGGTCGCTCTGTGCGGTTAGCGCGAGATAACGGAAAGGTCACCCCTCGTTGGATGGGCGCGGGTAGTTACGTGGAGGGTTAATTGTAAATGACCATCGGAGGTAGGGAATTATTCACGAGAATGTGTAGTTTAGAATGGTTTGACTAAGTTATTCATCCTATCATCGTATCATGTTGGTCCCTGCTGTTCTGGGCATGTAAAGCTTCGTCTTTTCACATTTGGGGTAGGGGGAGGCGATTGATGGGTCCGGTTGATCAATCGGATGATTGTGGGGTGTGTGTGGAACGTGATTGTGGTATGGCAATCAGCCGTTTACCTCAATAGTTAAACACGTCTAGGTGCGAATCCGGAACACGTGTGTTCGATTCCCGCAGCTGCGAAAACCCTTTTGTCCATATTCTACAAATTTCGCTGTTTGTTGTGCCTGATTCCTTTCATAATTGCGAGGCGCTTTTGTTTATTTATTGGAAAAAGTGTATTCTTTCCGTACAGAACCGAGCTCAGATAGTAAAGATAAACAGAGGAGGTTTTGAGGGCTTTCATTTCTTTATTTAAATTTAACAACACGTATTTCTATGCTGGAAAGCGACGCAAGAACAGTGAGAAATAAATTTGAAAGTGTAAACAAAGGTGGGTAACTTAATGTTAGAGCGATTAGATTTTACATGGTTACGCGAAATGAAAACCGTACTAAATGAAGGACTTAAACAAGCGAATCTCCAGTTATAAAGTCCCCTGTGTATTAATGTAGAAAATAAACTATCTCCGTTTCTTATTTCGGTAGCATTTCAGCCATGAATAGGTGAGTAGAACAAACGAACACGAAAGCTCGTTTATAATTTTGTCACTATTGTTATAGTGCAATTATAACGTTACTAGCTGAATTCGGCCACACTTCGCCGTGGCTTTGTTTTTTCGTTTCCGTTGGAAATTCGGAACGAAAGTCATGTAAAGACAGTCTCCTGTTCAATCGTCATGTTGTGAACAAATATCAAGTCAATCCTTCGCCTAGTTTTTGAGATTTGTAGACACAAACTTACGGAAATGTTGTATGTAAAGATTGATGTGAGACTTTTTTTTTTTACTTAACAGAGCGCGTCGGAGTCATCGGCGGGGGCGGGGGGCGGTGGCACGGCCGGCGGCAGCGCGAGGGTCTCATCTCGATCCAGGACTTCCGAGGAGCCACACATTGGTCAGTATACAAACTTCTTAGTTGAAGTTTCACTTCGGTAGAGACAAGCAGCAGTTACCAAGACATGTGCCACGGCCTCAGAGTGGTGTGAAGTGGAAGTATACATAGTCATGCACTTAGTTCGGTGTGAGCGGACCATTGCGCCATTCTCTTTAAGACTGGGAGTTCAATCCCTCGCTCCGGATGTCGCTTTGGCAGTAGTCACTTACTATCCGACGAAACATTTTATCGCTTTCCGCATTTATGATATATAAAAATCAATGTCTGTCAATTTATTCATACGAATTTTGCTATGATTTACTCTTTTAAGAATCAATTATATAAATTAAAAACGATGGACTGTTTTAATTTTATGTTTTCGTCATTTCATTATAAATCTTTATGGACGTATAGTATACAGTCATACACCAACATCGTGGCCCGTGCTGAGAAGCGAGGGAATACTAAATGAATGATTTGTTAAGTTTTCTCAATACTTAATTAAAAAGATACATCTTTACATGGTTGGAGCTTTATTTTGGACTAACCGTAAAATTATGTATATGTATAGGGGAGAAAAAAACACGTATTCTAAAATCATTTCTGTCTCATTTTAGTCCAAGTTTAGGTTCGAAATTTTGTCTTTTTAATCTTTAGAATTAGTTAACAGATTAGGGACTTTTGGATTGCAGGCAAGTACAAACTCCTGAAGACGATCGGCAAGGGCAACTTCGCGAAGGTCAAGCTCGCCAAACATGTCCCGACCGGCAAGGAGGTCGCCATCAAGATCATCGACAAGACTCAACTCAACCCCGGCTCGTTACAAAAGCTGTTCAGAGAAGTGAGGCACTAAACTAATGAATGATCTTCGCTAATCTACCGGATTATGTTCTTATATTAATAATAACGATATCAGCATAATAGTGTCCCACTGTTGGGTATAGGCCTCCTTCCATTTCTTCCACTCCTCGCACCAGACCAATTCCCCGCAAATGCGTCCAGTTCGTCGTGCCCGTGCCCATCTTACATTTTGTGGGACGCATTCGGTAGCAGATTTGGTCCAAAAGGTGTTCTTCTATTCCGTAATACATATCTGTTTACTTCGAAACTTGACCGTTGTTTTCCTCCTGAAAAAAATATCATTGTTTTTATCCGATTTCAAAAGGGGGATGTTCTTAATTCGACTGTATTTTTTTATGTTTGTCACCTCAGAACTTTTGACTGTGTAAACTGATTTTGATGATTCTTCCTTTTTTATTTGAATGCTGGTGCTTCCCATGTACCATATTAATTTCATTGATATTGGATCGTAGGAAACTCCTGAAAATCAATTATAAAATGAATACAGAGCGAGATATTTGAAGTCGGTTTTGTTTTTCGTTAGTAAAAAAATGGTTTTTTTTAAAGTTTATTTTTTGTCATTTGCTTAATGTTAATGCGAATTGGTCTTTCTTAGTTAAGATCAAAAAATGGGGTTTACATAAAAACTTACATGTCACGGAAATACTATTTGTTCGGGCGAAATTTATCCGTTCTCGTTATTCAATTTACAAGCGATATATGAAAATGTGTGATACCGCTTTGTTTCTAGGTACGGATAATGAAAATGCTCGATCACCCGAATATTGTGAAACTGTTCCAAGTGATTGAGACTGAGAAGACGTTGTACCTCGTTATGGAGTACGCATCTGGCGGAGAGGTGAGTGAAGTCGTCTGTAATTCATAAAAAAAAAAATATACTAATTACTTGTTCATGTTATATTAAAGCCTTGTATGAACTTTGATAAACGAGTCTAGGAGGTATATACCAAAGTACCACCACAACACGCAGAAGCTAATGCTGTTTCTCTAACGTCAATGATCCAGAAGATGTTATGATTTTATGTTTCGTCTGATGAGTTAGGTCTCCGAAGTTCATCTCTTTATAGTAGTTGGCAACGCATCTGCAAACCCTCAGATCTAGATTTAGAGGTTGATGTCCATGAACAGCATTAATTACTTAACATCAGGTCGGCAGTATTCGCGCTTGCTATCTTCTCTAAAAAATATAAACTGGATTCTTGTGGTATATAACATATTCCTATTTTATAAAATAGAAAAGCTTCCTAAGCCTTTATGCAAGCTTTTCATTTTGCTGACAGCGCTTTTCTATAAAATCTAACACATAACTTATCACTGACATTGAAAATAATGTTGTCAGGTGTTCGACTATCTGGTCCTTCACGGCCGGATGAAGGAGAAGGAAGCGCGGGCTAAGTTCCGCCAGATCGTCTCGGCGGTGCAGTACTGCCACCAAAAGAGGATCATCCACAGAGATCTCAAGGTGAGAGTCCACAGCACAATTGTACACTATAAGTAATTTATGTACATAATGGATATTTGGAAGTGTTTCGAACAAATATTCTAATACTGCTATGCTGTGAGCAAATTGGAGTACAATGTTCCTATCACTAAGCGGTCATGAGATTTTTGTGTTCTACTTGATAACACAAGAATTATCATCATCACAGCTTGTGCGTGTCACAATGGACGATTGCTCTACTATCAAACATTTTGCTCTTTTACTGATTTCCAATAGATACGTTTGGAATAAAAAAAATCGGAGACTTTGTTGTCGTCGGTATTTTACATAGCCTAGTCTCTGATGATCAGTGCTTAAGGTGAGGCAAGATCGGGAATAATTGGTAGAGAACAGAACGAAATGATGTTTTCTTTCTCACATGATGGTGTGCCTATAACCTTGTCTATATCATTTAGGAATAATCCTCGATGCGATATCGTTTTAGATTTTGGATATCGCATATCTGTTACGTTTCACTTTTATCCAATTCACGTCTGCTGCGCTTTCAGGCGGAGAATCTCCTGCTAGACGGCGAGATGAACATCAAAATTGCGGACTTCGGTTTCTCGAACGAGTTCACGCCGGGTTCGAAGCTGGACACCTTTTGTGGGAGTCCCCCTTACGCGGCGCCCGAGCTGTTCCAAGGTATTGTCATTGCCATGGTGGTCTTTTCTTTCATTCTCATCGTCGTATCAATGATTGTCACCGCGATCGTCATCACCAAAACCCACAATTATTGCATTCCTAACTAAATAAGCAACGTTTACGTCAAAAAGTGGTATGATCTCTGCTGCCTCGCCAAACATCTTCGAAATTATCTTGTTATTTTTTTTAAACATTCCCTTACTTTAGGATGATATTATCTTGTGTTGTAAGGACATTTTACAAACATAAATTTCACGCTGACAAACACCCAGATGCGAAACAACTATTTGTGTGTCCCACAAATAGTTGTCCCGTGTGGGAATCGAACCTACGACCCCCGACGTTATGTATCATTAAATCTTACTTCACAAACGAAATGTTACCTTTTTGAAGTAAGATTAATTGTGGTTACACACGATTAATTGTGGTTGTGGGTGTCTGTGTAATTTGGGTGTTTTACGATTGGAGGTGGATTAAAATTTTGTGTTATTCATGATGCAGCTAAGATTATTTTTAATTTGAGTTATGAAATAAAGAAAGGAGAAAGAAGAAGAAAAAGTAGTAAACCCACCTAGATTCCACAATTTGTCGTCAGTGAACTCTTTTTACTATTCTTGTCTTAACGCGTCAAAGCTCTTTTCAAAATAAAGGTCGAGCTCATCTATGTTTTTGAATTTATATCTCTTCACCTAAGCTTGGTGAAAGGATATGTATTAACAAAAGAAATCTAACGTTCCATATTATGTAACCATAAACTTTTTCTCCGTTGTCACTTTCAAACTATAACCAATAGATGTGGCTTCTACAAAAATTATGAAACTCACGACTAGTTTATTTTATACCGTAGGGTCGGTAGAGGTATTAAGACTGATATTTCCTTGTGTAGGGGTCAGACAGAAATTAAACTGTAGTTAGGCTTCTTCAGAATAAAGTTATTTATTATAAATCATAATCATCATATTATTACACCGTATATGAATATGTAATTGTTATTATAAGTGAGGCTTTATCAGAATTAAGTTATTTATCATTTTTATTAATTAATCATGACGTTGCGTTTTCGTCATTATCTAGTTTTGGCCAATAGATGTCGCTGATTTTAAAAATTAAAGAGAAATCTCACTTGTGATCGTCCACCATTGCAGGAAAGAAATACGACGGTCCCGAAGTGGATGTCTGGTCGCTGGGTGTGATCCTGTACACCCTCGTATCGGGATCCCTTCCCTTCGACGGCTCGACCTTGAGGGAGCTGAGAGAGAGGGTGCTACGCGGCAAATATAGGTGAGATTGCGTTCCTTCTCGTCCTTCTTCATCCTTACTATATATACTATATAATATAATAAGTTCGAAAGTAACTCTGTCTGTCTCGCTTTCTCCCCAAAACTCCTGAACCGATTTAAATGAAATTTGGTACACAGATAGTCTAGAGCATAGGCTATTTTTTATTGGAAAAAAGTGTTGTTAAAAGCTTGTAACGCCGGGCGACATGCCCCGTTTTGCCCCCCCCCCCCCCCCCCCCCCTAAATCCGGCCCTGTCCAAACCCCTCCACACGGAATACATACAAAACTTGTCACCTCCGACGTACAGGATACCGTTCTACATGTCGACGGACTGCGAGAATCTGCTCAAGAAGTTCCTGGTCCTGAACCCGGCGAAGCGGGCGTCGCTCGAGAACATAATGCGCGACAAGTGGATGAACACCGGCTACGAGGAGGACGAGCTGAGGCCCTACGTGGAGCCCCAGCAGGACTTCAAGGACCACAAGCGGATAGGTGAGTGCGCGATGCGTGGCGAGCGATTTCGCACCTTATTCTCACGGGGGTAAGGTCTGATTGCACTGCGAGATGACTACGTTGCAAGGAAAATGCACCTTATTGCTATGGGTGTAAGCTCTGATTGTGTTGAGAGTCGATTGTATGAAGACGACTGCGCTGCAAGTGAATTCAAGCGGATAGGTGAGTGCGCGATGCGTGGCGAGCGATTTCGCACCTTATTCTCACGGGGGTAAGGTCTGATTGCACTGCGAGATGACTACGTTGCAAGGAAAATGCACCTTATTGCTATGGGTGTAAGCTCTGATTGTGTTGAGAGTCGATTGTATGAAGACGACTGCGCTGCAAGTGAATTCGAGCGGATAGGTGAGTGCCGATGCGTGGCGAGCGATTTCGCACCTTATTCTCACGGGGGTGGTAAGCGCGATCTGGCGAGCGATTTCGCACCTTATTCTCACGGGGGTAAGGTCTGATTGCACTGTGAGATGACTACGTTGCAAGGAAAATGCACCTTATTGCTATGGGTGTAAGCTCTGATTGTGTTGTGAGTAGATTGTACGGAGACAACTGCGCTGCAAGCGAATTTGTACCTTATCGTTATGGAGGAATCAAACCGTGATTGCGTTGGAAGTCGATTGCATTTAGAAAACTACGTTGCAAGCTATTTAACACCTTATTGTAATAGTGGTAAGGACTGATTGCGTTGCGAGTCGGTTGCATGAAGAAAGCCACGTTGCAAGTGAATTTGCACCTTATCGGTATGGAAGAACGGTCTGATTGCGTTGCAAGTTGATTGCTTACAAAAAGTTTGTGATGAAAGTAAGATCTAATTTCGGCTGATTTAAGTTAGACTCTTAGAGTTAGAGAGGATTTACTTAGGGAATGTGAACACGTTGTATTTGTTCTGTTATAAGAGTATTTATATTATTTAAATAATCAATTATTAAGCAAATACCTCAATCGGCTAAATAAATATGCTTTCTTTGCTCAAGCTATTAAAGCCACCAGTGTATAGGAAATAAACGAGAACACGTTAATTGAGGTAACAGTTACTTTATATGCTTAACTGGAGAAATATCATTTATATAGTATCTTTTGATAAATGTAAGTTAATAAAGATAAATTCTGAGTAATATTGAGATGTACGACTGTATAACTTCGTTTTATGAAGAATATTGCTACTAAATTCTGCAATTCATTAACAAATTTGGAAAAAACAAGAGAAATAAGTAACGAAGACTGACTTCGGCCGAGTCAAATTTAAGAGGGATGATTCTGGGGGACAAAACTTATATAATACGTATATATGGTATTACAATTATACGACTCCGTCATGTTATGTTTATGTAAACATATAGTCGTCGAAGATTCTTACAATCAAGAGAATTTCTTTTGCTGTCTGTGCTATAACTCGTTTCTACAATATGTGTAAAGTTTATTTCCAACAATACATTAATATATTTCGAGCCATGTATGCCATATATGGATGTACTGTTGGTGTTAGACTTTATTAAAAACAGAGCTGTGGTGATATCTAAACGGTGTTATTATATTTCATGCGTACACAATACAACTAACGGCACAGCGCAAGTTGGTATGTGACCTGACGCCAAATTGTTCGTTTTGTGTTTGTCTCGATGGTGTTTGTGCGTTCGCGTCAATTCTGTCTTGTTGTTTGTCGTTGTAAGTGTCGCGAGACGCTCCCAATTCAACTTTGACGTTGCCAAACTGACGTAATATGTCAAAGTGGCGTAATCTGTAAAATTAACGTATTCTGTCAAAGTGACGTGATCTGTCGTACTGACGTATTCTGTCAAAATGACGTGAGCTGTCAAGATCAACGTGCGTGTGTGCTTTGCTTTTGTATATTTATATCTACGACGCACTTTTGACCCGCGTTCCCGATGAGACAGAATTAAATTAATTAATTGCTTTCGTATGCATGCTGTCATAGTGTTTGGTCCATGGGGACCTTATTATTTTTACGTAGGAAGTGTAGTTTTCTTTAGACGTCATTAGAATCCTTTTTTCTCTATTGACAATGACCAGTTTCCTTTATACAAATATGGTTTTTGATGTAAACTGGTGTTTAGTTGTTCTAAAATATAAGCGACTTTTTGTTTATTTTTGATTATTGAGTTGAGTAAAATAGAATAAATAATTTTAACGTACCCTTAGTAAACCATTTTGATTCTATAGTACATGCATATTATATTTTATATACATATATTTTATATTTTTGAGTAGTTCCATAGCATGCTTGATATTTATGTCAATCAAAAGTTATTTATGTTACTTGTTTAGCGCTATATGTAGGTACTTAATTATTATAAATAGATTAACAATTATGATTTAATTCAAGATTCGTAAAAAAAGCATGTCTGTTTCTGTCTCTAGTGTTTCGCTCTCATCGCGAGTATTGGAATTGACTGATGTTTATTTTCACAGAGGCGTTAGTGTGCTTGGGCTACAACAGGCAAGAGATCGAGTATTCGCTCGCCGAGGCGAAATACGACGACGTGTTCGCCACTTATCTGCTACTAGGGCGGAAGAGCACCGATGTGAGTCCATTTTAATGTTGATTTTAAGCAAACTGATGAAAAAAATATACCGAGAAGTAGATTCAGCAGTGTAGCTATGGGGAAGGGATGGGGTGGGGTGGGGGATCTGTTTAGAACTTACTTAAACTGTCTGCCACTCACAACCGTATAGTGAAATCAGTCCAGGACCTTAGAGCCTATTCTAACGCTAAAGCATTTAACTCTTCTGGTGAAATCTATAGGCGGTGATCAGTTACAACGGGTCATCATCACAAAAGATACTTACGGTACAGATACGTGTGGTGAAGAATATTTTGATCGCAATATAGCATAGCGTGACTAACTTATAGACGTGATCGTAAGTACGACGTCAGTTTAAGTGAAGAACTTGCTCTGTAAATAATTTCGCTTTGAACGCACGGATGATTGCGTGACGGGTTCCGATTGCTATGAAGCGGGCTGAAGGTATGTGGCAGGCTCGTCCGGGAAAGTACAACGGCCTCACAGTGGACAAGCGTGAAGTGGAAGCATTATACTTTCACGTTTCGCCCGCGTGTGTGAGGTGACCGGGGCCCACTTTTGAATGGTCTTCAACGCACCCACCACCCCTCAGGTGTTGCAGATGTCCACGGGCGGCGGTACTCTCTTAACATCAGGTGAACCGCCTGCTCACTTGAAGATGTTTTACATTAAAACAAAAACCTATCGGCAATGATAAATCCGCAGCCCGAATCGGACGGCAGCCGCTCGGGCTCGTCGCTTTCGCTGCGAAACTCGGCCGCCCCGCAGCAGCAGCAACAGGCGACTAACGCGCACGCAGGTATTTGCCCGCTTATAAACATACACACGCATTCACACATGCACAGACATTGTGCATACGCATGCAACTCTAAATGCGTGAACGATACGAGATCACGCCGAAAGCCGAATCCGGCTCGAAGGACCCACACACACTCACGCGCATACACAGACATTGTACACACCCATGCAAATGTAAATGCGTGAACGGTACGAGATCGCTCCGAAATCCGAACCCATCGCGAAGGACCCACACACACTCACGCATACACAGACATTGTACACACGCATGCAAATGTAAATGCTCGAATGATACGAGATTACTCCGAAAACCGAACGCGCCCCGAAGGACCCACACACACACCCATACATACACAGACATTGTACACACACAATTAACTGTAAATTGTGAACGATACAAAATCACTCCGAATGCCGAATCCGGCTCGAAAGACCGTAAACGTTGCACGACTACAACCATTCAAGATTTGTGCAACATTAAATGCGTTAACATTTCGGGATAACAGCAAACACCCGTTTAAAATTTTACCAATATTGAATCTTTTACGATGCGATTCAAATAAGAATAGAACCGACCTCGCCGTATCTTGTGACGTCATAGCTGTCAATTTAAATTGCGAAAAACGAATGTAGCAGTAGGGTGAAGAAATAGTATTTATTTAGAAATAAATTTTGCATTTAAATCATTAGTCGTATTTAAAATATTCCCCTGACTGTTATTTAAAAGAAAAATAGGCAAGTTATTACCTGTGTTTATATTAAAACTAAAGTTACCACCGATAACTTTAGTTTTTGTGGTGTTGGTTACGTAACGAAAGTGGAAAAAAAAGTTAAAAACTAATATTGACTCCAATGTATTTGTAAATTTTTTTATAAATGTATCATAAAACATTCTTTTCTTAAATTAAAAAAAAATAATTTTCTTTGTAAACCGTAATTTTTTAAATGACAATTGACAGATTGCGGTCATTCTAGGGCATTGACGTTCCTATTATTATTTGAAATATGCATTAGTAACATATTTTCTAAGTGGACTTTTTTTATTGGATTTGAATCGATTGTTATTATTTATACACACTCTACACGATGAGAATGATTTTGGCTAATACGATACATCATGATTTTTAAACAACATTTTTTGGGTATTAAAAGATTGTCGCAGTTGCCAAAGCATAAAATTATGGAGAAAAAAAACAATAAATCATATATTCCAGTAACGAGTACTAATTGCAAACATTATTATTTACAAAATTATCCGCTAGATAAGAATTACGCTTTAATAAACTTAATACAAAAATTTATAATATATTGAGCGTAACTAAGCTTTAAATGCGCTTAGACCATAATAATGAGGGAGCTTCGTAGCTTATTCTAACCGGGATTACTATACTTCCTTTGACTGTACTTGACAACCATAAGTGACGTCCCGCCACCGTGACGCAAGTTTTGGCGCGAATGCGAAACGTCAGTTGGCTGTCATTCGCTGGAGTTTATATTTTTTTTACTTTTGGATGTCATTTGGAATGTTTACGTAGACTATGTTTAAAAATTTTCCATATAAACTCGGTGTGATACTCACTTACCTTTTTATTTATAATTTTTGATGTTAATTTTTTTTTGTCGTAGTAAATTATAAACCTCTCCCACTGAATGTTGTGAATGACAGTGAATTGACACTTCCCTTTGCATCCACCTTAAGGAGTTTTATTTTTTTGAACCTGGTTTATGATTGTCAAGAATGTATTTTTATTTTATTTTTGTATTTATCGTCACTTGAACTCCATTTTGTAAGTGCGCTTTTTATTTTTATTGTCTATTATGTGTGCTTGATATGTCGTCCACCTGTCAACTATTCCCCCTACCTTGGGCAAAGTGTTTACGTGTGATCATAGTCCTTTGTTTTGTAGAATTTGAGCAGTGTTAAATTATATTCAGAGCTTTCGAGTGGATTTTTAAAATATCCTAAATGATGACAAATTGCCTAAATGTAACAAGTGTCAAAACTGATACATTCTTCAAAAACTTGTATAGGAGGGAGCCAATGCAAACGATATTTCATTTGAATACATTTTATCTGAACAGAATTCAAAAAACGCTTACGTTCTTTAATGGTCATATTTAGTTTATTTTGCTCACAAAAATATTTTTATGAAAAAATGTTTTTTTCCCATCCCGATCGCCTAACATCAAACAATGTAACTTTGTGTTAAAATTAATCTTAAAACCTCTGCGTCATCATTTATAATTCGTATTTGGTAAATCTTCCCTTTGGCCCTGGACTCTTAACGTTACGTTGAACGTTGAACTCGCCCAAAACGCGTACGACGCAGAAGTTATACCGCGATAACTTCTAGGGTTAACTAATCGAATAATGGAATCCGCTTCTCGGAATTAAGCTATCGCCGCGACGCGTTAGGCCCGTGGGGTTGGTACTCCGGTACGGGTGGGGGACTAGTGGGGAGGGTGGGACGGTAAAGTGGTGCGGTGCGCAGGCGGTTGCGGTTCGCCGTCGCACCGGGGCGTGCAGCGCAGCATCTCGGCCTCCGCGCGCCCGGCCGCCTCTCGCCGCGCCTCCTCAGGCGCCGAGGTGCTGCGCGCCCAAGGTAACCCCCGCCTACGGCCGCCTCTCGCCCACCTCTCGCCCACCTTCTCGCCCGCCTCTCGCCCACATGTCGCCCGCCTCTTGCCCCTTCACTCTCACTTCCCTTGCCCCTTCACTCTCACTTCCCTTGCCATCCCACCTCCCCTTAGTGCATTGACACTATCGGTTCCCTCTTCCCCTCGCAACGCCTTTACAAGTCGTCAGCCGCAAAATTATAGTACATTAAGGGGATCCTCTAGTAGTGGTCGTTGGGATTTACTACTCAATCCCTCCTGTATAAAATAAAATACAATAAACGCGTGATTGTGACTTAGCCAAATTAAACTTATCGTTAAGAAGCCTCAGAGACCCTAACCCTGATACTCTGAAACCATTGTCAATCCCGACATGTACACCGCACTTCTCGTTTAGACGCCTCAACTACAGCGGTCGTGTTGATGCCTTCAATCGTGACCCTGTCTTCTTTCTAATACTCGATCAGTATTACTTCAGTCATTGTAATCGAATCCATGTCTTGCCATCTGAAACCCGTTCAAAGCATCGATACTTTAAGTCATCCCCCTCTCCTCTCTCTGACAATTCAACTGTTATATATATCCCACTTGTTAGTTTCAGTCATTATCGTTAATTATCGTAATTTTGCGATTTGTCCGTATGTCCATCTCCAACTGTCCCTCCCATCCCAGATGCATTATTACCCTTAGGGGTAGTAGAGTATTAGTCACATTTTTGATAGCTTTTGTTGAATAAACCGATTCAATAATTATTTCCCAATTTCAGTTTCTCTTTTGTAATTCCCTCCTGTTTTCTTGAAGTACACTTATAAATATAACTTTCTTCTGTTTCGAATCCCTGACTGTTCGATGCTAAGTTTATTGTTTGGTTCTTGTCATATTCAGTTTTATCTCCTTTTATATCCTTTGCCAACTCCCCTGCACTCTGCGTCTCACTCTGTTCCGCACATTTTTTCACTTTTTACACGTGGTCGAAATTGTTCATCCGTTATCGCATGCAATAAATTTTCAGGTTATCTTCACTGATATCAGTTCTTCAACGCTTTCTTTACATTTGCCTATTTCATTTGATACGATTTCAAATACTGATAATGCTACTTTATTGGTTTTTATGTTTTAAACAGTGTTCAGGTTTATGTCGTTCACAATTTTAAACAAAACGAGAACATAAATACTGTATGTCTATTATAGTCGATAGTTGATTCTTCTATAGTTATAACATTGATTTCTTTCTATAAATGAATCAATTGTTGCATGCAGTTTCGTTTTATTCGTTTATGTGCCTTTGCAAGTCTGAGTGTGTGTGTTTCATGCGTGTGACACCTTTTCTGTTCAAATATTTTGCTGCGTATATTGCTCGCCTGCACAAACTCTTTCGAGGTATTTGCAATTGCGTTTCAAATACTCTCTTTTTTATTCCGCCTCTTGTGTTTTTCCTATTTTCTTATTCTTTTCCTTTTCTATTTTTCACAATTCCTTCCTTTTGTCCTTTTCTTTCTCTTCCGCTTTAATTGTCAATGTCCTTTTATTTTGCTTCATATGTTGCGTGCCGCTTAATTTGTTAGGTTTATTTATAAAACTTATGCATTTATCATTTACACTTTTGCTTGTTTTATTTTAATTTAGATCAACTCTATTCTAACAAATAGCCTATTACTAGTAGTAACGACTAAATCACAAGATCTTTACATATCAACTTTGGGATGTGCATGCATCTCGGTCATCGATAATAATCGATTCTTCTTGGTAGGGAGACCAAGTGATGCGGGTCCTTCTATGATTAAGTCGATTTTGACACCAATTGTTTACCGTTATTGCATGCCAGTATTTCAGTTTTGTTTTAATGATTTGCTTAGCGAATTCCAAGGAACGTTTCGAACCGTCTGGAATGTTTCTAATTCATATAGAATTTCAGCCAACATTATTAGAATGCTCTCATCCTAATTGACATACTAGTGTTACATTAGATAACATATTAGTGTTACATTGCTCGTCAAATCGCTTCGAATCAATCTCATCTATGCAGTAATAGTCATAGGTCTTAGATTAAATCACGTGAGCCGGGAATTCTGAGAGATTTTGACGCGCGCACATCCTCTCTATGGCCTCGCAACGCTAGTGTGGTTTTCGCTTACTACTGACACATTACACTCGGCGTGCGGATCGTTGCGATCTCATGCGATACGATGCTATGCGGCGCGCTTCGAAGCGAGTGCCTAATATATTTAAACTCGGGCTTACAGTGGGCACGACGACCAGCGCAGCGAACAACACCACATCGACCGCGACAACCACAACTTCAAACTTCAAAAGACAGGTTACGTATCGCCGTGTTTATGTCAGATAAATGTTTATTTCATTGTGTGCGTATGTTGCTGTTGAACTTCGATAACAAATATCGGATTGGTTAAAGGGTATTCTAAATAGAACTTCTTTCAACTTAGTATTTTAAATAGAATACTCTTTTAAAATATAATTCTGACAAGTAAATACTTGTTAGAATTATATGTTAGAAAGAGTTTTACCCTTTAAATCAACTCGTATTCTGCCTGTTAGGGAAGTTATGCAAGGTACTAACTTTGAGCATTTAATAAAGTTTTCAGTTGATTTTTTTATTTTCATAATATTATTTATTGATTATTGATATGTATGTCCTGGATTCGGCAATCGAATTTCATTTTGATTTAGCCTCGGAAGGTTTTTAGTCGTGAACTTAAAAAAATATTGATGTTTATGACCGATTAGTAAATAAACTAAGAGGTTTTTTTTTCAGTTTCAATAAGTATTGTCTGTTAAATATTACAGAATACAATCGATTCGGCTTCCATCAAGGAGAATACGGCGCGGATCGCTCAAATGCAGGTACGTGGTGTTTGTTTTAGATTCATTAGCAGTTTTATTTATTTATTTATTTATTTATAATTGAAATGTGTGGATTAGTTGCAACTGTTAACTTTATCACTCCGGGAGCTGTAAACGTAAAATGTACAGTTTATTATTGGGTTCATATAAAACTTGTTGTTATATTTGCGCGGTATATATTGTTAAATGTAAATATCGAATTCGGTTTAGAACCTTGATAACTTAAATCAGTTTCTGAACGGTCATCATAACGTACGAAAGGGTTAGGTTGCTTCGAGTCTACTAAATCCAATCATCAACATGTTTTTCTAACGTCTGTGTGTTTATATATCTATAATATGTGTTTATTTACAAAAGAAAAGTTTATTACCCAGTTACCTTGTACCCATATTACGAACTTTGCTTAGTTTGGGACTAGATAACTTTGTAATATGTTTTGAAAATATTTTTTTGTTTATCTATTTGGTGGACGTTAAAGATCGGCATACGTCGCAGGTGCAGAACACCACGCGGCCGAGCAGCGCCCAACCGAAGCTCGAACCCAGGTCCCGCACGCTGACCAGCGGGCAGCGGCGCACCGCGCTAGAGGCGGCGCCCGCCCACGGAACCCACGCCACCCACGGGGCCCACGCGGCCCACGCGGCCCACCCCACGCCCGTCAAACTCTCGCCACCCAACGACACGCCCAGGTATGTTTGTGCGTATGTGTGTGAGTATCCGCGTCGAAACACTTCATTGTTTTTGTGTGGGGATGAGATGTCGACATCCATTGAGTGCGATGCTGTCATGGTATCCGGCTCGAAGGACCAGTCCTATTTATTTAGTGTGGGGAATGGAAACATGTATATGCTGGTGCAATCTTCGAAGGCTAGTGTACACTCTTGGCAGTGGCGTTTTTGAACGCTCACGCGTGTTTATCTTTGAAGGACAAACTATTTGGCGAGGCTACGTTAGATAAATCCCCGCGTTATTGTTTTAAGCTCTTAACGATGTCCGCCTCGAAGGACCATTCGTGGGTGAATATTTCGACATTCTATCTAAAGGTTTAGAGTTCCATTTTTTTGTAGGGCGTATGTTACCGTTAGGCATTTACTTCGTAGTAATCAGAATGTAAAATTACCTGGTGTTTATTATTTGTTAATGAATTATCTACACAAATAAAATTGATATCGGGGCTTCTTTAAGATTCATCGCATAAGAATTTGAGATTAATTTTATGTAGGATTAGGATTTCTTTAACAAGATGTGGAACAAGTAACTTATCTTCTTCATAAACCTATATAATATAATTGTATGTATCGATAACTCCGTGTATGTGTACATATTATATATTATGTATTATATTTTATAATAATTTAAATATCTAAATGTAACATATATACGCGGCGACTGTACGCATGTGTGGCGGGGGGGATAAGTGGGAGGGGGGGTGGGTTATAACTAACGGACGAGGTGAAGGACCGACGAAACGACACGAACGTACCGGGACTAACAGCATGCAATTTCGATTCCGCCGCCGCCGCCGACAGCGCTACGCAGGCGGAGGCCAAGAACGGCGCGGGGGCGGCGAACGGGAGCGGCGGGGGGGCGGCCGCGGCGGGAGGGGGGTCGACAGGGGGGGCGTCGGGGGCGAAGACCCACGTGAAGAGCGCCTCTATCTCGTCGGGCAGCGGGGCGCCCCCTCTCGGCGCCGACCCGGCGGCGCACAACGCCTCCGCCCGCGACTTGGCCCCGCCCCGCCCCAGGTACATGGGGGGCGCTTGTCCGCGCGACGCTTTCGTTTGCACCGAACACGCACGCCTCCGTCGGACGACGTCAGCGATGGTTCCCGAACGCCGAAGGGGCGAGTTTATCGCTTTCGCGCTCCGCTTGGCCGCGACCCGTCGAGGCTTTGTTTTGCACCGACGACGCGCCGCGTTCCGCCTTATGCTGGTTGATATAGTGGAGGGGGGGGGGGGGGGGTTGATGAGTGGAAACCGAGGGAAGATTCTCGACTCGCGCCAGTGCTATCAGGAGCTTGTAGGAGTGAAACTTTGCTTGCACCGCGTCGATCTTATGACTTGGGACACAGAGTAGGGGCAGTGCTTTGGGCGTAAGAGGAGAGGCGTAGAGATAGATGGTACAGGTCTGTCTTGAAAAGATTAACCAACTTGATGTTTTACTCGCAACTACCGGGACACCACTATTTAGCGCAGTAACCGAATAGACTCATCCCCTATTACGCAATAAGCCCATGTAGAAGGATGTTGGAATATCTTCTAGTTATGGGCTTGTTAGGGTTCCGTACTCAGACGGTAAAACGGGACCCTATTACTGTTTTTCCGTCTATCACAAGGCTGTATCTCATGAACCGTGATAGTTAGACAGTTGAAATTTTCACATAGGATGTATTTCTGTCGCCGGTAGGTATTTAATATTTTAGTCCGGCTCCCATACAGCTTAACTGATTTTTTTTTTGCTGTTTTTGTTAATGATACGGAACCCTAGGTGCGCAAGTCCGACTCTCACTTGACCGGGTTATTCAGTGGAGCGGAGGGAGAGAAATATCGCTTAGTTACTGGTTAGCGGGGAAGGGTTTTTTGGGGTTCGTCACTTTTGCAGTGCGCTTCGCCGAATCAGCTTTCCACCCACGAGCAAACCTAGCTAAAATGTTATTTTTTTTTAGAGTGCACCCGTAACGCCGACATTGTGTCGTTTTAGATTTGTTCTCTCAAAGAATTCCAATCTTTTATATCGATATACACTTGGCGATTCGATTGCACCTTTTTTTTAATTTAATTCTTTGCACTATTAATCTCTTCACGTAGGACACGAGGTTATATTTTCACTATTCTACTCCTACAGCAGTTTTTATAATTAAGTTTAAACTATGATTACCTTTACAATTTTCCTAGACACTTTATTCTGGCCATTGTAATATTGAAGTGATTTCTATCGACATTTTAGTAAAAATAGTTTTAAGAATACGTCTGATTTGACTGAATTGTATTGCTTAAATTAACAATTACGCATATTCTAGTGTTTTTATATTTTATTCGGCTTACGCATGCAATGTGTTTATTTTTATTATGATAATTATTATATTGTCTTGTATTTTTTTTGCACTTACATAATATCTATATATTTATTTTATATGATATTCATCTCTATCATTATTATTTAGATTTTATTATATATGTTTTATTCGATTACATATTTAGTTTTTACTTTATTAAACAGAGTATGATAATTAATAACACAATATATGTTATGACGCACATTAGTAGATTTTTGCCATAGTAAAACACTTGCAAATATTTTTTTTATTTAAAACAAAGGCACCTCTAATTTTGAGCTGCTGATTTTGCTGATATTAAAAAAACATAATATATAAGAAAAAAAATTTATGCGCGCCCGTGCTGCATTATTAACGGCTTAAATTTTTATTATTGCAAATGTAGTATCTTAGTGTATTACTGAAACTATTATTGTTTGTATTGTAAAGCACCAATCAATGTGATATCTTAAAATTCCTCGCAGTCTTAAACGGGGCAAATCGAAGCTCGATATTTTCTAATTTGCGTTAGTTAAACCTACATCAGTTCGAAGCCCCGCACCGAGACCGACGACAAGTGCTGACGCGAATTGCACCTTACGCGCTTAGTGATTGGGTCGTGAACGCTCCGCAGCCTCAACTCGAGCCTGTCCACCGGCGGGGGCGCGGGCGGCGCGGCGGGGGCGGCGGCCGCCAGGCGCGAGTTCCCCAACCCGCTCGTGTTCCCCAGGAACGTGCCCTCGCGCTCGACCTTCCACTCTGGTGAGTGAGCACCCTATGGTCGCATGTGCTGGCCGTTTCTTGTATGAAGGACGGGGGGGGGGGGGGGGGGGGGGGGGGGGGGGGTTGAGTCGTCATAAGAAAGCTCGTCTTCGGTGTGTAAACACCCTATGACCGAATGTACGGACTATTTCATTGGGGCAGGGGGGGATATACTCGAGCAAGCCCAGATATTGGAGCGGGTCTTGATAAGAAACCGTGTCTTTTGTGAGTAAACACCCCTTAACCGAATTTACGGACTATTTTTTTGGGGGAGAGGGGGGATATACTCGAGCAAGCCCAGATGTATGAAGCTAAATCCGTCTAAAACCTTCTGGTTTAGGTGGAACTTGGCTCAACTTTACATTGGTAAATCCAACATGCTATCACGATATACGATATATAAAACTCGTGTTGGATCGAAATGAGCTCTTTACACCAAATACTAATTCTTTTATATTTCCTACTCATGTATTTTATGCTGATTTTTGTATTAAACATGATACAAAAGTGAGCAATCAAGGTGGAGTTGCGAATTGGGAATTGAACCTTGTACCGCAGGCCAAACGCGGTCGCGTGGTGCTAGTGCGGGCGGCGCCTACGGGGACGGGGGCTCCCCCCATCAAGCGCGCCCCTCCTTCTTCTCCAAACTCTCGTCGCGCTTCTCCAAACGGTGAGTGTTTCTCCGCTCTCAGACAGTCCAAACACTCGGGCCCCACCCCACTGGAAAAGACGATGTTATACCACTCGAATCAATACCGGTTCCATACGATCCATACAGAGTTTTTTGGGTGACATTTGCTTTAACATAAAACAACTTTTTTATGTAAAAAAAACTATCAGTAAGTCGTCTGTCGTAGATGATTACAATTAGTTACCAGTTAATACGTATTGTGTATTGATCGTATGGATAACGTTATTGATACAGGACGTTTCCATTTGCGTTGTGGGCTCTCTGAGTAAATGATATTAAACACAGAGAAATAAGTTTTTCAATTTAAATTATTTTTCTTTATACGCTCTCAACTCTCATACTCTCTGTCTCTAATATCTTATGTGCTAGTGATGGTTCTGCCAGTCGTATAGAAAAGCAATAAGTATTTTTTCGTGAAATTAACAAAAGACGAGATACTTTTAGATTGGTATCGGTTTTTTTTTATTTAGATTGCTATACATAGTGTTAGATCACATTAAAATCGAAAATTTTGATCATTTTTCATCTGTACTAAGATATATTTACATCAAATTATAATAAGTGATAACTCCAAATCTGTGGCAAAATTTCTCTTCTTACAAATTCGTACATCTCTATTCACATTAAAATGTGGATTACGAATGTTAAATTTTTTAATAACTATTCGGCGGTCACTAAACATCGACTGGCTCAACGCTCACTCTGAAACGACCTAAAGGGAAATTGAACCATCTTGACTAAATTATTCGTCGATCATTCGTCAGATCGGACACCAAGCCACGCCCCTAACACACAGTGTGACTAACACAATCACGAAACACAGTTACCTTTTGATTCTTTTGCTATCTCCCCTGTCGCTACTTTGCTACTTATGTCGCGAATTCGAAATTGACGTTTTGAAAGACGTTTTGTATTCGTGCCTACAGTATTTGCATATCACATTTGACAATCCACTCCAATATGTCAGTTTCATTCTTATGTTCATTTGGTGCGTTTGGCATCTATTATGCCGACCCAGACCAGGAGAAAGAAGAATCCTTCTTCTTCTTTCTCCTGCTGAAGAATCCTTCTTCTTCTTTCTCCTGCTGAAGAATCCTTCTTCTTCTTTCTCCTGCTCCTTGAAATATCGCACACGTACACACAAAACGTCTCTTAAAACGTCATTCGATCATCAAACTTGTATAATGTTATTACCACACGCGTATGTTAGCTTAGCACCGCTTCTCATGCACCTTTCCGATTCACTTCCATTACCATTCGATCCACTAGCGTCGGTTTTGATTTTTTTCTTTCCTATACCTACCTACCTACCTACAGAGACTTTGGCGCCCAGCATGGGCCCCGTTTTATCCGGGATAGTTTATTTTGGTCTACTAAAAAAAGGGTTGTGGAAAAAGACTCGTATGCAATAGAGGAAATTTACAAATCTCTGATTGGGGAACAGCATTTAAAGCTCTTTTTGACATGTGCAATTTTCTTTTATGTTCTTTAATTTTTTTTTTAATATTTCCGAAAGAGCTCTGCGAGTTCTGTTCCCGAATGTTCTGTTTACTTTTACTTTTAATATTTGTTGTAAATAATTCTAATCCATGTTTACACTTGTCTGTTTCACTTGCCACCAACGTTACTCGATTAACCCATTCGTAACTGTCTCTATCACTATCGATTTCTGTGTTTATTTTTGTTTTCAAATTTTGTGATATTATTTAATGCTCAATTTATCTGTCCCTCAAAATCCGAGTTCCGACTTTCTGTACAATTTTTTTTTTCTGGTTATGTTAATGTTTTTATAATTTTTTTTTAATTTTATAATTATCTGGTCTCGCGTCGAAACAGGGGATGCACGATGCTACAACCTCCTACCTCCCTAATTCTTAGATATGCCGCACGTCCTTATGGTTTCTATTTCTTCTTTTTTTTTTTGGTTAAATCGATACCCTTACACCATCGCGTTCGATTCGGGCAATCGATTTATTTTAGAAACGATTTAGAAGAAAGTAGACCGTTTAGAGCCGAAGCATGTTGTTATCCCCTAACGAGGAACGCTACTGCCGTTTATTTTTTATTTATTATTTTTTTTTATTTTCTCCACACGAAAGTGCCTAGGCATTGAGACTGCGATGCCACGCTTTGAGTGTTGACGATAGATAGCTTTTCGGTTATCCGGACGTGTGTCCACCGGTCCACGCCTCGTCGACCTCTCGTGCATCCCCGTGTTTTGGCGGCGACTAATTTCAATCGCACTCTCTAACCGTGAGCTTCTACTAACGTGAGTCGACGACGGTCGCGATTATCGCCGATTATTCTTTTTTTTTTTTTTATTGTCTTTATTTTTTTTTACCTTTTCGATTAGAGATCCACTCATAGTCTATCCACAACCCTTTATCTCTAAAGTTACTGTTGCAACGTGACGCACTTGGCATCTGTATTAATATGTTTCACATGAAGGGAGTGTTTAGTATTGTGCATCTACGTCTTGCGGCGCGAGAATTGACGCGTAGGGTTGCCACGCGTATGCGTATGTACATTTCTTTTTTTTTTTTGTGATCTGGCAACCCGAAGTTTAGTGATGAGTTTTATTTTTCAAAACAAAAAAAAATTGGGAACAAGAAAAGGCGGAGCGGAGATGGAAGAGGGGCCGGTGATTGGTCGTTTGCACTCACCACGTTCAATTATACGCAGGTTAAATCAGAATCCTTGATGGAAGGCAACCGTCGGCCGAGGAAGTGAAGAGGACCTAGATTAAATATAATATATACATATATATTTAAAAATATGAATAGGAAATAATGTGCAAATAAACTCTTATGCTTAATTTATACATACGTATTGTTTTTTTTTTGTTTGGACGACAGAGATTTTTTTTTATATTCTATTCAGGGTACCGTAGGGAGTTGTGACGATGTTGTTTTTTTTAACAACAATAGTAAGACAATGGCGAAAATGCTATATGTCCTGTATTGTATAAGTGATTTTGACTAAGTAGTGCAAGATTGAAGAAAAAATATTATATAATTATGTTATTTCGGTTGTGTTCGATTTGCGAACAACGGTCGACGCGCTGAGTAAAGAATCCGTTTTGATTTTTTTTAAATTAACATTATTGTTTTATAGATAATACAAAAATTATGTAGATGTAAGGCTTAACGTTCAAAGCGGCGTCGCTCGACAAATACAAAATTCGTGCAACCTTTTTTAGCGCGGCGACATTCCTGTCCACATTTCGTTTTCACAAAACGCGTCCGCTTCGCTTGTGTCGGATCGGATACGACTTTCGCAAAGTGATTTGTGGCAGTGACCTAGTCCCGTCGCGTCAAGCATTTCACTTGTAGATTATAAGACGCTCGAGTTGCTAATGCGAACGATTTTTTTTTACATTCCAGAGTCCGTTTCAGTTAAGCGAGACTCCTTTCGTAACTGTAACAAAGCACAAACGGGAGTATTGCAATTTTGTACGTTATCCGCAATACGATTTCCATAACATTAAGCTCGTCTAGTATAGTACTCGGCTCTAAATATTACACATCGACCTTTGGAAAGAGACGAACGGCTAATTTCGTAGAGCGTTATCTCTTTTGCACACCACTTACGTGACGTTTGTCAGTCGCACAAGTGTGCGACAGAGATAACGCTCTACTAAGTCGAAATCAGTCGATTGTCTGTTTCCAAATGTCAATTTGTACGTTTAGGTTTTTTTTTCGCATTTTATGGACCGTTTTTACAAATTTTGTACAAATTTCGTTCAAATGCTGCTCTCTTATGGTTTGTTACCAGTATGTCACTAGGTGAAATATATACTACTTTATTATTCTGGATCGTCTTTGCTATTACGTTAGTGGTCTTCGTTTGCATATCGATTGACTCAATACACTGGTTTTTTACTTGCCAGACCAGATATGATGGGGTATCTACACAGGGAGGCTTTTTTAAGTGTATCCATTCATCCATTTTTTTTTTAAATTCTCGACATAAATAATTTTATATAAAAATAATAAATATTTAAAATGACTCGTAATTAATGAAATACATCCATTTGAACTTATCTAAAAAGTGCGAGATTTATGAGCAGCTCGTTTATTTTACGCGCGATCATTCATAACCAACACGCACACAAGTTCGTTTCAAAAGTATACGACCCATTTATGAATGACTACCGCCTTGTCAACAAGTTCTGGTTTTTAGGGAAACTAATGGCATTTTTTTTGAAAAAAAAAAAAGTTTTTTTTAATAAACGATTATACTACCGAGTCTGAACCTCCATCCTACAATAGGAATATTTAAAACCAGTTCATTAATGACGGAGTTCTGAGGTGACATTAATTGAAAAAAAAATCTACAACCGATTTGAGAACTTCCTCATATTTTGTAGTCGGGATGATAATAACGTGTTTAGATTAATATTCCCTTTCAATAGGTAGGCTGTGTCACGAGTTAATCGATATCGCTTACAGAAGTAACCGTAACTTTTTCTGTATGCACCGAGTAATAGTCGAATTTCGCAGGTTGAAAAAGTTCAAGCGAAACCATGAAAGGCTTCGTGATTCGAGAGTAGTTTTTATAAAGATTGATACGTATACTTGAGACGTTGCAAATTTTGGCTCCAGCCTCTTGGTACAAATACTCAATATCAACTCGATTCAATGCATTGCGCGAGTAATGGCCAATAATCGGATAATGTTAGTTATGCCTTTTTTTAACTACTATTAAAAGCGCTATTTCTCGTGTATTAAGGTTTACTTTCCATCGTGTTCTCTTTTTAAAATGGTAAAACCTCGTGGATTGCTTTTATTCGTGCAAAGCATATACGAGTCAATGGCCTCACTCCGACTGTTAATACTATACAGCGTGTTCGAAAATAACAAATTTGTTTCGATAAAATTACAATTTGTAAAGCGGATCTCTATTTTTGTGAATAGAATTTTTTTTATATTCGAAATTCAAATCGATCTAATTCTATTTTTATTCTAAATCGCTGTTGAATCGATGTGTATAGAACTTTAAAATAATCATTATAGTTATTATTATTTAGATTATAGAAGTTCCATATTTTCTTATTACTCATACATAGGGTATGTAGCATTAGGATTTATAAATTTGTACATAACGGTACGTCTGAGTGTTGTGTGTCGGTGTCTTACGTACTTTTCGTTTTCTATATTAATCCACAGAGTTCCATATTTAGATTTTTTTTATTAAGTACACGAGAATTTTAATGCCACACTGTTTGTGTGGATGGCCGGTTACTTCGTACGCTACGTATAGTAGTATACTTTCATAAGTTTTGTTTGAGATTACAGTAACGTATAGTAATGTCGATAATTTTGTATCAAATCGAATTCTTGTAATAATTGAATATCCATTTATGAAGACGAAATCTAATTTTCAGTGTCTCTTCAATAATTTTCGATCAAGTATCCACAGATGCCTGTTGGTACATTTTTTCTTAGTACAGCATAGTTTAATTTTCGTATTTGATTTCCATAAACACATCCACCAATTTTTACTTTAATACCCAGATTCATTTCGATTCGATTTCTTTAGACTGAGTTAAATTGATTTCAGTAATTTCTAAAGTTGTGCTTTGCATCTGAAGTAAGCTCTGGTGCTGACGCTCGTGTGAAACTTAGTTTTTTGGACAATAAAGGATGTATCTTTTTACAACATGTATATAACGGAGTACCGCTGCATTATAAGTATAAATGTGTACTGTGAAATAAGATTAATCGTATATTCGACTGATTGTTCACGCGTTGCACATTTCCTGTTATATTTCTGTGTGAAATAATTATGACTGGTTAAATAAAATAATTTGTAACATAATTAATAATCGACCCATTACGTCTGCAATGAAGTGTAACAAACAATCTAACGATATTTCAGTATTATCGTTAGTTCGTAAACTAATGTAAACTCGCAATGAAAATAGAAAACGTTTATTTTATTTAATTTGTAAAGAATATAAAAAGTTTTTCGGATCGGATATACCAAAACTTTTTATATTTTATTATTAACAGAGAAAATGTTAAACATTGCTTGAGGTATTCTAACGTATTATAGGCTTATGTTCTAAACATATTTTGATAGGAAATCAATAATTCAAAAACAAAAGGAACAAATAAATATATTTTATTATCATTAGTTTTCGAAAATTAAAATCATATCCTGGAAATTAAACTATTTATTGAATATACTACATTTTTGTTATATTGGAAAAATATGAATATTTTCTTCTTTATGTAATATCGTCACGGCTGCAATGTTCGTGTATTGGAAATGTTACTCGTATTTTTATGTTTAACTTGCTTTCTCATCTAGAATTCTGTACAAATTATTCAGAAGCTCATCGATTTTTTTTAATGTAATTTACGTCATTTTGACACGGCTTGTACCGAATGACAGCCACGTGTCACTGTCATTTGCATTTTCCTTAACGTCAAAAACGTGTAATAATACATCGTTCGGATATGTGTAATGATTGAGCGTTTTCGAAGTGTGTTATTTGTAAAAATTGAAAGCAATACGGAATATGCAATGTCATGCGCTTCTTCCAATTAACAGATTCTTTTGATTAACATATTGCGTTGTTTCATTTCGCACCGCCCCCTTCCGTACCTCTTTAGGTTGCTGTGGTGACGTTAAATCGTTCGAGAATGTTCATTTATTTTATAGAATCATTACAACATTACAAAACGCTACTCTTATTCGAGGCGGTCATGTTGCAACAGTTTCATCGATACCAATAGAGTGCCAATAAAAACGTAACTACATTATTTTAATTATTAAAATACGTATACGATATCAAAGTTAAGGCGTTCTTTGGATATTTTTTTTTGTAATAGCATGAAGCTAGTTTAAAGTTGGCAGTGTTCCTGCTCGATTTTTAAAATAAGAAAAGGATAAAATATAACCGAATAACATGGCGAGTGTTACCTTTGTCAGCCTGTCCGTGTTGGGCGAGACGACCGGACGTCAGAAACCGCGCATTTTTTCCTCCTTGGACATTCAGCGGAGGTAGGAGCGGCGGGAAGTTGTTGTTGTTGTTGCAGATTATTTTTTGGTTGTTGTTCCATTTTGACCTTGAAATGTTTCCCGCGGTGAGGTTGCGTGGTCACGTGGCGCGGGTAGTTGGCGAAAGTCCATTCAGCTTTGATAGAAGCTAGAAACGGTATAAACTTGAAATGCCACGTTTGCGTATACATATTTGTTACGAGTACAAAATATTCTGATTTTTTAAAAGATTTCCGCTTTGTTTACAAAAAAAAATTACACTTTAATGAGCTTTGGAGTGTATAAAAGTTCGCCTGCCATAAATTACCCACGCTGCGTGTCCCCAGCGGATTGTCGTGTTTTTTTTTTTAAATAAATTTTTAACTCAAGTAGTCCATCCGATTTTGAATACTTGTTTTTTTTTACTTTAAGTTATTGGATAACCTCTCAGTTTTTATCAACAGACAAAAACGGATTATGTTACATTTGAATAGTTTTTTGGTGATTATATTTAATTGAAACTTTTGTGGAAAGAAGTTTTGACTTTTTTAATTCACCAATGCGCATCGGTCAAATTATCTCATTACTATTATCATATATTTGGAAAAATAATAACGAAATTGGCTGGATTATGGTGTGGGTATCACCAGGATCAAATAAATGCATCGTTTTCTTTATCCTAACGGACTGAGAGTGTTTGATGGTTTTATTTTGAAATGTAATTAACCTATCAATGCGTCATTTAAACACTAATTTTGTGGTTCGTTCAGTCTTTTAACCTAAAGTTCAGTTGCTAACGTTGTTTATTTGTTTAACTAAAAATTACCCAAAACCAAAGCGAAAATCTTAGGTCAACTAGTGATTGCAATTATAGGGTCGTGTCTTTCGCAATGTTTATTGGTCTGTAAAAAAATATTAATTACTTGTTAAATTAATTCATTAAATATTTTTGTAGTTTTATAAATTTTATTATTGATCCTCTCTGCCTCTTGAGTATACTTTAATGACCCAGCAAAAATTATGTGTAATGCCATTGTCTATTGAAAGGTACTGCTGTGTAGATACGTTAAATTGACATTTTATTTTTACTCTATTTTTCTATATTAACGGTGGTAGGGCCACGCAGCAGCCTCGGCCCGTTGCACGAATGGGCAGGCCCGTCCGGGTAAGTAACACGACCTCACAGAAGACCAGCGTAAAGTGGAAGTATGACAAATACTTTCGCGCTTCGTCTGGTGAGTGAGGTAGCCGAGGCCCAATTTTCAAAAGGCTGTCAACGCATCCCTCGGGTGTGGCAGATGTCCATGGGCGGCGGTATTCACTTACCATCAGGTGAACCGTCTGCTCGTTTGGCAACTTTTCACATAAAAAAAATATATACGTTAGTAACATTCGAATTGAAACATTATTGTGTGCTTAAAATAATAGAGGATCAATTAATAGAGAAACCTTAAGATTTAAGAATTTAGAATTATTAAAAAAAATGTGCAAAGTTAACGATGATAAAAAATGTAGTTATATATAACAAAAGGAAATATTAAACATTTTTGTGTTGAAGGGATCTTATATCATTGTTTAATACAACTAAAGATTTAACCCAATTATTTTGAATGTTCCCTGAGGTGGAGTCGTAACTTAATGAGATCCTCAATGTGTCAGATGAGATGCTTTTCAGAGTACAAATGTAGCACCAAAAATATAAATGCATGAAAAAGTTTGTTTGGGTTTTTCTATGCACTCGACACCAAATTGAATGAGATAACTTCTGAAAGAAAGAAAACCCTATCGCGGAGGACGTCATTTTTAGCTGTCAATGTCAATGTCAACTTTTGAAGTTAAGGAATTTTGACATCTATCATAATCTCATAATCTATGATTTCATAATACTTCTTGATAAAAGGTAAGTGCCATAGGTTTCTATTTGCATGAAGTGTTTGTAGATATTAGAGATGATTTCTTGCGTGTTTGCCTGGTCCATGTGCTTTGTTGTAGACGAGATTTTTTTTAATCCACCAGTCAAGTTTTACCCAGCTGATTATAATGTAGACAAGCTAATAATTTAACAATATAAAGAATAAAAATAACACACAGCTAATGTGTAAGCATCGAAAAAGATGTTTTGTTTCGTTCACTTCTGCAATAGGCCTATTAAAAGTAAAGAAAATTCGATAGAACCCAATAAAGAAGTTACTGTCCGAAATAATGTTGTTTCGGAACAGTTAAAAAAAAAACTTTTAAAAGTTTTATTGTGGTCGTTGGATTATTTCTTCCTGTTTTTATATTCGATAATAATCAGCTTGTTAAAAAGACAGCGCCATTAGATAAAAGGCGACCCTAACTGCGGTCCCGTGTTTTAGTTTTAGTTTTTATGTTTTTCTGTTTTTAGGCCATTGGAGGGTACAACCCCGAAGCATGCAGTAGGCGCTAGTCCACAAGCCCTGCTTGGGTAATTATTCCTTTATATCTTTTGTTTTTCGACTCTAAAACAAGAGCCCCTTGTCTATGGTCTCTTATCTGTGGCGACCCTAGCAGTATTCGCCGTCAAAGACTATCTAGATGTTTCGAATCTTTAATTTCTTTATTGCCATATCTAGTTTTACGTCTTATCCCTTTCTTAGAATTCTATAGTTGCAACGTTTTTCTTAATTTAACAGATTGATTCTACACATTCTGTACTCGATATTTATATGTACAATTTTATTGTTATGACATTTTCTTTTCTGTTTGACAGTTGAACTTTTTTTTTGTTAAATAATAATGGCGTTAAACCTAACCTTTGTGCTTGCATACAACTCACAATTGCATCAAATTCATTCTCTAACAGAATATCGCATTACATGCTCTTAAAAATAACATTTTTATTAATATCATAGCATAACGAATGGTACTAAAATTTTTGATTTAGCGAACAATGTTCATTATTGGATTATACCTTATAACAATTATTAAAGCTATAGATTGTTAATTTACTGTAATCAATATTGAATGGTTTATTCGCCTAAAGTCGGCAATTGAACCGCCTAAATATTTTATTGGAAAATTCGAGTAAAAAAAATGAAGGAAATATTTATAAGGAATACAAATGTGCTTGCATATCGTTGACCTGGTGAACTCTGGTGCAGCCGTAAATTGGGCACAATGGTGGCACAAGCAACCTTTGTGCAGCCTTAAGATGGTAAACGTGATGCGCAAGGAAATCTAGCCTCTATTGACGGGGCCGTTGACGTAAGCGCGACGCTAATCGCGTGCAGCCGAACGCTGCGCAGCCCTCAGGTGGGTCTCCATCGTGGTGTGTTCGCAGGCAGGGCAACGAGGAACAGGTCAAGCCACGCGTGCTCCGCTTCACGTGGAGCATGAAGACCACCTCGTCGCGGGACCCCAACGAGATCATGGCCGAGATACGAAAGGTGAGAGGCTTTGTAGACGTAGATTTGCTGCGCGTCCATTTCGTTTGACGAATGTCGAGATGAGAATGGTAAGAGACTAGGCAAGAACTCATCTATTTCATTTGTCGTATGTCGAGATGAGAATGGTAAGAGACTAGGCAAGAACTGATCCATTTCATTTGACGAAACTCGAGATGCGATAGGTGATATCTTTAACTAAAACGCATCCATTTCATTTGTCGTATGTCGAGATGCGGGAGGTAAAAGTCTTAGCGTGAACGCATCTACCTCATTTGTTGAAGGCTGAGATACGATTGGCAAAAGACCATATTTTTCATTGGTTGAATTTCGAGATATGATGGGTAAAAGATTTTACATCGTGAACGCGTCTATTTCATTTGTCGAAATTAAACTTCTTGTCGAAGAATACATTGAGGACAAGGATGTGTGGAAATTACTCTTACTCTGCACTTGCAAGTCCCCTTGCTGCTGCTGATTTTGTAGATAATGTAATTCGAGAACACAGTTAAAGAAGAACTTAAAATAAGCCTATATTGAATAAAGAAATTTTGTTTTTGACTTTCAGCGATTCGATAATTGGTCGGTATCCGAAATATTTGAAGGACGCTTCATGTTTACAAAAATTTCGTTACATAAGGGAGAAAGTATAATGTGGAGACTGGTTTGGTCATCTCTTTGAGTCTCCTACATGAGTGCCGAAGGTTTCCGAATTTTGTGGAGTATTAAAATTTAGTTTTCTTACGTTCACAATTGTGGCAGGCTTCTTCAGAATTTATTTAGGAGACTCCTGTAGAATTAATTAAGAAAGTACATTCTGAAGTATAAAGCCATGTACTCACTGTTGCGTCCCAATATTTATTGTAATATTTTGTATGTTAGAAATAATCTTAATTGTTACCTAAAGAATAGTGATAGACATAAATTAAATAGTAGAAATAAGGACAAATTAATTACGCCATTGTTTCGTCTACAAAAAGTTAATAGATCGTTCATGTGGCAAAGTGTGCGCATGTATAATAATCTGCCACTAGATCAATTTAAACGCAAAATTAAAAGTGAACATATGGCTAAGGCATATTATACCATTGCGGAATATCTTGACGACGCCAATGTGTAGGGTTAATACTGTTGATACTCACGTAGGCTAAAGTAAGATTTATACTTAGCCTATTTTATTGTAAACTAATCGTTTTAAAAAAAGAGCAACTGTTGAGTTTCTTGCCGGTTTCTTCTCATCGATACTGCTTTCCGAACCGGTGGTAGCTTACTTACGAACGATTAATTTTTATGTAAAATGTTAACGTTTCATAAGAACGCGCAAGCGTCTATGTGAATAAATATATTTTTGATTTTTTGTTTTGGATTAATTGTAATAATTTAAAATAATCCTTCAAAAGTAATTTTAAAGATTGGTTCTGTAGACATAAAAAGCTACATTCAGAAGTTGTTGACAGAAATTATTTTAAGGTTCATTCATAACTAATTTAGAAGATTCATTTCGAAAACGTAGTAGGTAAGTAAGTTGACTAAGAAATATCAGAATAACGAAGTTGAATCCTTTGTTCAGAAGGTGGAGGTTAGAAATAATTTACGAGGTTGATGCTATTAAAAATAGTCCTTCCTATTTAATTATTTCCGAAGTCATCCAGAGCTTACATTCTGAGAATCGAAAACTTTGCGACCGGGCTAATGAAATCTTCATTCAGTGTACAGGCGAAGCCGTACATTTGCTATTGTATAACAAAAGCGCTTGCAAGTGTTAATATGTCTTGTGTGCATGACATATTAACACTTGCAAGCGCAAGTTTTATACTTTAGTACGTAATTATAATTTTAATATTTTTCAGTGCATTAAATGCATTCATCGACATCGGTCGGTTTATTTGACATTGATATCCGCTAACCAATTGACATAGGCTCATCTATCCCACATCGACATAAAGGTGTTGTGGTACACGTCATCGTCACCGTCTTCGGCAAAATCAACATCGTCCGCAGGTGCTGGACGCGAACAACTGCGACTACGAGCAGCGGGAGAGGTTCCTGTTGCTTTGCGTGCACGGCGACCCGAATGCGGACTCCCTGGTGCAGTGGGAAATCGAAGTGTGCAAGCTGCCCCGGTTGTCGCTCAACGGAGTCAGATTCAAGCGGATATCCGGTGAGTCGTCCTCCTCGGAAGTGATTCTGCAGCCTAACTCGAAAAATTGCCGAGGTATGCTTAGGAACGTTTCGTTACATGAGAGAGAAGAAAGATATGACGTAGAGAGAGAGCGCCTATACAAAGCGATAGAATAGAGTGGCACGCATGCACGCGTCAGATTTATATTTAATTATATCATTGTTTTTTGATTTTTTAAAAAAAATCAATTCTTGTACGGTGCTGCATGCGCAGTTTTTTATTTAATTTAAGAAAGTGGCAATCGAGTGAGAGGGGTAAGTGATCGCCTCCCGTGGATATCTATAAGTTACATTGGTTTAGTTTAAAATAAATAGTAAAATAATAAACTAATAAACAAACTTTTGTATTTGATGTCTCTCTTAAGCCAGGACGTACTTTGAATGGTTTATATATTAAACAATATATCCTTTACTAATAAATCAGTATTATTAGTATGGTATTCGATAGTCTGAAATAGTAAAGGTAGAAAATAATAATGAAAGAACTGTAGAGACATATAATAGATATACCGTTCTTTATATCTACCTATACCTACAATGAGTACAATATATTTTCATTCGTTACATTTATGGTTTTTTTTTTATTTTTTTTTTATGGAGAAAAGGGGCAAACGAGCAGGAGGCTCACCTGATGGTAAGTGATTACCGCCTCCCATGAACACCTGCAACACCCGAGGGCTCACAAATGCGTTGCCGGCCTTATAAGAAAGAGTACGCTCTCTTTTTGAAGGTTCCCAGGTAGTAACGGTTCGGAAAGACCGCCGGCGGCAGTTGGTTCCACAGAGTGGTTGTGTGAGGCAAGAAATGCCTTAAAAATCGCGCTGTTGTGGAACGTTGGACATCGAGGTGGTGTGGATGAAATTTTTGGTTCTGGCGCGATGTCCGATGGTGGAATTCAGCCGCCGGGATCAATCCAAACAATTCCTCAGAACACTCCCCGTGATAAATGCGGTAGAAGATGCAGAGTGATCCAACATCTCTACGCAGAGCCAGAGGATCAAGCCGATCGGAAAGACTTTGATCGTTGATAACCCTAGCCGCCCTACGTTGAATGCGGTCAAATGGAAGAAGCTGGTAATGGGGGCTCCCGCCCAGAGGTGCGGACATTACTCCATGTGGGCCCGCATTTGCGCCTTATAGAGGTTCAGGCGTTGGGCAGCCGTGAAGTACCGTCTCGCCTTGCTGAGCACACCAAGCTTCTTTGAGGCCAATTTGGCCTTACCTTCCAAGTGACCGCGGAACTGGACGTTGCTCGAGATTTCGACGCCAAGCATTCCGATACTAGCTGTGGCAGGTAGCTCCCCTACCCTCGAAATGAGGAGTCACGACAAATGGGGACTTTTTAGCGGTAAACGCGCAAACTTGTGTCTTTTTGGGGTTGAATTGGACTAGGTTTAGTCGACCCCAGTCTGAGACTTTGGTTAACCAAAGTCTCGACCTCAGACACAAGCTTGTTCCGACTCTCGTAGACGTTTTCCCGAGAAATGTTAGCTCGGCCAGTGTACGAGACATCCACAGTGCTATCGTCTGCATAACAATGGACGTTGCTGATTTGCAACATGTCATTGCAGAAGAAACAGAGTAGGAGACAGTACGCAGCCTTGTGGAACACCAGCATTGACAAACTTAGGATCGGAGCATGCACCGTTGACGACGACCTTGATGCTCCGATCTGCCAAAAAGTTGGTGATCCAATTGCATAATTTCTCGGGAAGCCCATAGGAAGGCAGCTTCGAAAGAAGCGCTTTGTGCCATACCCGATCAAGGCCTTCGCTATGTCCAGACTGGCTGCAAGCGCCTCCCCCTTGCTCTCAACTGCTTCTGCCCATCGATGTGTAAGGTAGACCAGAAGATCACCGGCTGAGCGACCTCGACGAAAGCCATACTGGCGGTCGCTAATCAGCCGGTGCTCCTCTAGGTACCGCAGGAGCTGGCCGTTGATAACAGACTCCATTATCTTGGAGAACAAGGAGGTGATGGCTATTGGCCTGTAATTGGACGGATCAGAGCGGTTGCCTTTTTTAGGGATCGGGTGCACTAACGCGGCCTTCCATGATTTCGTGACTACGCCTAAAGTATAGGAGTGCCGAAAAAGACGCGTTAAAACCGGTGCCAATTCTGGAGCACATATCTGCAACACAACCGGAGGGATGCCATCGGGCCCACTCGACTTGTGAATGTCCAAGGAAAGAAGTGCTTTGCGAACTGCACTTTGCCGGAATTTTACCTCCGGCATCGTAACGTCGCTCTGGGGGATTGACGGTGGTGAGTTTCCTCGGTCATCCAAAGTCGAGTTGGACGCAAAGAGAGAGCCCAGAAGATCGGCTTTCTCCTTCGCGGCATGGACCAACGAATCATCCTTCGTGTGCAGGGGTGGAAAAGATGGCTTACAGAAATTCTCTAAGACAGCTTTGGCGAGAGACCAAAACGCACGTGTTCCCGATGGGAGACGCGCCAATCTCTCGCCAATTCTGCTATTTTGCTCCAACTTCGCTTTAGCAATAACGCTTTTGAAGGACCTAGAAGCAGAGTTATACTCCTTTTTTAATGCGCTGGTCTTTACATCACTAGACGCCGAAGCTTCAGCCCAGGCTCGGTAGCATTTCCACTTTCGGCGTAATGCCGTCTTGCAGGAACGACCAAACCAAGGCTGGGATTTGCCCCCGATGGGTATTGCAGAAAATGGAATAAACATTTCCATACCCTGAAGCACCACATCGGTGACAGAGTCAGCAACGGCGTCTGGATCTTCCAACGAGAAGCAAATCTGCCCCCATGGGTAGGACCCAAAGAATGACCGCATCCCGTCCCAATCTGCTGACCTATAGTGCCATACACGGCGGCAGCCTGCGAAGCGAGGCCGTGTAGAGCGCGCAACGGGCACTGTACTCTTGACAAGACAATGGTCCGACGAACCAAGAGGAGGATCGACGGAAACCAGGTAGCCGTCTGGATGCGAGGTCAGCAGAAGGTCCAACAGGGAAGGTGTATGATCCTCCACATCTGGGATTCGCGTTGGCGAGGTGACCAGTTGTGTCAGATCACAAGCTATTGCGAAGTTGTGAACAGATCTCCCCGCATGATCGGTGGTGCGTGAACTGAGCCATTCGGCGTGATGGGCGTTAAAGTCGCCAAGAATCACGATCTCTGCGGATGGGATCTGCTGCAGCACGGAGTCTGTAGCCATTTGGATGTGCTCAATGAGTTGGCCAGTTTCGGCATTACCGCTATGGGACCTATATAGGCACGCGTAGATACGCGGATGGTCGTCGCAGTCTACGCGTAGCCAGAGGATGGATAGGTCCCGTCCTCCAAGACTGCCGAGGCGACGAGAACAGATATCCTCTCTGACGTACACGCACACCCCCGCCCGCGGTACAAAGGAATGTTCCAATTTGTACCCGGGGTAGGAGAGGAAAGAGGTATCAGCCGGAGAAGATATCTGAGTCTCAGTAAGGAACAGCAAGGCCGGCTTTGCCGTCTCTAGGTGGTAGTGGACGGCATTAAGTTTAGAGAGAAGTCCCCTGATGTTGCACAAATCTACGGAGAGCGTGGAAGGGTTTGCCGAAGTGAGCCTGCTACGTTTGCCTCGAGCAATGGGAGTTGAGAGCGGTATTTGGCCCCCCCCCAGAATACGTGGGGCAGCCTGAGCGCCTACGCTCAGAAAGCGAATAGTCATCTGGTCGCAGCCGCCCAGGGGGGGATTCTCCAGAACCACTGGGACTGGTACCCCCCTGGGGTAGGTCTTTTTCCGATACCGCTAGCATGTTATAGAAGAAGGGGGGGGGGGGGGGGAAGTGGGCATCTGGCAACCTCACTCACCAGACAAAACGCAGAAGCATAAAGCTTCCACTTTACGCCGGTCTTCTGTGAGGCCGCGGTACCACCCCGGACGGGCCTGCCCATTCGTGCAACAGAGGGTTCTGTTGCGAGGCCCTACCACGTTTAGACGTCCCTGACTTTTTCTAATAGACTACAATAGATCTTCATGCATAGGTCTTTGGTCTAGTACTCACAATTCCACTCAATTTATAATGTTGTCTAACAAACTTGCTAAGCAATAGCTATCCTCTGTCTACAGACAATGAGAGAGCGAGACGGTGCCAACGCAATTACGGCAGCTTGGCAATCTAACGGAATCGCTTTTTTTTTAAAACGTTTGTCTCGTTAAAACCCTTTCAGGCACCAGCATCGGCTTCAAGAACATTGCGTCGAAGATCGCGAACGAGCTCAACCTGTGACTGCCCGCGCACGCCCCGCGCCGCCGCCGCGCGCCCCGCGCCTGTCTGGTGAGTGCCGACGATATGCCGCGTCCGAGCCGCAAAATTACCGCATCCGCGTCGCAAACTCACCGCATCCGCGCCTCCAACTTCCCCCTTCCGCACTGCAAACTTTCCGCATCCGTGCCGCATACTTATTTTTTAAAAGACATTGCCCTTACTTTAGAATAACACTATACTGTGTTTAAGGACGTTTTACAAATATAACTCCCAGATACGGAAGAACCCTATTTGTGGGTCATACACAAATAGTTCTCCCGTGTGGGAATCGACCCACGTCCCCGACCTCGAAGCCAATACCTTGGCAACTGCGCCACGAAGTCTACGAGCATCCGTGCCACTAACTTCTTCCTGCCATCTTTAGCGGTCCGTGCCGCATACATTCCGCATACGCGTCGCAAACTTGCCGCATCAGTGCTGCACTAGTACCAAATCCATCATCTTTTTGAGAAGGTGGCAGACTTGCAGGTCGCCGACCCAATGTTAAGTGATCACCGACACTTACAATAGCCATGGGGACGCAGTTATGTTCCTGAACGATAAACTGGGTTCGTTTCAGTAGCTAAAGCGTTTCTGACCTAACGCCGCCGTCTTGTCGCATTTATCAAACTCTACTGCCGCAAACTTGTCACGTCCTCGTCGTGTGCCATGGTTTTACTGGCGACAGGACATTGCGTATAAGGTAGAAAGAGACAGCGTTCATCTTGTACTTGTAGCGTTCCTGCCTTGTGCCCCCGTTTCACGCGCGACATGACAATGCGAATGAGAGAGAAAGAGAAACGGCATCTAATAATTTTGCGTCTCGTTCGTTATTTTAGTGCGACGAGCCGCCGCCGCCGCCGGTCCGCCGCGCCAGCCTGCGCCTCTCCGCCGAGAACATGGTCTCCGTGGCGAACGGCGGCGCCGTAACGCCTTCGGGGGCGCTCCGCCACTACTTGCAGCGGCCGCAGCCGCGCTCTTCCCTCTCGCTACGCGTCGACTGCGCGGAGCTCGCGCCCGCCGCCATGACGCCGGACGCCGTATCGTGTGGCGTCCGCACGCCGCGACAGTCGGCGCGCAACTGCCCGCCCGCCGTGTCCCCGCCCGACCTCTTCGATTTCTGACTGGCCAGTTGTCGTCTTGTTTTCTTCGAACGATGGCCAGTGCCAATCGAAAATTAAAAAGTATAACCGTATTCGGCTGATCGGCGTACGTCGCTCGGGGCCAGAGTGGTTCTCCTTTTCTGCAATTCGAATAAAGGCGGTTCGAAATTTGAATTTTTGAACGATCCCGTTTATAACAATCTCGAATGGATTTTGATGTCGCTATATTGTGTAATGCAAAATTATTATGTTTTGATGTTTTCTGTTGTATATCAAATCGTTCAAAAGAAATCTGAATTAACCACCGGCATTTCTATAAAGGATACGTGTGTATCATTTTTATCTGTTATCTAATTTGTCGTTTACAATTTATTTATGCTTTTATTTATCGCCGTGATTTTATTGTTTTAATGAAATATTTTAATTGAGCGGCAAAGGCTGTGTGCTGAAACAGTGATTGTGTTTTAATTTTAAATTATACAAAATATTCTCTCTGTATTTGTTTTATGATAGCATTTTACGAATTTCGTCCAATACAGTTTAAAAATGTTAGACATAACGCTTTTTAACTGGCAAAATGGCCTTTGCCACTTCAAATAAAATTTTAAACCTACAAAATATTCATTCGATATCAATTATATGTTAATAATAATAATGTAATAGAAAACAAACTTTTATATGAAATACAATTAATGGCGGAAAATAATATGAGGCGGAAAGAATGGCGGACGAGAAATTCGCGGGCTCACACAAATAAATGAATAATCGCATTATGGTGTATCTTGTATTATTTAAATAATGTCAATAATTCAATTTACGAGTCTAATTAATCATTGTAAATATGTTTCCGCAAGGTCAATAGTGCTGTCAGGCTAATTCTGAAATCTCCCCAAATGTTGTGAACGCGGTGAATTTTTTTTTAAAAAACAAATGGGGCGTGGGATTGGTTTTTTTATGCAAAGTTTTCACAATCGGGACCTTCCCGTTTAGAGATAGTGATGTGCCAACGAACACGCGTCGGAACAACAACGGAGAAGTCGGGTGGAGTGTGAAAGAGAACGCAAGTATGGACGGTATAGCGTTCGCGGGGGCTTTGATAGTTCACTTCCTCCATCTTTGTTTTTTTTTTTTACTTTGTACGTATCTAAGACGATCGGGAGCTCGTGGCCGGCCCGGTGGGATATAGAAACGTTTCTCTGATTTTTTTTTCTTTCCGGCCGGCAACGAACCGCGCGGGTGTTTGAAAAAAAAAAAACGATCCCTCCGAAGCCGGACGCGGCTCTCGAACCTTCTACTGTGCTAACGCTTACGTTCTCACACTGTTTATTTTTAAAAGTGTAACAATGTACAAAGTGAGTTTGCGCTCAAGTTACAATTTAGCTTAGTGTTAATCGTAATTAATTTCCACGCTGCAATGACAATTTGTATGGATTGTTGTCACATTGTTGTGTCGACTAGGTGGCGTCGGTGTTGTTGATATTCTTTGTAAATTAATTTTGGGCCACCATTATTCTCCTTTCGTACAATCGCCGCTGTGTGTATGGGTGCGTTTGTGGGCAGCGTCGACGCGGCCGATTTGATAGCAACCGGTTATAAAGCATTCACGAAAGATTAGATCTACCTATCGACCTGAAATGGAACCGCGCCGTATCAGATGGATGTATGCAACGCGTACACAAATAGAATATTTGTTGGGATTTTTTTATCTCGCTGCGTTCGAGATAGGATCGGGTTTGCGCTACCGGAGTCGGCCGGCCGGCAACCGCCATCTTGTTTCACCTCCGTACATGAAATGGTCGTGTAATGAACGCGCGTGTATTCGCCCGCCGCGTTTGTCCCTTTCTAATTATAAGGCTGAATTAGAAAGTGTCAAAGAAAACTGGTCCCCTTCAACACTACGGGCGTAACGCACCGACCTAGACGCGTTATAGGGCAAACAACACTGTATTGAGAAATTGTTAGATGTGTAATGTTAATTGTGATCGAAGTATTATGAACTTTGTAGTTATAGCAATAATGCTCATAGTCGATCGTTCGTTTTGTTTCGTGTTTTATTTCTTTCCCTCCTTTCGCTCGGATCTTTCCCTTCGGTCTTTTGCCCTTCAAGGTTTGGTGTGATGCGTTTTTTTTTGTTACTTCTAGCGGGCGATGCTCCGCGCACCCCTAGTTATATACATACATAAATATATATATATATATAAATAATTAAATAGCGTGTCTGTGTGTACGTTGCGAGCCGTGCGGCGATCGCGTCTCTTTTCTATTATCTAATTAAGAGTAGTGTTATACTTTTACAAGAAAATCACAAATCTGCCCCTCCGCGCGCGACGTGTTGCGTTCTCACGCGTCACATATGAAGTTTTAGCAAAAAGAGAACGGAAAATATACGATGGACATTGCGTTCGGCGCGATTGTTTATTGAAAAGATCATTTTTTATCTGTGGCCAGTTTTCAACAGATGCAATCTGTTGCGTTCTCGCGACCTGTCAACTTTATAGCGGAAAAGACTTGACAGTAGAAATGTAAACGACGTGACAGCGCGCCACGCCGCGCCGCAGCACATAATAACGTTTACATACTGTAGTTATATATTTATATATATATGAGCTTTGTTTATCATATTAATTTAGTGTAGAGTCGACCGTTGCCTGTGAGGTTGGCCCGTGGTATGGCGTTTTGTGAGATATTCAACTGGAAATAAATTTTATTTTTAATTCCATCTCGGTAGTTTTAATTTGGCGCCTCCTTTGTTTACGGTGAGTATAAATGTGATATCCATAATAGGGTTCAGTGGCTGAGGAATCGCAGACGCTTAATGACCTCCATATTTTTGATGCCGACCTATCCTAATGACAAAAGACCTTCGAAGTTCGTTTCGCCTGTTTCCTCTCCGTTAGAGGAAACTCATTACGAAACGGAGGTAGATTTAAAAAAAAAATTACTATCGATAGATGAGATATGTTTCTTATATCGGTGAATAAAATAAATTATTTTGATTTTGATCCAGTGTTCGGATTAAGAAATGCGTCACATCGTCACGTACATTATATATATATATAGTCCTTTTCCATAACTTGTTTGATCCAGCAAAATTAAAAGAGATCCATCTTTCTGTCCAAATTTACTTGCCCTTAACCTTTATTTTAAAGGCCGGAAAGCATATATTTGAACGGCGTATTGTGTCACTTAGACATATTTCTAAATTCAGCAATATACTCTAACCCTTGTTTTATACTTTTCCAAAGTATTTGTGGCTCCGCGTAACGGTTTTTTCTCAGGCACTTTTTAAACATTTCTTGATCCCTGTGAGCGCGCATACGCAGCTCGACGTCAGTGTTTGTAAAATTAATTCCACAGTGTTTGTAATAAGAACTGAATTTCCATGTACATTTTCTATTGAGTAAACTGTTACTATATGTCGAATTTAATAACCTAGATAAATATAATTGACACAGAGATGGTTATAACCTATTTCTTATTAATTATTTTACCATAGGATGCTAGTGAATAAATATTTTTAATATTGTAGATATTATCGCTTGACATTATCAAAATACCTACTTACTATAAAGTGTACAGTTTTGTTGTTATGCTTGTTAGCACATGCAGCCTGTATTAATTCGATTGAGGTAAAGGCCAAAATGCTGTATTCCTAAGTAGGCATCCAAATATTATGCCGAGTTGATTTAAGCAACTGGAGCAGCGGCGAACTATGAGCTCAAAGAATATCATACATTTAATACAAATATAACTGATTGCTGTTTGTACATAGAAAATATTTGAGAAAAACTTTATCAACGCAGTAGTATCTTGTATCTTGTATTAACTGATGTTTTTGCTTTCAGTCCCGAGACTTTTAAAGCTTCATCTGACGCAGAACCGATGGGCTAGCCAGAACCCACAGGTTTGGGCCCTCCGCTGTGGGTAGGGCCACGCATGTGCTCATGCGTGCGTTTAACTATGGTGGGTCATCTAAGGGCCATCGAGGTCGTGGTTCGGACCGAAACCCCGATGGCCGTCGACTGTGCAATTAGCTAATCGGTGGCTGGGGGCGGTGAGAACCGCCCCGGAACGCGGGTGTACCTTGTGTACGCGTTGTGTTGGTCTCGCCGTGCTCGGAGGCGAGGGCGAACTAGTGTGTTTGTTGTTGCACTAACTGTGGGTGTAGTGTTGTCCGGCGGGACCCCAAAAAGGCAGTAGTATATAACAGTACCCAAAACAATGATAGTTAAATTATTGTCTGTTTATCTGTTTGTCTGTGTGCGCTAACTTGGCTAATACGGCCTTTCCGATTTCAGTGCAACTTTTACAAATGCATTGTAGTAAGCTTCTCTTATTTAAATCGGATGATAAATAAAATAGTTATATCAACTTAAAGAACCACATTGTAGATTTGTGCGATGAAACTATAGTTAACTATGGTCTGTAAAATGATGGTTTATATAAAGTTAAAAAAAATCGCCCAAGTGCGAGTTGGAGTTGCGCACGAAGGGTTCCATAGGTATTTTTAAGCACGATATAATGTGCGGGCGAAGCCGCGGGCGCAAGCTAGTTGTACAATATATTGCTAGTATTGCACTAGGAAACGGATCAACAACGGTCGCAATGTAATGCGACAAATGATGTAGTGTGAAAATTTCTTTAAAGAGACGAGGATGACAATATTTTAGTTTCATTTTAACTGTTAAATTTTTCAAGTCATTGCTCAACTCATTATCAAATATGAGTTTGGTTACAAGAGAATAAATTATTATTTATTATGTAATCAATAGTGTTATTTAAGGTAGTGCTATTCAGTGGGTTAAAGTTAGATTAGTTAAGAGATAATGTGCGATTTATCGGACAAATCTTTACATCAAAAGGGACTCTAAAATATTATTTTAACCAAATAAAATAGAATATTAAGGAATAAAAAATGTAGTTCTTTCTAGACACATGAATAAATAATAATAGGACGAAAAAAAAATTAAGATTATTTCTATGTAGTCTAACCCAGAATATTTTTGTCACTTCTTGAAAGAGTTTAAAAAAGATTGCCAAAAAAATTCTAATTTTTCATTGTTTTATTACCAATCTAAGGCATTGAAATATGAAAAACTTTAATAAATCAATCAAGATTTTTTTTAATTTTTTGATTATTCTGTTCCTTTAAAAAAATTACTTGAATTGTAATTATTATAAATAAATACATTGTTTATAAATTTTCAATTTTTTTCTTTTAGGAATATGATGCTTAATGAAAATATGACATTTAAGAAAAAAAATTTTCACTGCTAAAGACGCTTTTTCTACATTACATTTTTTTGTTGCTTAGTATCAATACGGTATCAATACTCAACAGTTAATTATTTAATTCATGTATAAAATGAATGTACTTCTAATTCAATATTTAAAAAATAATGTTGAAGAATAAATAAGACTTGGGTATTCTAGTCGTATCTTCAATAGTTTATAAGTAATTTTAATAGCAATGGAGAATACCTGATATGTAACAACAAGTCCAAGTGTACAATAATTTTAAAAATTATATAAAAAAACAGAAAAATAATAAACAAAAATTTTCGTAATTCGTTTGTTTATAAACAAGCGTCTGTTCACAAAACCAAATAAAAAATAAATTAAATTATATTTTTTTTATGATGTAACAACGTGATAAATTATGATTTTAATAAAATGGTTCCATAATGTTGTATGTTCTTGATTGATTTATTAACGTTTTTCATATTTCAATGCCTTAGATTGGTAATAAAACAACGAAAAATTAGAAATTAAGTTTAAGAGCAAGTTAATTTGGACAGAAAGGTGGATCAACAAAGTACTCTTTTAATTTTGCTGGATCAAACAAGTTATGGAAAAGGACTATATATATACAGCGTGTCGTTACCATCGCGACAATAAATGAACACACGTCTAAAGCTACTTGCCAATAATCATAAAAAAATATTAACATTAACAAAATCCATAATTAAAAAAAATTTTTTTTCAAACAAACTAATTAAGTAAAAAAGAAACAAAATTTGTAACATCCTATATAACTCGCGCCACAGCGTCGTATTACAAGCCTCTCCATCTAACAGTATGTTTTGTCTCTTTTAAATTCATTCAACCCATTCATATGCTTTGTGACCTTTACAAATGAACTTTACGTTACGCTTTTATAGGTAAGGGTGTTCTAAAATTCTTTGTTTTGAAAAATTTAATAACTCTATAAATATTGATGTTTTAAGAATTTAAATATTTAATACAACTTTAAAAATTTATCCCCTATACGTGTGTTCATTTATTGTCGCGATGGTAACGACACGCTGTATATATATATATATATATATATATATATATATATATCATATCAATACACGCACCTTATAATGTATTTAAAGCAAAGGTAAATAGGCTTCGATTGAGAGGACATCGCAACGAGTTGGACGCTTACAGACTGCCAGTATGGCCTGGCCTGTGGTAGAACCTGAAGTTTTGAAGATTGCCGAAAGTAGAATTTTTTGAAGAAGTTTTGATTGTAGCCAAGGGTGTACTTGGCATGGTCTTTAAATTGATTTATGCAAGCCATCGTACTGTTTGTTCTGAGATATACATACATATATTTCAAGCATATAATCACCTCAACATATTCATTTCATCAAAAGTTGTTCACTCAAAAAGACTGAACGAATGCTATATGATTTTGCAAATCTAGTTCTTAATCTATAGATTTTAAAATAGTTATATTGTGCCGCTGCCGCATGATTACCTGCAATGTTGTAAGAGGAGTTCAATGTGAGTAGAAAATCGGGTAGACCTGGGACTGCATTTTTAAAGGTTGACAATACTTCTGATATGTACGAGTGTGTCTCACCTTAATACGTGGACTGCATTCGCTTGCTACTTTCTCATAAAAATTTAATTATATTGCTATAACTTTCGCCAAAAGCTGGATGAAATTATAAAACATCAATGTTCAAATAATGATTAAAGCTCATCGATTTCTTACTTATACTTTAGTAATAGATTTTCTTAATTACATTAGATAAATTCGTTAATTCTTTTGTTTTTATTATGGTGTCGCGACGAATCCCGCAGCGCCGGGAACTTTTGTTCATATCTATCTACAAAAATGTACAAATATAAAGTCTGATCTTGAGCGCAGATACTAGAAAAAAAAAAAAAAAATAAGACATTTTAAGAATTAATACTGTCTTCGGGATTTTGGGTTTTTGTCTAGTAGTTGAATTTAATTGTATGGACTGTTATTTAACAACATCCTAAACACTACTGTTTTATTGTAATTTTTATTAATGGTCACATTAATAACATTTTTTTTAACTTTGGAACATTAATTATGTTGGAGTTGGGCTAACCGAAAATGAAACATTTATTAACATATTGAAATACTATAAATTTATTCGTAACAAGGCACTTTAATTATAACTATGTATATACAAAATGGTTAGATTTAATTATATAAACTAATTATTGAATAGCTTTCACATACTAAAAAAATATAAATTAATTTCATAAGTATGACTAAGTATTCGTTTAGAATATAAATTTACGTTGATTGGCATATTGACTTTTAACTCTAGTTTTGGATCTTTGTTTCGATTCATAACGTGTAGAAATGTTAAAATATGAAAATAAGAAAACCTTAAAAATAAACATTCGTTTTTAAATATAACTTCAAGTTGAATTTAAAATTTTTCAATCCGAAAATAACAAACAGAATTATTTAATAAAATACAATTACGATTATAATAATTTGTACAATTTACTTAACTGAACTATTAAAGCAAATATAAATATCGTGACTGAAATCACGCGATCATTTATCGATATATTATGTGTCCGCCCCTTTGTCTATGGGTCTGCCGTCTAAATCAACTTCCGTACTCGGGATCAGCGGAGGTTTGAAACCGCCATATTCTATCCTCAAATTCGCCATTTTCGGCGCGCGATCCGTCCGCTTGTTTTCTAGTATGTAAGCGTTGTTTTTCTCCCACATGCTATCATATGAGCGCATCGGAGGTGGGCCGTAGTAATTGTCGTTCCTAGTCACGTACTCTCGATGATATGGGGGCTCCCCGTTTTTTCTTTCGTCAGTAGCGTTTATGTATGTATATGATGACGCGTACAAGTTGCCCCATAGCGTGGTCTGGACCGGTATAGCGTTTGCTTTATTCTGGTGATTTTGTTTCGAACCTTGGTAGTATTGGTTGGGATGGTCCTGCTGTTGTTGTATTTGATGATTCTGTTTACTGTTAACGGAGTTAGGCGTTTGGTTCGCTATCTTTTGATACTGCATAAGGTTTTGTGACTCCTGCTTTATGACGTCATAATTGTATGCTGTGTTTGTATAAGGCGCTTGCACAGCGTACGGAAGTTCTTTTTCTGCGATCTTCTCCACAAAATAGGGGACCATCACCGGTTTCTCGACCACCTTCCCGATTGGGTACGGCACTCTCATCTGCACCTGTTTTTCTACAATTCTATCTACTTGTTGGACATAAGGTACATTCTTCTCAACTACCCTGTCGACGGGATACTGTTTCACGATGTACACTTGAGTTACCGGTACGGGCTTCTCGACGACTTTCTCAACTGGTACGGGCACCCTTTTCTCCACGGGATATGGCACGTGAATCGTTCTTTCGTACGGTAACGGATATAATATCTTTTTCTCTACGGGATACGGAACTGGGACCTCTTTGTGCACTATCCTTTCCACTGGTGCGGGTTTCTCAACTACCGGTATCTCCACTGGAACTTGTACATTAACCGGTACAGCTATGGGAGTCGGCACAGGTACGGTGCGAAAAACTTGCTTTTCCACTATTTTCTCAACTGGATACGGAATATGTACTGGCCTATCAACGTAAACTTTCTGCTGTACTGGATACGGCACTTTGATGGGGACAGGATAGGGTTGTGGCACTCGAATCGGATAAGGTTTATCGACATACTTCGTGACTTCGACCGGTTTTTCGACGACCTTCTCGTAAGGTACTGGTACAGGAACCGGTCTGTCGACAGGCACATGCTTAACCACTTCAACCGGTTCGGGATACGGCACTTGTTTCTCGATATATCGATCGACGTAGTGTGGGACCTCCTTTTCAATTATAATCGGCTGTATAGCTTTGCCGTTGTTATCATTCCGTTTGTCATAGTAGTTGTCGATGTGTTGTTTGTTGTTGTCATTATTGTTATAGCTTACCCGAACGTCGGATTGTATATTTTCACTGGGTTCCAATTTATCTTCTGCGTCTTGATTATCTTCTTTCATGCTTATGTGGGAGTCACCGTTTTCAGAACTATTAACATAATTTTTTATCGCTCTACTTCTGTTTTCCTCGTTTTGCCTTTCAACTTCAAGAGCTTTCATATATCTGTCATATAGATTCCTTGCGAGGTCGAACGAATTTGGATTACTTCGACCCTCCTCCATATATTCGTGTACTTCGACCTCGTTTATGTGCGTGATGTCTACCGGAATCGATTGTTGTATTTCCACCACTGTTCTATCCTTTTGTGGTCTATTTACTGTCTCCTCAATTAACTCAGTGTCCGAAGCATCATGGTCATCAATAGAATTGAAGGATTCTGTGTGATTGGAGTTGAGCAGCCTCAATGCTACAGTAATAGGTGCTAAATACTTCTGGCCAACCGGCCTCGGTGTAACGTAAACTGTTTCTTCATTTAAATATCGCGGCACATAGGTCTTGGTGTCATTTCGCTGCGTCACGCTTACGATTTCGTACCCGTTATCCAAATAAGGGGCCATTGTAGAAACTATGGTGTCAATCACTTGCTCTCCGAAATCCTCATCGGTGGAATCCTTTACGATGATTGGAGACGTAAACCTATCAGTATTGTGGAACTCCTGTTCATTTTTTTCCGTTGCCTGATCTGAATATTCGACTGCTCTATCCTCAATCTTATTAATTTTCGCTCGCACTGTTATCTGCTTACGTGGACTTTGGTTGTAGCCATTGCTTTCGCTTTTGAAACTGTTACGCGGCTGCGGTTTGATGTAATCGTCATTGACATCGGATATATGCTTCTCGGCGGAATGGTTTATCCTCAAGAGATCGTCGTTAGTTATCAGATCTTGCGTAGAAGCCACCAGACGCGATATGCCCTCTTGATCTTCATTTCGAGCTGCGATGTTAACCACTTCGGTGGTGTAGTAATAATAACCCTCGTTGTTCGTATTTCCCCGCGGCCTTTCGATTTTCGCATCCGTAGACGATTTTTGAGTCTGTTTCGGACGATCTCTGGCACCGAATATCGCGCTCACATCACTCGCATCGTACGACGGGAGTTCGGCTGACAGCTCTATCGTTTTTCGCATGTCGCTGTTGTAATCCCGAGCGATTTCGATATCGTCGTCTGAACAGTTGTGGTCTTTGAATACTTGGACTATTGGCGAGATTGATTCTTTCCCGCTACCTTTTGGCGTTGGTGTGGACGAAGCGGCGGCTTGCGGTTTATAGTTTACCTTCGCTTCTTTGATGCTCAGCGGATGTTGGGTCTGGATACTGAAGCCGGCATGCAAAGGATTCGGACTGTACAGATTCTGTTGCGTATTAGTGTAACGAATTAAATCCCCGGGTAAGCCACTCTGGAGCGTTTGCAATTCTTGTGTGGGGTATTGCGGTTGCAAATAATAAAAGTTAACGGGTGACTGGGCGGTGTCTTCTTCAGCCAAGTTGCCTTGTGGTATATTCGTGTTGTTCGGTGGGTCTTGGTACAGTTGAATTGGTATCTGAAAAAATAGGTATGTTTATTGCAGACGTATCTGATTTTGATAACATTTTCATCGTGCTTAGGCACAGCTATAACGAGATTATTTTATACTAATATAGGGTTTTTGTATAAATTTTAATAAGAGAATCCTGTCACAAATTAAACAAGAGTAAGGTAGTAATCCTAAAAATATCCTTCCAAGCATTAATAACAATTCGTAAAACAAATATCCGTCTCATCCTTAAGAGTACATACAGTCTATAAAGTTTAAATCCAATTTTAATTTCCATTGACAATTCTTAAGTGTGACCGTTTCCGTACAGAGCATTCCGTTCCTCGCATGTGAGTTTTTATAAATTGCCGCTCAAGTTATTTATCAATTTTATTCAATTGTTCAGATCAGCTTCGCATATGCAATACAAGTAATGCGATCCTATGTTCTGATCTAAATAATGTTCGAACCAAACTCATCGTCTAAAAAGACTTGAAATAACAGTTTTTATACCCACTTACACATTCTCATAATCTCTTGTATAATGAATCAGTTATATGTATACAAATTTAAAGACCAACCAACCGCAGAGTTATAGTCGACTTGTTGTATACCGCCGCTTGGCAGATTCCCCACGTTCTGAAAGACACCGGCGTTCGTGTACAGGAATTGTTGTTCTGGCTGTGAAAATAAGATTCCGTCATACTCGATAACTTAATTTCACTTGATTGTCACTTGAGATTGTGACACTTGAGTTGTCTTGCGTCAAGTACCCTGAAGAAGAGGTGAGCAGAACGCAGTAATGAAGAATAAATAATCATCGAATGCTACTGATAAAGTAATATAATAAAATTAGCTGTTAATCACGACTTTGCGCCGGTAAAAGGGAATTAACAATTTTTTAAGTTATACATAATATCTTCTATACAGAATATCTTGCAGATAGCAGAATTTTTCCTACTTACTTGAAACTTATCGTTATATTTCGGATAATTCATACAATATCATTATACATTATAGCCTATGTGTTATTCTGATGTATATGCTATATTATTATAAAGTTTCATTAAATTTCGTTCATTAGTTGCGTGAAAGAGTAACAAACATCCATACATACAAACTTTTACGTTTTTAAAATTGGTAAGGATATTAATAGGAAGGATACCACATACACACCTTGCGGCAGATTATACAGAAGACCGAAGAGTATAATCTGCCTTTGTGTCTAGCGTATGTGGACTATGAGAAAGCCTTCGATTCTGTCTAAATTTGGGCGGTACTCCTGGCTCTTCAGCGGTGCTAAATTGACTTTCGGTATATCTAGGTGCTGAAGTGTTTGTATAACAAGGCTACGATGGCCGTCCAAGTACAGTCCAGTAGTACAAAACCTATCCAACTGCAGTAGGGTGTAAGACAGGGTGATGTTATATCCCCGAAACCATTCACCGCTGCGTTTGAAGATGTTTCCAAGCTTCTGGACTGGAAAGGACGAGGTATTAACATCAATGGCGAATATATCACCCACCTTCGATTTGCCGATGATATAGTCATCATGGCAAAATCACTGGAGGACCTTGGTACTATGCTCAATGACCTCAACAGTGTCTCTTAACGGGTGGGCCTTAAGATGAACATGGACAAGACGAAGATCATGTCTAATGTCCATGTCACGCCTATACCGTTGTATAGTTGTTGGGAGCACTGAGCTCGAAGTTGTTGACGAGTACGTTTACCAAGGACAGTTAGTCCGGCTAGGTAAGTCCAACTTCGACGCAGAGGTCAATCGACGAATCGAACTCGGATGTACGGCGTTCGGGAAACTTCGGCAAATCTTCTCGTCGAATATACCTCAATGTTTGAAGACTTAAGTCTTCAACCAATGTGTGTTGCCAGTGATGACCTACGGAACCGAGACGTCCTTCACTGCTGCCCGTATGAAGAAGCTCAAAGTCGCTCAGCGAGCTATGGAGCGTGATATGCTCGGTATTTCTCTGCTCGATAGAGTTCGTAACGAAGACATTCTATTAATAATTTATAATGTAAAATAACAATGTTGCCGGAATTAACCTTTTGTTGTTCGAATTATTTGATGTTTTCTTGTTCCAACGATGTTCATGCGATCAAATTGAGGTGCCATAATGATAGGGACTTTGATTTTGATGACTCCGTGGCGCCGTCGTCAAGGTATTGACTTCGGCGTCGGGGGTCCTGGGTTCGATTCCCACACGGGACGACTATTTGTGTGACCCACAGATAGTTGTTTCGCATCTGGGTATTTGTCCACGTGAAATTTATGTATGTAAATCGTCCTTGCAACACAGGATAGTGTTATCCTAAAGTAAGGGCGACGTTTTTTAAAATGAAAAAGAAAGATGAAAAAAAGAAAGGGACGTTCTTGAAATTTAAAACCCCTAGCTTACAATAAATGAACATTATGAAAATTATTTTATATTGTTTATTGATTGTACGCTTCCGACCAATTGTGTGTATTTCGTAACTTTCTTGTATGATAAATTCATTAAATTGAGGTGCTAATCAAAGTTAAATTAAGTTTTTTTTTTTAATGTTTGTAATTAGTACGTAAATAACATTGACCAATTATCGAACTTAAGTGATTAATTGTGATCATTTTGTAACCAATTGAAATTATTTTAGATCCGATCTCTCGGATTTATTTGAGCCGCCAAAATTTTTCCGATGACCTATTGCCGTTTATGACCATTTCCTGACCAATTTGGACCACTTCTTTAGAGTTCAAATTAAAAAAAAAAGGCCTTGTTTGCTTGCTTTTTGTAATCTTCTTTTTAACTATAAACTATCAATTCATTTCTCCAAACGCTACAAAGAAAGTGTAAACGTTACATCCAAAGTTTATGTTAAATAAATATTTTAAAATCGCTAAAAAAGAATAAAATGCTAGAAGGCCGTTTAAAATCGCGAGCATTCGTCAATTTTAATACACTCGATTTATCGATGTCATGTGTACTTGTTTTAACTTTCTTTTTGTCATATTCTATGTTAAAGTTTAGTCATCAGATCTACTGAGTACCTATGTATTTAGAGCGTACGAAAATTTCGTTTGACTTGTCACGAAGTGAAAATGTACGCGAATATTGGCATTTGTAAAAGCTCCCGAAGACGCTCTGTTTTCGTGTTTACTTAGTGTATTTTGAGTATGATTTGTTCTTCGCTCTTTAACTATTTATTTGACCGACTTCCGTATCCGAAATGCTTACATGAGAGAATTGATTATCGTATTTATCCTATACCTATGTCCTAAAACATTCATAAAATAAAAATAGCAAATGAACGTAAGTGTATTAAACATAATTATTTAAAGTCAACAGTTGAGATAACTATTAATATGTTATTTATCAACTGTGATCAAATATTTTATAGGATACTACGTCTGCGTAGAATAGGCTGAAGGCGTAACATTCAGACAGAAAGACAGAAATACATAAAATATGTATATAAATTATAGCCTACGTCTTATTCTGATGTATAAGCTATATTATTGTAAAGTTTCATTAAAATCCATTCAGTAGTATTTGCGTGAAAGAGTAACAAACATCCATCCATACATACAAACTTTCGCGTTTATAATATTAGTAAGGATTATATAAGTGGATGTGACAGATGATATATAACGTACGATACCCAAAGAGATAGCCGTATCTAATAACACCAATTGGTGTAATTTGAGCGCCCCAGTTTCGGTGCTAGTGTGATATCCTCGTCACATCGTCACATGTGATAGTACAATATCAGTTAAATTGTTGTTCCAGAGCATCGGCTCCCTCCTCACTGGGTGGCGACAAACTAGGTTGAAGATGTAAATAATTACTAGTTGATGGTCGAGATTTTCACGCCGTCAGAATATGGAGCACCTTGACCTGAAATTCTCAGTATTAATAATGTACTCTTCGACCTTGACGTACCTGCAAGTAGTAGTGATCTAATTGTATATTCCCGTCCAGCGGTGGCAGGTGCCAACCCCATTCGAAACCGGCGCCGCTTTGTTGCAATTTCTGGCTCTGAAATTTACATAAATGATTGATTAACATTACTTTTCGACCGACTTCAAAAAAGGAGGGGGGTAAAGTTTGAACAAAATATGTTTTTTTCGCCGCTGCAGACGCTTTAACCTCTAAGCTAAACAGCTACATTTACATTGTATCTCGCATTTAACGCAATGCTTGACGCATCTATTGTTATCTCCTTTACACTAGATAAATCCAAATATGATAATAGATGTCGCCGTTGTTATTAGGTTGTATGTTTTTTTACATTCGTTACCTTAGAACTCCGTCATTAACGAAGCGATTTTAAAAATTCCCTTATATTTTTTAAATATTTAAAAACTACCTCCTCAAAATAATATAGATGTTTAGTGAGCGATACATTTGAAGACATTTCTGTTTTTTGTTATTAAAAATGTGTTACTTCTTCGCTTCATTGGTTATTCGACTAGTTGGTATTGCGCGCCGTCTTCTGTTTTCGATACTCACACGGGACTAAAAATCAAATGTTAGAAGATCACGCAGATCTACTAACAGTTTTTACAAGTACACCCGGGTACTTTGTGGAGACGAGAGATGTAGACTTTTTGTTTTTAAAAGAAACAAATATTCTGTGCAGGTTTATATATTTAAGCGTTCAGTTCGATTATATTTTTGCCGGCAAGTGGTTGTCGTTATAATAGTTGTTAATATTCAAGTTCAGAAATTGTTAAAATATTAGAATCAAAGTAATAACGCTGGAAATCTTATAGTTGTTTGCGATTCTTGATTACATGTTACATTATTATTGGTAGGGCCATGCAGCAGCCTCGGCTGTTGCACAAATGGGCAGGCTTGTCCGGGTAAGTACCACGACCTCACAGAAGACCGGCGTAACGTGGAAGTATAATATTTTAGCGTTTCGTCTGGTGAGTGAGGTGACCGGATCCCAATTTTCAAAAGGTTGTCAACGCATATGGAACGCTCTGGTGTAGCAGATGTCCATGGGCGGCGTTATTCACTCAACATCAGGTGAACCTAAAAAAAAGTCTAGTTTACAAAATTTTAATTGCCATTTTTATAAACAAACGGGTATCTTGCAATCATTAAATAAGATTGACTCAGACCGCGGTCATCGACCAGTAACTGTTTACATTATAACGTCATAATCATGATGACTGTATGATGATTGAGCTTCCGCATTGTTCTGTATCCGCGGCGTGCAATCGTGGTTAGTTACAACGCTGATTTCTTCCCACTTGTTCTACTTGGAACGTCATTATAATGACATCTATTTGACGTAAGCCACAGCAGACAACCACGCAATCTCATATCCCACTTAATTTGACCAAGACCGCAGCGTTTCTTGCCGATTTTTCTCTGGAACTGTCTAAATTAGTGAAACGTTGGTATTAATTTGACAAGGAGAGTTTCAAACAAGTCTTTGTTACTAAATGAAACCATTAAGTCTATATTTAATAAACACCTTTAGAATTTTGAATTCCTTTTTCGGAAAGCAATCTTTAAGTTTGTCTGTTTGTAGTATTAAAATAAACGCTTTATGATGGATGTATACTCGGTACATATACCAAAATATTTTTTTTTTAAATTATTGTCTGAATGTAATCTATGAATTAATGAGGTAACCTATTTTTATTTTAGAAACTTTAATTATTTTTAATTCTACACGGACGAAGTCGCGGGCAAATCTAATCTATTATATAATTACAAATGCTGGTGTTATGGCGGCCGTAGTAATAATTTATTGTGCTATTTCGTCTATAATAGCTAATGTCAGGTGCTTGGAAAAAAAATTAACCGCAATCGAATTCCATGTCGCGCTTATCTTTTTAGAAAGTCGGCGGGATTAGATTAAAAGTGATTTACGCACTTGCCGTAGGTACTACTTACCTGTTACCGCACAGCGCACAAAAAGACAAAAGCACAAAGCCCAGCCTCAACTTTCTAGATGTGAATTTACCTTTCAAAAGGACGTAATTAGTTCAAATGAAGTGTAACGGATGAGCTATTTGTTGTTTTGATTACATTTACCCGTCAGCCTTGCGTAAGAAACGTAATTAATGGTGCTGGTGCCAGTTTTATTTATGATCTAAGAAAATAAAATATATGCTCGCGTCTATGATTATTTAAGTGGTGGTTGCTAGTTGTTTAAACGCTACATTGACTGATGAATCAAGTTGCGAGTGTTTTTATGCGAAATAGTCGTTACAGTTGTCGTTCATTGTTCGTAATTTGGCTGTAATTCATTAATTACTTATTATCCCTTTCGCAGAATCTGTCAAATTTTATATGTTATAAAAATATTTCTAAACTTCTCTATATAAACATTTACAATGCCAAATCTCAACCCTCTGCGCACAATATTCTTTTTGGTATTATCAATACGTACAAAAGATTTGTCTTCAACCTATTAAATCATTCATAACCGGGGAAAATTGAATCATTAAGTTGTCAGGGCGCGTAATTCTTCTGTGACATAACCATGCAATCCGATGAGCGTAATGACTTGCGTCATACTTATTACCGCTTACGTACCAGCTTCGATTGACCCATTCATATCGGTCGAGTTTAGCTTTTGACCTTTCATTTAATATAAAAGCTTTACAAGTTCCGATTGGCTTGGTGGATAATGGGCCGTTATGTTGCGCTGGAGGGTGTGGCTTCAATCCCCACTACTGGAAGAATATTGTGAGATGAACTTACTGTTTGTTTTACATATTTATTAATTCGACAATATGTAGGTTTCCTCACGAAGTTTTCCTTCAACGCTGAGCAAATTATATGTCAGTATTTAAATTACAATTAACAATTACATTGTTGCACCGGGATTTGAAGAGCTTGAGGCTCGAGTATATTGAACTAAGTCACTAAGCTATCACTGAAACAAGCCTTATTGCACAAATAATATTTGACTTTGAACGCCAAAGAGTACTTTCATATATCTGAAACCAACCCCAATGAGTTCTTTTATATTCTGTTGAACCCGCAAACTCGGACCATGAGTAAGAGCTCTAGCCTTAAGTGATCACCAAGCGCTGATTGTTTAAATGACTGAGGCACAACCTAATACTCATATTAAATCCTGGTGACAGATATTCAAACTTTTTTTTTTTTTTTTTTTTTTGTTTTTTTTTTTATACACACTGCCCTTACTTTAGGATAATATTATCCTGTGTTGTAAAGGACGTTTTACAAACATAAATTTCACGCGGACAAACACCCAGATGCGAAACAACTATCTGTGGGTCACACAAATAGTTGTCCCGTGTGGGAATCGAACCCACGACCCCCGACGCCGAAGCTATTGGCTTGGTAACTGCGCCACGGAGTCATCAAAAAAACTGGAGATAATTCTCATTGAAATCACAAACAGAACCACGCGCCAACTTTTCTAATTATATAAGCTAAAAAGGTTACCATAAAATCTCAAAATTGCAGAGCGAAGTAAAGGAATACAGCGTGTCGTTACAACCGCGACAATAAATGAACACACATATAGAGGATAATTTTTTAAAATTGTATTAAGCATTTACATTCTTTAAACATCAATATTTACTGAGTTATTAAAATTTACAAAACAAACATTTTTAAAACACCCTCATAAACACAAAACATATGTCACAAAGCATATGAATGGGTTGAATGAATTTAAAAGAGTGTGTATTTGTATACAATACTAGCGACCCGCCCCGGCTTCGGGCGGGTGCAATATTATACATATAAATGTTTCTCTTGAATCGCTCTATCTAGTAAAAAAACCGTATCAAGATCCGTTGCGTAGTTTTAAAGATCTAAGCGTACATAGGGACAGACAGACAGTTTTCTTCTTCTTCTTCTTTTTTAAAAAACATTGCCCTTACTTTAGGATAACATTATCCTGTGTTGTAAGGACGTTTTACAAACATAAATTTCACGCGGACAAACACCCAGATGCGAAACAACTATCTGTGGGCCACACAAATATTTGTCCCGTGTGGGAATCGAACCCACGACCCCTGATGCCGAAGCCAGTACCTTGGCGACTGCGCCACGGAGTCATCAAACAGTGGGACGACTTTGTTTTATACTACGTAGTGATCATTGGTGGACACCGTTTAGGTTTAGGACAGGAATGCCAAGCGGTCCGTTAACGTATACGATTGCGGAAGGGTATCGGGTTTCTAAACGGGAGGCCGTATCGGAGAGGAAAACTTCGGAAGTGCCTCTCAGTAAAAGTGGTTCGACCGCTAAAGCGCGCAACGAAAGTTGGCGCAGCTTAGAGGCGTGTGATCTGTTTGTCCTTTTTTTGCGGAAACACCAACTCACTCAGTCGCCGCGGCATAGCAGTCTGGTTTATTTGAGTACTCCGTGTCGCGATTTAGAGGATAGAGATTATTTAAATAAGCACTGGCCGGACAAACTTCGTTCTTTTTTTTATAGTAATAAAACCTTCCGTGGACCTTGAGGAACATACAAAAAAGTAAATTTGTCGAACTGGTCCAGCCATTCTTGTGTTATCCGCTTACCAATATTCATTTTTGTTTATTAAGATAATAATAGTGACGATGAGGATGATTTAAATAAGTATCTGCTATTAAGCAGATATAATATAATAATTTCAATATCAATGTGACGAAATTATTGATTGCACAACACAGATTCAGCTTTAAAGATTATTCCTTAGTGCGGAAGTCGCATTTGAAAAAAATATAATGCTATAAGAACCATGTATCACCTCCGCGTAATCCGTGAAAACTCTTGAAGTATAAAAAGGACCTTAAACACGATCTTCCGATTCCATTTTTATCTCAAGGATGCACCTGATTTACAGCAGATCAAAAATCTATCCGACTAGATCACAAAACAATTAATGCTATAGGTACGCTGTGAAGCCATTTGTTGACAGTCGTTAAGAAAACAATAGCTGCATTACATTCACAATCTATTTGCATTTTTGACTCACAATTAATGTGAACTTTAAGCGGCAAGCACAATAGATTAATTTCCTTGCGTAATTTCTTGTCAGAGCTTTGTGTATTTCCGATGGTGAAAGCTTCCCGCTGTGGTTGCCATATTGACAGCTTTTGACAGAAATAACGGTCATTGCGTTTCTTGATATATGTAGTACCTGTCCAGACGAGCAAGCTAACTCGTACATGTTCCACTGTGGATTGTGTTAGTTAATTATTGGCCGTTGCAATCATGGGTAATTTTTATAATCTCTCAAATCAATAACGGGTTACGACATCGAGCGGTCGAAAGTTGCGAGGTTGCTAAACAGCTGATGTGTTACAAGTAATAACACATTACTTCCATCCATCAAAGGTAATACAACGCCATTTTGACTGTTGCACAATGCGTGGTACAAGAAACAATTAGCGATGGTGGAAGTTAAAGAACGCTCGGTTATTATAAGGTAACTGACCGGGATAAAGGTTTGAATTGTTTTCGTCAAGTGAAAAAAAATATTGCTACAAGTAAACCTAGTAGAAATTTTAGTCGTCTTCTATGGACCCCAAATATTTCACATTGCTAGTCATATTAATGTGAGTTATTTTTATTCAACTGCTTTCGAAAGCTACGCAGTAATCACCATTTCTCAGCTAAGTTGTGCATAAGTCATATTTTAAAGTAATCTTTATATATTGTAATTTAATTTTTGGTTATAATTAAAATTAGTTAAATCAACATGTTACGATTGAATAAAGACAAATATTTTTCAATAAAATTAAGTATCACTTATGTAAAACTATTCTATATTATCTTATATTTCTAATATAAGTTGTTTCGTAAACTAGTGACGTGGAATGGTTCCTAATCTATTGGCTTTGGCATGGGGAGTCGCGGGTTCGATTCCTACACGGGACAAGTATTTGTGTGACTCACAGATAATTGTTCCGGATCTGGGTGTTTGATTATCAAGGAGTGTTGCTGTAGCATGATTTACATGTCTGTCTCTGGTGGGATAAAGGCAGTAGGTTGATGAATCTTTGCCTGTACTTATGCTCTTTCAATGGATTTCGTTTGATATTAATAATATTAATGTTTTCTGTAGTCTGTAACGAGCACGTTATCAAATGGAACATCTTATATGTGACATGAAGTGTACCAGATCGTTTATCACCTGGACCATTGTTCGGACTGTGTTAGCGGTAAAAGTTACCAGAAATACATCACACAAGATGGAAGTGGCGACGTCACGCTGATTAAAACAGTAGAACAATATGTGAAGTAGATAATTGGCGGGTCTATTGTCAATGCATCGCGGTGAAAGTACCTTTACTTCGCTCTTTCAATAGAATAGGACGCGGTCCAAGTTATAAGGGATTGGATATGAGTCAAATTTTGTTATTGACACATATGTTTTAATACTTTGCTACAATTGCTGAGAACTTTATGCGAACGGAGTAGACATAGATTGCCATTAAAGTTAATTTTTGATAGAGATTTTTATTATCAGTTTTGAGAATATAACTGTAGAATACGAATCATTACAAAGGCATCAACAGGCATCTTTGATTATCATTAATTGTCTATCAAATGACTTCTACCTTACATTATAATAAGTAATATGTAATAAAGTGTAAGAATTTATTAGAGTTAAATTAATTATTTCATGTAGTGGCGTTGTCTCAAAACGGGGCTCGTAAAACAACTGGCACTCGGTAAAAAGTGAATTTCTATCGAAAGATATCTCAACCTACTATATAATATTTAAGCACTCGTGAAAGTAAAGTAACAGCCTATATATTATGTTTCCATCGCTGGGCAAAGGCAGAGGGTATGAGGTATAGTCCACCACTCGACCTCACTGCGGATTGGTGGACTAGAAATACTTCGATTTTTTGGGTTTCCTCACGATGTTTTCCTTCACCGCTGCGCTGTCATACATCTCAGCAATGTGAACTCTGATTGATTGAGTACTTATATAGAGTTAAAAGCGAACGCCCGGATACTAATGATTACACTCGTGAACTTTTGTTGCATTTAAAAGCCGCTTCTCCTTTTTAAATTAAACCCAGCGGCCAGTGGCGTATGACGATTGCAATTAAAAAAAAAACTCTTCAGCGAATGCAAACTGCGTTCCTTTCTGTGTTTTAGCAACGCCCTTTCCTTGACGGTGCTGATCTCTGCTGACCTGGATATGAACCTCTTGTCTTAGTCTTGTCTTATAGTTATGCGCATAAATGAATTCCTGCTGATGTAACGGACGGGCCCCGGCTACCTCACTCACCAGACGAAACGCAGAAGTGCAACACTTCTACTTTACGCCGGTCTTCTGTGAGGTTGTGGTACTTACCCGGACGGACCTGCCCATTCGTGCAACAGCGAACATTGTTGCGTTGCAAATTTGTAAAAACCTATTTTTAACATATTTTTGTTTCTTGATTTTTGGTAGGTACGTGAACAAATACTCTTGTAACCTCGTCATTATTCGTTCATTATTTATTATAAACCTAAAAATCACAGAGTACATACAGATATTAAGAACATATTTTCTATATGACTGTTGAAATTTGGCGAATTAAATTAGTATCTCAAAGGTTAATTTTTACAGAGTATAACGGAGGTACAATTCAAATCCTTAAGAAGTATTGCTGTTGTGAGGATAATATACTATTAATCGTCTCCGAGTGGTATAATCAATCAATTGAAAATCATGTGACGTCGTCTCTTGGAATCGAACCTGGCATGCACACACAATGGCAGACACTAACCACGTGTAAATAAGCTTAGACAACTGTTTGCTTAATAGCGGGCAAATTCTACGATTAGATGTAGACTTGCAACTTTCACTATCCGATTCGATTCGGTCCGTCCTCATTATCGATTCGTTTCGAACCCAACATCCGACCTTTTAGCGCGACCACTCATTGTATTGTCGTCTACGACACGCGGGGGGTCCACTTACGTTGAAAATACTTATTTGACAGTTGAATTATTTTAGTCAAAACATATGGCGTAACTAGAAATCTAAACTTCTTAAAGGTTGGCAATAAAAGTATACATAGTTGTGAGGGGAGCGTATGCCGTTTTAGTTTTTAAGTAAAAACTCAATAAAATAAAGCTCTTATCGCTGTGAGCACAACGTGGGCTAGTGAATATCATGTCAGGAGCTTAATAAGCCAGTTGAATTACAAATATCGCTCGACATCGAAACAAATAACATGCGCCAAAGTTTTTATTATATAAAGATATACATATAAGTAATTTACATATCTAATATATAAAATTCTCGTGTCACGGTGCTTGTAATTGAACTCCTCCGAAACGGCTCGACCGATTACCGTGAAATTTTGTGTGCATATCGGCCAGGATTGAGAATCGGACATCTATTTTTCATCCCCCTAAATGTTAAAGGTGGTCCACCCCAAAATTTTTTTTCTAGCCTAAAAATGCCCCAGAAATAATTTATATGGCAGAAAAACGCATGCCGGGACAGCTATCTACATATACAATAATAGCAAAATTCCAAACGAGACTGTTGGATTTTGAGTCTGTTTTGGTTATGTGTGGTTTTACAAAAATATATTAATTAAGAATAATCAGATAATTATTTAGATTTAAATAATTATCTGATTATTCATAAAGTTGTCAACAAAGCAATCGCTCCTCAGTTGGTGATGTCACCACCATCATCATCACATAAATCGATTTATAGTTTGATGTATTCATTTAAAATATATATAGAATGACTTCTTACTTTGTATACCAGCGCTTTAGCCTTATTTATTTCTTCAAAAACAGTTTAGTTACGGTCAAAGGTTGACAGGGAAAGCCAAAAAATAAACATTTACGACTCACCAGATATGATTGCTGGGACAGAACTTGCGCTGTCAAACTGACGACGGCCGTCAAAACTCGCAGCCACTGAGAATGAAAAAAAAAAAAAAAAGCAATTGAACACATTATCTATAATAATAATATACGTTGTGCGTTGTTTTTTATGATGTATTTTAGAAAAAAACGTTTCAGTTTCATTATCTATCAACGGTCATTTAAGGGCATCGGGAATTTTTCGTATGTCATCAGTACGATGGCGTTCCATTGTGGCGTAGACACAAAGACACTCGCCCGGTTTCTGAAAAACTCACCATCGTAGATGTCAACTAATCAGCTGTCAAATGACTTTTCAAATTGAATTTTAGTTGCCAAAAGGATGCTTCAACTCTCTGAATTGACCAGAATGATCTTCTTAATGGTCAGAACGAATTCAAAGAGTTTAACCATCCTTTTGGCAACTCAAATGAAATTTGAAAATCCATTTGACAGCTGATTAGTTGACATCTACAATGATCAGTGTTTCAGAAACTTAGCGTTAGTTCCATTTACCATTTGGTTATTTATGTCGTGTCTTATTGAAGCGTTATCAACTAACTGCTCCGTAAAATTTGCATACCAACCAGGTCTAGAATTAATTCAGGGCAAATATTGTGGGCACTTTACTGACCAACTTTCCCGTGGGTTGCTTTTACTTTAAATTAATTGGAATGGCTGCTCCGATCGTAGGGATCTAACTTTCTATGTACTCGCTATTACGTAGATTAATAATTTACATCATGACGGCTGTATCCCTTGACGGGGACAACAGATTAGTGTGCCTCGTTAAATTAAACATGTTATTGGCTATTTAAAAGGAAATACATGGGGGACCAAGCTTTGCTCGGTTTTTTTTAGTCAATAGCGTGTTTTGGAAATGAAAAAAATAAAGAAAGCAATGATCTGGTATAGAAAAAAAGTAAAAAAAAATTAAGAAGATAAGACAAGAGGCGGTGTTAAGGAAACATTAGGACTTCGTGTCATCGACAGGTGCTAATAAAACAAAATACGTACCATCTTAACTACTCCCGAATTAGCTTCCAAAATATTTTCTTGATTTACTCTCTGTCCACCAACTGCAAAAAAGAACAAGGAATATTTTAAAGCAATCGAGTTGTTGCGAAATGTAGAGCTGAGTTGGAATTTAAACAGTCATAATTTTTCTTGTTGCAAAAAGTTGTCGAGCGAGCAGGTGGTTCTTCTGCCGTTTAGTGAATACAGCCGACATCTACAACATCTACAACACCATGGCTTGCTGATGACCTTGAAAAAATTGGGCCCAGGTTACCTCTATCACCAGACGAAACGCAAAAGTTTAACATTTCCACTTCCATCTTCCGACAAGCCTTTTTATTAGATAGCCGCAGTATTCGTTGTTGCTTAGCTTCTTTCTATTTTTTTAGCAAGCTGTTTTGGTGTACCATCATTACCCGTGGTGAACAATGGCACCGACTCCATAAATTGTTAACTTTTGTTTATTAATCTTAATTCGTTTTTATATCTATTCGGAATCACATCAATCGCCCGCGTTCAAGGACAAATATCATTAAAATCAGAGTTTTATCGATAACTCTCGAACTGAACATCGCAAATTATTTTAACGTCTTTTAAATGCTAAATGACATGTCTGCGTGCAGATTGAAGGATAAAAACGGGCGCATTCCAGAGCAACAATTTCAACGCTTAATATCGATTTCCACGGAAAAAAAAGAACAATCGAAAAGCGACCATTTAACGGGCATATGCCGTGTGAGCGAGTCATAAGCCCTCGCCGCAGACACAACTCCACTACCGCCGAACGCACGGCGAAAACATCGATACGTTACAAAAAATCCTAATTGCGATGATTTATGCGTTGAAGAATCACTTAAAATTCGCGCGAACGCATTTCACTGGAAAAACTTCCCGCTTACCAACAACCGGCGGCGATTACACATTGCTTATTTTCCTCCAATAAAACGTATATTAACGCGATCGTAATAAATAATGTTCATTTTTGTTCTCAAAACTACTCCATGTTTAAGACGTTTTTTTTTAAACAGTGCCTTTACGTACATAAATTTCTCTTGGACAAACAGCCTGATCCGAAGAAAGTCTCTGTTGGTCACACAAATAGTTGTCCCGTGTGGGACTCAAACCCACATCCCCCGACACCGAAGCCAGTAACTGGGCAACTGCGCGCAACGGCAGGTGTCAAAATTCGCAAAATTACTCCATTGTAACTTCATCTCGATGTCGATACATCCTTACTAATATTATAAACGCGAAAGTTTGTATGTATGGATGGATGTTTGTTACTCTTTCACGCCAATACTACTGAATGGATTTTAATGAAAATTTACAATAATATAGCTTATACATCAGAATATGACATACCGTAGGCTATAATTTATATACATATTTTTGTGTATATTTGTCTTTCTGTCTGAATGTTATGCCTTCAGCCTATTCTACGCAGACGTAGTCGCAGGCAGCAGCTAGTTTTAAATAAGCAAATATTTCACGGCCAGATGTTCTAGTATGTATCTACAGATCATTGAAAATATCTATACGCAATAGGATTGAACCCACAATTAAAAGTATAGACGTACTATCTTAAGCGAAGTAAGATTGGTTGACGTTGGACCGAACAGCTAAGGATTTGAGTATGAATCACAATGACGTGCGGCAATGCTTACTGACTGCAAGGCTTACTTAACTACCTGAATTCAGCGGAACGGGGATAAAATTTAGCATCACTATCCACCTTGTTGGGATGAAAAGAGACGCAAGAGACGTTGAAATAGCCAAGCAACCCAAGAAGTGTTAACGCCGGTGTGGGCGGCCGGTCATAAAAAAAACGTTACCAACACCGTAAATAACATGATTCAAATGTTTGGCGACCCCACCTAGTTGAGATGAGGGCTGGAGAAAGAATGCTCGAATAAAGCAATGTTTTTGTTGGTCACCAGTATATATAAGTTTCACCAGTATACATTAGTTTCAGTATATATAAGTTACTCTATGTTGGTCACTTTACCAGCGCTTTGCCGTTGCGTACTGTGCTGTGTTCGATCCCCACTTGACACGAAGTTTTAACGGTGGTAGGGCCACGCAGTAGCCTCGGCTGTTGCACGAACGGGCAGGCCCGTCCGGGTAAGTACCACGACCTCATAGAAGACTCAATTTTCAAAAGATTGTCAACGCATCTGTAACCCTCGGGTGTGCAGATGTCCATGGGCGGCGGTATTCACTTAACATCAGGTGACCCGTCTGCTCGTATGACTTTTCGCAAAAAAAAAGTTCTTAAGCTATTTAATCAACTGTTTTGAGGTTTGTGTATAATCTAATCACGGTTTCCGTATACTAGGAAATTAATTACTATGGCGGATTGAAGACGCAATTAATTACGTGGGGATTTTCAAGAAGTGAAAGAAAAGTAAGGAAAAGTACAATAATGCACACAACTCACAGTTTAACCTTAACTGAAATGTAATCACATATCGCGAATGACAAACTCCTTTAACTTTGTACGTTGTGAAAACAGCAACATATGCATTACTAATGTGAAACAAGCGAAATAGATTTTGTGTAGACAGTTTTTTTCTTTCGTAAACTGTGCAATCCGTGCCTAATACCGACGGAAATTTCGAGACCCATGTCGCAAAGAGCACGCGTTCGGGCAACGGCGTGTTTTAGATGCTTATTATAAAATACAAGCATCATTAAACCTCTCAATGTTGGGTAATGAATAAAATCTAGTTAATAGGTACCGCAATACGATATTGGCATAAAAATGTGTATAAACGGGGTCAAGTTATGGTGAATAGAACTTAAAGATTGCTAATTACACTCGACGGCTAGCCAGTGACTGAGACTAGCTATCGCACGTTATTGGTTCGAATCCCGGAGTGTACTAAAGAGCCTCACGTTTGTAGAACTCCTTAGGCGTAAAAATCGCTTCTCAACCGACTTATAAAAAGGAATTAACTGGACTGTATTTTATTTTTATATATAACAGAAGTCTTTTTTTTTACTAATGAAAAACAAAACCGGCTTCAAATATCTCGCTCTGTATTCATTCTATAATTGAATTTCAGGGGCTCAAAAAATAATCATCAAAAGCGGTTTACCCAGCCAAATGTTCTGAGGTAAAAAACATATAAAAAAAATACAGTCGAATTGACAACTTCCTCCGTTTTTGAGCCCTGTTGAAAATGGACTCGTTAATCAGTAATTCATTGATCCGGGTTCGTATCCCGGACCCGCCAATGAAATTGGTGAGTGCAATTTCAAGTGCTGATTTATAACGAGCACGGTGGTGGAAGAAAACATCGCGAGGGAACCGGGAATATTTTCATAATAATGACTGAAAAAAAATTTACTACACCACATTTACATTCACTACCTATATACCCTCTGACAGTGAAGCTTATACCTTGGCCGAGCAATTTGACATATATTTTGCTTTACTTGAATAATAAACTCTAGGCAAGAAACTAGATCATTATATATTCACTATACAGTATATACTGCTATTTAGAATAATGGTTACAATTCAGATTACTCAATTTTACCAACCGCTGGCGGATGTCTACACCGTCTGTGAACCGATTTCTAGACATCCGTCGAAATTAAAATGCCGGCTCAAATTGTTGGACTGAGACGGGAATCAAGCGGGATAATTTGCTGAGAAGTAACTCAATTACATTTTTCGTAGTTAATTATTTTATTACTAGCGACCCGCCCAGGCTTCGCACGGGTGCAACGTTGATACTAAATATACTCTACTACTATGTTTCTCTACTATATTGTGCATGTATTATACGTATAAACCTTCCTCCTGAATCACTCTATCTAGTAAAACAAACTGCATCAAGATCTGTTCCGCAGTTTTAAAGATCTAAGCATATATAGGGACAGACAGACAGCGGAACGGCTTTGTTTTATACTATGTGGTGATAGTGAAGGGAACAGGATTTCAGGAAGAAGGATAACGAGGAATGATTGTTATTGTATGATGGTTATCGTTAGTCGTTGAATTACAGTAGATCCCGAAATTACCCTCCTCAAACACAGACTCAACTTTGCACTCTTTCTTTATGATAGTAGAAATGGTACAGTATAGATAATGCTTTGAATCAATAATTCCATTGTTTAAGTTAATGTATAAATAACACTTAGCACCATACTGCGTTAGCTGGGTATGTTTATAACGTGTAATTTTGTTAGTTTTTAATATTGTAATTATATATCATAGTTTAGCCTGCGACACTAAGACAGCGTGACCTGTGACAATCCCAATGATATTCGCGTGATAAAGACCAATCTAACGACATAAATATTGTTTCTTAGCTGCTGCCCGCGACTACGTCTGCGTAGAATAGGCTGAAGGCATAATATTCAGACAGAAAGACAGGTATACATAAAAATAAGTACTTATATAAATTATAGTCTTTCTGATGTATAAGCTATATTATTGTAGTTTCATTAAAATCCATTCAGTAGTATTTGCATGAAAGAGTAACAAACATACATCCATCCATATGTACAAACTTTCGCATTTATAATATTAGGAAGGATAGAAATCAGTTCAGCCGTTTCGTAGTTCCCTCTTAACAAATATTTATATGTATGATAATTATGTCGGTAGATTGGTCTTCATTGCGCGGTTATGTTGCGTAGTTCCGTGTTATATATAGGAATTGAGCCCATGACCGCCGGCGCCGAAGCTAATAGCTTAGCAACTGCGCCACTGAGTCATCGTATTCGAGCATTATCTAGACATAACCTCACTAATAAAAAGATAATGCTCTTACTACACGCGTTCCGCGCAATTTCGAACGGATGGTTAACTTCTCGTAACGAGAGGGCGGCGTTTGACGAAATCCTTTGTGTGGTATACGTAACGGTTCTGTAAGCATTTCTATAGTGTGTTTGTTTTATGTTATAGCTGGCGGTTCACCTGATGTTAACTAATAACCGCCACCCATAGATATTTGCTACACACTTACGCCCGGTTTCTGAAAGACTGATCATCATAGATGGCAACTAATCAGCTGTCAAATAGCTTTTCAAATTTCATTTGAGTGTCCAAAAGAATGGTTAAACTCTCTGAATTGATCATTCTGATCATTAAGAAGATCATTCTGGTCAATTCAGAGAGTTTTATCATCTTTTTGGCAACTAAAATGAAATTTGAAATGCCATTTGACAGCTGATTAGTTGACATCTACGATGATCAGTGTTTCAGAAACCGGGCGTTGGGGTTGCAGATGCGTTGCTAGCTTTTAATAAAATCTCACCCGATTCCCTCACTCACCAGACGTAACACTTCCATTTCACGCCGGTCTTCTGTGAGCTCGTGGTACTTCCACGGTCGGACCGGCCCATCCGTGCAATAGTGAAAACCGTTGCGTGGCGATACCACAATGTGGGTTCTGCTGTTTAAAATACATATAGAAGGCGATTAACAACAGAAGCCCGTAACTCAGCTACTGTGCTACCACACCCTTATGGAACTCCCGATATTATCGAGTCCATTGAACAGTGGACCATTTTGCCATCGTTACTCCTCCCATCCGACTATATGTGTTCCAAGTGTCTCCAAGGCAAGACTGAATGAGCTATTACCGAGCTCCACCACCACCACCATCACCACTTATGACACCATCGAATGGAATGATCACATTCTAGTTTCAGGATGAAAAGTATACGAATTCGCGAACCCTTCGTACACAACTTGACACAGTGTAGCAAACCGCAATCGAAGGCATTATACTTACGTTTAAGATGTTGCCAACGCGTGTAATAACGCGTTACACAACCCTCGGACGCAATCGGAAACAAGGCCCGAACAATGCCGGCCGACTTCCTAAAGTGATTTGCTCTTTCGCGTGTGGTACGCACATCAGCGCTCGGGATTTCGAGATCGACGGTTACGTCGCCGACACTTCCACGGTACGGAAGTGACGTATTCCGGATTAAGTGCGATGGAAGCTGCAGGAATTTACGGAGGCTGGAATTGGTCCGTTTCTCGGTTCTAATCTCACACGTCATCATCAGTCTTTGGATGTCCACTGTTGGACATAGATCACGTAGACCTTAGTAAACACAATACGGCACGATCTTGCGGTCTTGGTGTCCAGTTGTTGCAAGCACTCTTTTGTTTTTATGAATTTTTAATTTATGAAAAGTTGGCGAGCGAGCTGGTGGTTCACCTGATGTTAATTTATTACCGCAGCCCGTTACAGTAATGAATAACACCATTAACATTTTACGATGAATCGTTGAATGTTATTTGTAAGGTGTTGTATGCTGTAAAGAATGCACACTGGACACACACGGCTAGCATTACTAAAAATGCAATAGAACGAACGTAGATGGATGTCCAGATTTTCGTGACGCGAGGTCATTGGCCGTTTAGTTGGTAAATTGTCTGGGCGCGAAACCAATAGACGCACGTTCCAATCCCGCATCGCAGAAAGTTTTTGTTCATTTATCTACAAAAAATTCCAATTAATGCTTCATCTTTAATGCAGAGATTACCACTAAAGAGATTACCATAAAAATTAACCTTAAAAAAAGGGTTGCATAAATTATTGAACTATTTATTTGCTCGTAAAGTCAATATCGATAAAGATTGCTCGTGATAAAGATCGCGATTTTAGATTGAGGAGAGCGATTTATGTACAAGCAGTTTATGTGACAATTAACAGAACTTATATATAATAGACCATCAGTCCCATCGGAAACGCAACTATTAAATCGAAACATACTGCTAAATAATTCTGATTGAAAACCAAAACTAATCAAAATTGCAAAGAAAACACGAAAGTTGAACACTAGGAAATTTATTTAAAGATATGTTATAATAACAGTTACATTATCTGTGTTATTCTGACTCAACCTTTATTTGCATGAAGGTTTACACTTTTAACGTCAACTTATAAGCGATTTAACTATTTCGAAGTACACAAATTTAAGCAGCAATAAAACAAACTAAAGCAACTAACCTAAAACGTTGTGACGTATATGATTGTTGTTTTTCACTTGCCGTATTACGTGACAAAACGTTACAAGTGATAAGCCTGTCACCATAATGCGCTTTAACTTAAAACGGGGAAAAGGAAGTCGGCAACCTTAAACAGTGTAACAGCACAAAGACGTTACGCATTGCACGCGACACATGTTTTTAATGTAGTCTAATTTTGTGTTTAACCACACGACAGCTACCTGGTAGTTGACTCTTAATTACGCCATTTTCTTTCGTCTTTCTTGGAACGAAATATTTTTATAATTAATTTCAAACTGATTTTAAACAAGGGATTAAAACTTTAATTATAAAATAGGATAGGATATAATTATAAAATAGGATAACGAGGAAATGCTACCTCGTTTTATAGACTGTTCATTAGGACATTTTATGCGAAAATATGGTAAGTGTGCGGGAGGTTTACCTAATGTTAAGAGGTTACCGCTGCGTACCTATATACAAGACCAGAAGTAGGCCCCGGGCACCTCACTCACCAGACGAAACACCTGCCCATTATTGCAACAGCAAAAGCTGCCAAGCTATCACAGTACGTTATATCTCAGTCAAACATATCTTTTAGTGTGTTGTAAAAACATGGCAGTATTAGAATATATATAAACAGAAATGGGGGCCCACTTTATTGAAAGGTGGCAACGCATCTGCAACCTAGGGGTGTTGCAAATGTCCATGAGCGGCGGTTATCACTTAACATCAGGTAAACCGCAATCATTTCACATAAAAAAATATGACGATTGCCATATCAAATAAGACTTTTTAGAAAATTTAATTGCTTTTTCTTTTCACATATATAATTAGGTTCTACAACGCAACCATAGAGAAACAAAGATCTAGATCCAAACAGTTTGCAAGTCATATACTACTTATACGTATTTTGAATTGAACCCGCGACTTGTGCCCTTAAGCCTGTAGTTTAGACACTGCGTTGATGGAGTCATTAGATCATTAGTTGCTCTATTTAAAGTAGCATTGCAAATTCAGTTCTTTCAACCTGTTTTGAAACGTTATAAAACTGCATGTGTCAATTTACACGGAGCAGAACAATGTGGTAGCATTACGTGCGTGTGTGTAATGACTGCTATTGTGCGTGACATTCGCGCTATACAGTGGATCATATCCGCTGTTTCGGTTTCGAAGTTCAAAAAAAAACAAAAACTAAGTATCATGCACGTATTTCAGCGAAATGTCCTTAAAAATAATAATCCAGGCCAAAACTTTTCTATCCTTAATCAATTGTAAAATCTAATATATAAAATTCTCGTGTCACGGTGGTTGTAATTGAACTCCTCCGAAACGGCTTGAGCGATTTTCGTGAAATTTTGTGTGCATATCGGCCCGGGTGGAGAATCGGACACCATCTATTTTTCATCCCCCTAAATGTTAAGGGTGGTCTACCCCAAACTTTGTTTTCTACACTACAAATAATTTATATGGCAAAACAACGTTTGCCGGGTCAGCTAGTATATAAATATAAATATGCAATTTATGTACACACTAATGACGGTCATGCCTTTTATCATCTTCTACTAACTTATCTCGTCTAGCGGATGGGTTAAAAACTAAAGTATCAGCCTACACTGTGTCGCACTGTTGGGCAAAGGCCTGCTCTGTAAAGAGCGTATTTGGGCATAGTCCACTACAAAACCCAACTGCTGATTGGTGGACTTCATATATATTATTCGAATATATTTTTCATGTTATCATTTCGAAAATATGCAGGTTTCCTCACAATGTTTTCCTTCACCGCTGAGTACGTGCTAAGTCAACACTTAAAATTAATAATTTTATTTATGTCAGCACTAGGAATCGAAATTAGGTTGCCCGAGTATATTGAATTAAAAGCAAGCGGCCGAACAAAGAGCTATCACGGCTCTTGAAGATGGGTTAGAAGAAAAGTAATAAAAAGTATGACTGTCGATTCAAACCTCAGACCAACTTGCCTTTCACTGAGTTATCGGAGATTTAGTGAATAATTAATATGATTTACGACAACACTGATTATGCTAATTTACTGCATGTTATATAAACCATGTAAATTACACGCGAACATATGGGCTAATGTATATTTTAGTTTTATCACCATTACATCTTCATAACACGTAATAATGGCGAATGTGGATCAATGAAGTAATTCTTTAATGCTTCCTAATGAGATAATACGCAGATAAACAAGGAAATAATTTGTTTGAATAATTAAAAGTAGTATGAAAGTTGTCGCGTTACGAAATCGCAAAAATATATTTATAATAAATAAACAACAATGTTTATGACGCCTTTCTCTGACAACTTGGTATTATGTAGCACTCTTTTGCTGTTATGGCGGCAAATGAGTATATATTTTTTTTGCAAAGGGCAATGGGTGCGATTGCATAACTTAATTTTGGATAAATAATAAACTTTTATTGGTTTATCTACTGTCAACTTGTCAAAACGATAAAAATTAAATTAAATACTACACGTGGAGATAAGCTTATAACGGAAGAACAGCGTACATAAAGTAGTCTAGATTTTATGCGTTAGTTTTAAGACAAATTAAGGCGAGTACAGACTGGCGTTACGAGGTGTAACGTAACGGTTTTTTCGAACCTTACGACTTGAGAACCTTTGAGTGTTACACGCTTCAATCAGTAGGCACGTGATACGTCGCAGCGAATCGTCAATCGTCAATCATTCGGTTTTTTAGTATTGTTATTAACGACAAACCACCAGATACGTTTCGAGTCCAATAACGTTTCTTAATCTTCTGAATTAGGACTAAACAATAGTTGAGTAAAATCAAAAATCCCAACACAACTCCGTCGTCCGACATTTTGTCTCTCTCAACAGTGGACTGCGAATCTGGAGCACGGACGAGCAAGGAGTTCGGAACGCGGATAAGACACGGCGTAACGTATCATGCTCGCTGCGAATGGTACATTCGAGTCGTTACGCCGGTCATTACCCACCTTTAGAAACTTATAGAAGCAGATCATAAGTATTGGATTATTTACAATGTTTAAAATGCAAAGTTTGAATAATGTAAAAGAAAATTTACTAAAAAACATGTTTTAAAGAAACATTTCTAAAAGCTATCTTTAGATGTACTATCTTTTCTAGGCTGCGCTTAAATATTTTTTATTCTGTTTTTTAGTATTTCTTATTATAGCGGTAACAGAAATACATCATGTTATGTAAAAATTTCAACTGTCTTTCTATCACGGTTCAGGAGATACGGCCTTGTGACAGACGGACAGACAGACAGACAGTCCTAATGAGCGACAAAGAAATGAATGCGCTGAAATTTTGAAGAGAAAGAAAGTAGTAATAAGCATTGTTTAAAAATATGTATCAATATAGAAAATATGATTTACAATTTATTCAAGTTCGATAGTTTCTTCTGAGATTATTTATCAAAATTAGTATAGTTTTTGTCGTGTATATTAATTGTTTTATATTATCATCTGAAGAAAATTATGTGAGACAATTCAACTTTTATTCGCAACGTGCATTCTTCATTAAGCGTTTGTCGGTGACAAGAATAAACTTTTTTTATTCGCCACGAATATTTCTCTAACAATGAAATGGAATACTCATGAAACATAAATAATGATATAATCACAAAC